ATCTCTTCAATAATCACTTCTTGAGTATGAAAGTATGTTTATTATGCCTCCTTAAGTGTTTCTGAGTTGTTTCCAGAAAAGTCGATTTTTTACCCAAATTTGCTAAAAATGTAAGGCTAACCCCTTACATTTTTTTCAATTTTGGCCAAAAAATGAAATTGCTTGAAACTTGCTAGGAAGATGCCTGAGGGCCCTTAAAACGCATTCCCAAAATTTCTCTTGCCAAATGTGCCATTCAAAGGAAATATGGCGCGCAAAATATTGTTAATTAAATTTAAAAATCTGAATATTTTTCCATAAATCCTTTATCCTTGCCCAAATCTCTTCAATAATCACTTCTTGAGTATGAAAGTATGTTTATTATGCCTCCTTAAGTGTTCCTGAGTTGTTTCCAGAAAAGTCGATTTTTGACCCAAATTTGCTAAAAATGTAAGGCTAACCCCTTACATTTTTTTTCAATTTTGGCCAAAAAATGAAATTGCTTGAAACTTGCTAGGAAGATGTCTGAGGGCCCTTGGAACGCATTCCCAAAATTTCTCTTGGCAAATGTGCCATTCAAAGGAAATATGGCGCGCAAAATATTGTAAATTAAATTAAAAAATCTGAATATTTTTCCATAAATCCTTTATACTTGCCCAAATCTCTTCAATAATCACTTCTTGAGTATGAAAGTATGTTTATTATGCCTCCTTAAGTGTTTCTGGGTTGTTTCCAGAAAAGTCGATTTTTGACCCAAATTTGCTAAAAATGTAAGGCTAACCCCTTACAATTTTTTCAATTTTGGCCAAAAAATGAAATTGTTTGAAACTTGCTGGGAAGATGCCTGAGGGCCCTTAGAACGCATTCCCAAAATTTCTTTTGCCAAATGTGCCATTCAAAGGAAATATGGCGCGCAAAATATTGTAAATTAAATTTTTAAAAATCTGAATATTTTTCCATAAATCCTTTATACTTGCCCAAATCTCTTCAATAATCACTTCTTGAGTATGAAAGTATGTTTATTATGCCTCCTTAAGTGTTTCTGAGTTGTTTCCAGAAAAGTCGATTTTTGACCCAAATTTGCTAAAAATGTAAGGCTAACCCCTTACATTTTTTTCAATTTTGGCCAAAAAATGAAATTGCTTGAAACTTGCTAGGAAGATGCCTGAGGGCCCTTAAAACGCATTCCCAAAATTTCTCTTGCCAAATGTGCCATTCAAAGGAAATATGGCGCGCAAAATATTGTTAATTAAATTTAAAAATCTGAATATTTTTCCATAAATCCTTTATACTTGCCCAAATCTCTTCAATAATCACTTCTTGAGTATGAAAGTATGTTTATTATGCCTCCTTAAGTGTTTCTGAGTTGTTTCCAGAAAAGTCGATTTTTGACCCAAATTTGCTAAAAATGTAAGGCTAACCCCTTACATTTTTTTCAATTTTGGCCAAAAAATGAAATTGCTTGAAACTTGCTAGGAAGATGTCTGAGGGCCCTTGGAACGCATTCCCAAAATTTCTCTTGCCAAATGTGCCATTCAAAGGAAATATGGCGCGCAAAATATTGTAAATTAAATACAAAAATCTGAATATTTTTCCATAAATCCTTTATCCTTGCCCAAATCTGTTCAATAATCACTTCTTGAGTATGAAAGTATGTTTATTATGCCTCCTTAAGTGTTTCTGAGTTGTTTCCAGAAAGTCGATTTTTGACCCAAATTTGCTAAAAATGTAAGGCTAACCCCTTACATTTTTTTCAATTTTGGCCAAAAAATGAAATTGCTTGAAACTTGCTAGGAAGATGCCTGAGGGCCCTTGGAACGCATTCCCAAAATTTCTTTTGCCAAATGTGCCATTCAAAGGAAATATGGCGCGCAAAATATTGTAAATTAAATAAAAAAATCTGAATATTTTTCCATAAATCCTTTATACTTGCCCAAATCTCTTCAATAATCACTTCTTGAGTATGAAAGTATGTTTATTATGCCTCCTTAAGTGTTTCTGAGTTGTTTCCAGAAAAGTCGATTTTTGACCCAAATTTGCTAAAAATGTAAGGCTAACCCCTTACATTTTTTTCAATTTTGGCCAAAAAATGAAATTGCTTGAAACTTGCTAGGAAGATGCCTGAGGGCCCTTGGAACGCATTCCCAAAATTTCTCTTGCCAAATGTGCCATTCAAAGGAAATATGGCGCGCAAAATATTGTAAATTAAATACAAAAATCTGAATATTTTTCCATAAATCCTTTATACTTGCCCAAATCTCTTCAATAATCACTTCTTGAGTATGAAAGTATGTTTATTATGCCTCCTTAAGTGTTTCTGAGTTGTTTCCAGAAAAGTCGATTTTTGACCCAAATTTGCTAAAAATGTAAGGCTAACCCCTTACATTTTTTTCAATTTTGGCCAAAAAATGAAATTGCTTGAAACTTGCTAGGAAGATGTCTGAGGGCCCTTTGAACGCATTCCCAAAATTTCTCTTGCCAAATGTGCCATTCAAAGGAAATATGGCGCGCAAAATATTGTAAATTAAATACAAAAATCTGAATATTTTTCCATAAATCCTTTATACTTGCCCAAATCTCTTCAATAATCACTTCTTGAGTATGAAAGTATGTTTATTATGCCTCCTTAAGTGTTTCTGAGTTGTTTCCAGAAAAGTCGATTTTTGACCCAAATTTGCTAAAAATGTAAGGCTAACCCCTTACATTTTTTTCAATTTTGGCCAAAAAATGAAATTGCTTGAAACTTGCTAGGAAGATGCCTGAGGGCCCTTGGAACGCATTCCCAAAATTTCTCTTGCCAAATGTGCCATTCAAAGGAAATATGGCGCGCAAAAGATTGTAAATTAAATTTAAAAATCTGAATATTTTTCCATAAATCCTTTATACTTGCCCAAATCTCTTCAATAATCACTTCTTGAGTATGAAAGTAGGTTTATTATGCCTCCTTAAGTGTTTCTGAGTTGTTTCCAGAAAAGTCGATTGTTGACCCAAATTTGCTAAAAATGTAAGGCTAACCCCTTACATTTTTTTCAATTTTGGCCAAAAAATGAAATTGCTTGAAACTTGCTAGGAAGATGCCTGAGGGCCCTTGGAACGCATTCCCAAAATTTCTCTTGCCAAATGTGCCATTCAAAGGAAATATGGCGCGCAAAATATTGTAAATTAAATAAAAAAATCTGAATATTTTTCCATAAATCCTTTATACTTGCCCAAATCTCTTCAATAATCACTTCTTGAGTATGAAAGTATGTTTATTATGCCTCCTTAAGTGTTTCTGAGTTGTTTCCAGAAAAGTCGATTTTTGACCCAAATTTGCTAAAAATGTAAGGCTAACCCCTTACATTTTTTTCAATTTTGGCCAAAAAATGAAATTGCTTGAAACTTGCTAGGAAGATGTCTGAGGGCCCTTGGAACGCATTCCCAAAATTTCTCTTGCCAAATGTGCCATTCAAAGGAAATATGGCGCGCAAAATATTGTAAATTAAATAAAAAATCTGAATATTTTTCCATAAATCCTTTATACTTGCCCAAATCTCTTCAATAATCACTTCTTGAGTATGAAAGTATGTTTATTATGCCTCCTTAAGTGTTTCTGGGTTGTTTCCAGAAAAGTCGATTTTTGACCCAAATTTGCTAAAAATGTTAGGCTAACCCCTTACATTTTTTCAATTTTGGCCAAAAAATGAAATTGCTTGAAACTTGCTAGGAAAATGCCTGAGGGCCCTTAGAACGCATTCCCAAAATTTCTCATGTCAAATGTGCCATTCAAAGGAAATATGGCGCGCAAAATATTGTAAATTAAATTTTTAAAAATCTGAATATTTTTCCATAAATCCTTTATCCTTGCCCAAATCTCTTCAATAATCACTTCTTGAGTATGAAAGTATGTTTATTATGCCTCCTTAAGTGTTTCTGGGTTGTTTCCAGAAAAGTCGATTTTTGACCCAATTTTGCTAAAAATGTAAGGCTAACCCCTTACATTTTTTTCAATTTTGGCCAAAAAATGAAATTGCTTGAAACTTGCTAGGAAGATGTCTGAGGGCCCTTGGAACGCATTCCCAAAATTTCTCTTGCCAAATGTGCCATTCAAAGGAAATATGGCGCGCAAAATATTGTAAATTAAATACAAAAATCTGAATATTTTTCCATAAATCCTTTATACTTGCCCAAATCTCTTCAATAATCACTTCTTGAGTATGAAAGTATGTTTATTATGCCTCCTTAAGTGTTTCTGAGTTGTTTCCAGAAAAGTCGATTTTTGACCCAAATTTGCTAAAAATGTAAGGCTAACCCCTTACATTTTTTTTCAATTTTGGCCAATATATGAAATTGCTTGAAACTTGCTAGGAAGATGTCTGAGGGCCCTTGGAACGCATTCCCAAAATTTCTCTTGCCAAATGTGCCATTCAAAGGAAATATGGTGCGCAAAATATTGTAAATTAAATTTTTAAAAATCTGAATATTTTTCCATAAATCCTTTATCCTTGCCCAAATCTCTTCAATAATCACTTCTTGAGAATAACCCCTTGCAATTTTTTTCAATTTTGGCCAAAAAATGAAATTGCTTTAAACTTGCTAGGAAGATGCCTGAGGGCCCTTAGAACGCATTCCCAAAATTTCTCTTGCCAAATGTGCTATTCAAAGGAACTATGGCGCGCAAAATATTGTAAATAATTTTTTTTTAAATCTGAATATTTTTCCATAAATCCTTTATACTTGCCCAATTCTCTTCAATAATCACTTTTTGAGTATGAAAGTATGTTTATCTTGCCTCCTAAAGTGTTTCTTGGTTGTATCAAGTAAAGTCAATTTTGACCCAAATTTGCAAGTAATTAAAGAGTTGCGATTAAACTATAAGGCATATCCATGTTCTTAAATTCTAACCAAAATTTTGATAAAAATGGCATGGGGTAAATCTTAAATTTTTAGGGTTGTAAATGGTTCTTTACATTCAACCTCCATGTTAACACCTTCAAACAAACAAACAAACAAACAAACAAACAAACAAATAATAAATAAGGTATGGTCCTCGTCTATCTTTTAAGTGTGCATAATTTATTCATTTTACAATATAATATTTACATAAAGGCGCAACTATGTCTCAGTTGAAATACATGTACACTGTGTTCCAGAAGGAAACCTTGCAACCATTCTTTACCATTATTGGTGTTCTGAAAACTAATATTGCAGCTGCTTATGGGAGAGGCAACAATGTTTATTTCTCCAAGGTTTGCAGAAAGGATAATCTTGAGAAATACTAATTTGTAGTGGAGTGAGAAACAATATCTCTCTAAAGAAACATTCAGGTAAATCAATACATGCTTTGAGTGGTAATACTCTTTCAAAAAATAGTAATAAATGGGAAAATTCTATCTTAACACCATGATCATGGACAAGTGTTTAAACAATTTGTTCTGAAATTTGTTTGGCAAAGTGCAGTTCCATTGAGAAGTACAGAAGTACAAAGGTTGAATAATTTTAGAATCTTGACCAGTTCATGAATATGCATGACATTATCTGACATCATCAAAGCTAATTAAATCTTCATTATGGTATGAACCAATGTCATGAAATTCAGAAAAATCTCCGGGGAAAAAATCCACACAAAGGACAAATTCTAATACCCAAATATTTTAAATGAATGAAGGGCGAAATATATTCCAGCTTGCAACGGGAAATTTTTGAGAAGGGGTAACAAAATAATATGAAGACATTATTGATATTTTCCAGAAAATTTGAACAAATAAGTTGACCAAATAAAAATTTTCAAATCTACCATGATTATGATGGACATTCAAAATAGTTCATACCAAAAAGAGACAATTGCAGCACCAGTTTGTCATCTACAAGTTCATTTGGTTTAAATATTTTCAGTGATAGTTCTTAATTTTTTCTTTAACAAAAAAAAAGGGTTCATTACCACAATATGTCTTCGGATGAAATTCCACCAAAAAAAACCCCATTAGTCCAAAAGAAATCGTTTTCTTCAGTTCTTTATCAATGATTAAAAATCTGTTCATAAAGTGTGCCCATCACTGGCCATAGACTAATAGATTTACTGTCGGGCAGCAGCACATCGCTGTCGGAATGCATTGGTAGTGATAGGATTTATTGCTTAATATCTTCAAAAATCACTAAAAAATATATACACATTTTTGCACATTTTACTAGATATGTTTCCAATGCACACAATCAACAATCAAATGACTTGGGGGGGGGGGAACAATTTTGGTTTAACCCAAATTAATCAAATTTTTAGAAATTACTACCCCTGCACATTGGACCTACAAATCATTCCCAAAATATTCTCACTTAAGGAATGGACCTTATGCGTTGCAGGTATATGGTAGGGTGTTCTGTGTGTGTTTTTTTTTTAATTTTTAAATAAAGAATGCAAAAAATGCTTATCAGGAAAACACAAAACCACTGCCCTCAAACTGTGCCTGTGTCTAATAACAAATAGGGGCCATAAAAGAAGTGATTTATCCCTCAATTCACAATATCACACAAATTGGTCTTGGTTTAAAAACACAATTTTTGATGACGGAGAAATAAATACAACTTTTAAGGTAAAACTTGTAGGTTATAGTTCCTGTTTACGAGGCAAAAAAATTGTAGTAATATCAGAAATAAAAATTTAACTTTGTTTTACTGAAAATAATATCACTGATCATGAGGGTATATCTGCTTTAACCATGGTCTCGCAAGATACCGTGTTCCGTCAAACTTTTCAAAGTAGTCCTGAACTTCTGGGTGCACTATCTGCATCGGAAAAAAACAACGATATCAGAAACAGGAAAATTAAAGTCCAAATAATCCATATTTTTCTTTCAATTTTTTAAAGGGTTGTATATAGAAAAATGGTTATAATGAGAGTTCTTAATGATTCTTGTAAACATTTGGTCGGGACCAGAAAATTGTGAGCATTGGTCTTTTTTTAGTTGCACAAGTGATTTCAGATGTGTAATTGAACAAAGTTTTAAAATAAAGTGAAAGTACATTGTGTGATACCATGCACAAATTAATGGCAATGTGGAAAATGTCCAAAGTGGCCAAAAAAACTTCAAAACAAACACGCGAGCCATTCACCATTTCCCAAAAATTGAAGGGCAAAAAGAAATGCATCACAAACGTAAAAATGGAAACAATTCTGTTATAAAACCTTAAACACACAAACCTATCAACAATGACCAATATGGAAAAGCGTCAAGCTTATAACTGATGATGCAAAGTTGTTACAATTTAGACCTTTTTTTGAAGGTATTTAAAAAAAATTCACTTATATGCGTTTCAAAAATGTTGAAAATTATGGTTCAAGTATAGGGTCAGTTGAACAAATTTGGTAAATAATTTTTTTTACGACTGATACAGGAACGTCAGTTCTTGTTTTGAATGTAGGGATTGAAAGGATGTTTCATTTATTCAGGTTGAAGGGTAGTTGGGGGCGGGGTCTAAGGTGATTTGGGGGGGGGGGATGTTACCTTTGTATTTCTGATAATTTCTATGTTTTCCTCAACGACGTACGTCGATTGGACCTCCATCCTATCCCTTGTGTCCACTAGGACCGAGTAACTGGGCATGTGGCGCCAATGCTGAACAACAAATGTGGTAAAAAAAATACAAAAATCTGTGACAGAGAATGGTGAGTGAATTATGCCAAAGTGGGGGGTGAAGCAAGAAGTGATAAGGGATTTCAAAATACCTCCACCATTTAAGTGACAAGGAAAGAAAGATGTCATCAGCAAAATTGAATTATTAATAAGAAAATAAAAAAAGCAGATAAATGATACAGCATACAAAATCATATAGCTGTCCTATATGTGTCTTTCTTCCTAAAAGGAGGATTTTTTCAAAAAAAATTGATAATAACTCCAACTATGAGTCAGATGACAAATTTTAAAAAAGAGCCATAATTTGTTTGACACAAAAAAAAAAAAAAAAAAAAAAAAAAAATGGAAAAATAACGTTTCATGAAATGTTTGTTCCGATTTGAATAAAACCGTTTCATCTGTAGTTGACCAATTTTGCTGATAACATCCAGGGTAATTTTAAGATCATTTCACCAAAATGTAATGAAAAATGGTGATTTGATTTGGTGGGAGTCATTTCCCCACTCTGAGGTGGTGATTCACTGATGACAAGATACCTCAGTGTGGATGGACAGAATTTCACAATCACTCTCAGGAATGTACACCATAGCAGCGGCATAGTCTCTAGCGTCCGTTAGTAAGACATAGAAGGGCTGATCAAGCTAGGGGAAGGTTAAGGGTTAGCAATAGGGGTTAAAGGTCAGCAAGGGTTAAAGGTCAGCAAGGGTTAAAGGTCAGCGAGGGTTACAGGTCAGCAATGGTTAAAGGTCAGCAAGGGTTAACGGTCAGCAGGGGTAAAGGTCAGCAAGGCGTAATGGTCAGCAAGGGTTAACGGTCAGCAAGGGCTAAAGGTCAGCAGGGGTTAATGGTCAGCAAGGGTTAAAGGTCAGCAAAGGTTCGAGGCCAGCAATGATTAAGGTCAGCAAGGGGTTCAAGGTCAACAAAGGGGGTAATTGTCACTAATGAAGGTTGAAGGCCTGGAATGAGGGTAAAAGGTTTATGTCAGTAATGAGGCTTGAAAGGACAGAAATGGCGTTGAAGGTCAGTCATGGGGTTAAAGGTCAATAATGGGGTTAAAGGTCAATAATGGGATTAAAGGTCGGTGATGGGATTTAAGTTCATCAATCAGGATACAAGTTTAAAGTCGTGGGAAGATCAAAAATGGGAGTATAACAGACTTTTTTTTTAAATGATAAAAAAATAGTTCAATGTTCTTTGATCTACACTTTCAGAAATATTAGATTGTTGAACTGCTTTTTGAATGTTCTCTTAGTTTCATTTAAAAGATGATGCTCACTTCTATATTTTTCCTCGGAAACTAACAATCCTATACATCCATTAAGCTGAGCAATTTCCTTCTCAAGAAAAAAAAAGGGTTGTAGCCACCGATCTTTTTCCGTATAGCATCTGGTATTTTCGATGTAAACTCATGTATCTGGAACTTGAGAGAGATGTAACACTCACCTTGTGAATGCCGTGCATTTGTTTAATCCAGTCTTCTGGAGCCTGAAAAGAAAGTGAAAAGAAAATGGAAATAACTTTGTGACAGAAACATTTCAATAGCAAAGTATGCAAGATGCAAACCAAAGCAACAAAACTTTTCAAAACATAAAAGTGTAAACGTCTTGACATGTTTTGTTCCATAGTGAAACAAGAACGGCTTTGTCCAATCAAAAAAGGTAAATAAGAAGTTAAAGGGAATATACATCATTTGCTTTTGCTGTAATTTTCAGAAATGGATGGAATTGGGGGGTTGGAAATATATAGCAAATATAGTTACACTGACTTTTTTGAGGTTTTGGGTTCGAAAATGCTATAAAAACCAAGAAAAACAATCATTTTCCTGTAGTCTGGTTCCCTGACTCCATATAAGAAGAAACAGAGCAGTTTACATACATTGGGGAATTGTAAGGTCAGGGAACCAGTCTAGCTGGCTTGTACCCGTTCATAGGTGTGTAATCGATTGCAAACAAGTGCGATGGTCAATTGGGGCCAGTATTTGAAAAAAGCCAGTTTTTTTCAACGCTGGTCGGCCGACCAGCGTTGGAAATTGATACAAAAATACCACTTTTCTTGAAAATGACAGTATACCAGGTGCCATGATTTTACAGGATGCTTTACACTGTCATTCACTAACAGTCCAGCAAGGTATTTCAAAATGATTTGGTAGTTTTATTTTTGATGTTTGCAAATGTTGTATTTTCCCTTTAATCAAAGTAGCACATACACAACAATTCACGAGCACGTTTACAAACTAATGGAATTATGAAATCAAGTGAATTCTCTAGTACCTTAGCCCTTTCGTCCCAGCCTACGATGACGCCCCTATATCCCCATGTCTTGTGACGAATCACCTGACCTATACGGTATTTGACCTTTCTTGACCTTGGACTTCTGGGCTCAGTTGATGCTGTGAAGAAAAAAAATCATAATAAAAACATTGTTAGTACCTAATAGTCCTATTCTCAACTTATATGTGCTTTGTAAGATTCTGTAAGATTTGTACTACTCAAAAAGTACTACAACATGGAAGCTAAAAGCCGTTTTGTGCCCAACACACCCACAAAAAATTTGTATTACTTTTGCAAATGATGAAAACGTTTGACGATTTATTTAAGCTCCTCCAGCTAATCAAAAAAATTACGTAATTGAATTTGATTAATTTCAATCCTGATATTCACAAATCTCTCCAAATTTAGCAGCAAATTTGAAAGAATTTTGCAATATTAAGGGAAGGCAGAGAGCCAAGCCACTTGTAACAGTAACCCTAACTCCCTAGGCATTTTTGCTAGGATGCAACCTCAATCCTGCAAAATCCTCCAGCAATCACTGTCAATACGTTTTAGGCAGAGGCAGGGACATCCTGGAGCAGTGCGGAGGATTTCAAGAATAATATAGGCCAAAAATTTATGCACGGCTGAGCATCAACAACACAAGGTCCGGCCCAAGACCTTGACACAGTGCATCCTGCAAAATCAACCACACATTTTGGCCATAATATAGCCTCAATCGTACAAAATACTCCATTTGGCAAAGAGGATTTGGGAAGGCTAGGGTTAATGGATGCTTGATGCCCCCTAAAATATTCAGTACAAAGAATGATCATTATTTTCCAAAACATTGTAAGGAATTTTGAGGAGTCAAAAATTTTCCAAACAAAAACAAGTTAAAGGAATACTGACCTGCAAAATGTCCAGTTTTGTCCTTGTACCTCAGCACCTCCACAGCGGGCGATTCCCCCAAGTCCGTGTCGTCTTCGTCTATGTCTGGGTAGGCATACTTCTCAAAGCTTCCTGTGACATACTTCAGAGCGTTCTCGTAACACTGCTTCCACGTCTTGATGGACAAGACTTTGTTTTTCCATGACGATATTTTCACCATTAAACTATAAAATGAGAAGTTCAAATAATAAAGAAAGTACACGCAGAAATCAATAAAAAAAATCCAATATTTTGGATTGATCCACAAATATATTTACCATATTTTTGTAGGTGGTCAATATCTTGCTGTACTTTTAAAAGCAATTTCATTCTGAAAGATTTTAAATAAACATTTTTTCCCAGTAGTATTCTTTTAATGCAATTCTAATTTTTAATTAAAATTTTTGATTGAAATGCACTGTGCTCCTGACAGGTTGGCCTTGGTGCGTGTGCTACAAAATATGCAGTAAATTATTTTGTAATTAAAATTGTAATTACCCTTTCATTTTTAATACACAAGGTAATTTTTGGGGCATTTCAATGGAAATTCGTCACATGATGTAAATGTGGCCAGAGCATGAAGGGTCATATTTTTATTGAAATACCTCCCCCCCCCCCCCCCAAGAAAAAAAATCCCACATGATCACAAGATGGCAGTATCTGTGAAATGTCTTTTTTATATTTAAAACAAAAGGGGAAACAAAACAATTTTGCTTAATTATATTTGTTAGTTCATACTTCTGCAAGTTGTGTGATCTTTCCGTGTCGCTGACTGGCTTCCATTGAGTGATGATGTACTGAATGGGCACAATCAGCAACAGCAGAGTCAGCTGGAATATCGCAGCTCGATTCACAGGCATCGTTGGCGGTTACAGAAATCTGCAAGAAAAAGTAAACGAAAACTGTCAATTATAATCTAGTCAGTTTCGTTTTGCACACTCGGAAAAAATTCTGTACTTATTGAAACTGAAACTGAAATATACAGGACACAGAGAGTTTGTTTACAAGTTTACACAGATGCCTGTATATCTGTTTCTGCCTATAGAGCTATCCCAGTAAACTTACAGGTCAAAACATTTACCAAATCATGACAAATTATGTGACCATACCGTAACTGGTAAAGGTAAATTACGCGTCATGCGCGTGTAATTTGTTAGATAAGCATATCGAACTACAAGAAATATTGAACACGGATTTTGATAAAACTCCGACTTTAAAATACCTCATGTCAGACGGCACTTTCTCTTTTTCCCCGCAAGCTTCAAACCTGTGGATGGGAAGCTTGTCATAGTCCCATGAAAACAAGTTTTCCTTCACTAAACATGGCCATTTTGTTCTGACGTGGTGTTTGTTTCGCCCGCGTTCAATGAAAAAGTGCCACGACGAGTGACCTGACTGACCCAGCTCATTTGCATATAACATCCGCGCTGTTGTCGAATCGCATATCCTGTAATTAAAATAGTAATTAGAGATCAGCCAATCACCGTGAAGTATTACAAATTGAAAAATGTCTGCTTTGAATTTTTACGTAATAAATTCGTCTGTCATCAGTGCAGTAAGCGTTCTTGATTTATACAAAAATAGGCGGAGCCGGGGGGGGGGGGGTTGAACAAAATCATTCCTTTTTCGAAGGCATCATTCTGCCAATTTTGCAACAGAAACAATTAAAAGCAGATGATTAATACAACACTGTACAAAAGATGTATACATTGACACAAATTCGTAATGTACATCTTTTCCTTTTTTTAATGTTTATATAAACAAAATCTTACAACTTTCCTGTGTACATAACGTATCACCATTGTATGTAATGTCTTCCGTCATCCAAGACAAAAAAAGCTCAAATTGGACACAGTTTAAAAACAAAACCCTTTTAACCCCTTTGCCGAGTGTACATTTCATAGAATTTGTCGAAAGTTGTGGATAAGTAAGTGCAGAGTTGAATAATACTTCAGAGTTGAATAAATTCACAAATTGACAAAAAGCTTGATTTCTTTCAATGTTTATATCAATTTTGAAAGCAACCAAATACAAAGATCAAATTTCAACATCAAATTGTCAACTCATTCAACTGTGTCATTATAAACATAACGATTTGTCAAGTTAACTTCAAAAGAATGTTTTATAAAAAAATACAAATTCAGGGAAAATAAACAAATTCAAAATACAATGTACATGTACTTCACAGCTGCAACGACCATAAAATATTTTTGCCTGGAACATAACATTTACAAGATGGAATTAACCGACTACAATTTCCTTTTAATATTTATGTGTACAATTATTTGTTAACCTACGTAGTGCTTTTGGTTTCCTAAGCATTTTGATTTTGGGGATTAACAATGTTAAAATAATCTTTATGGAAACTCTCACCCATTTGATGTAAAAACAGAATTGAAAGAACTACTTGTACGAAAGATCCTATGAATTAAGCAGTTCTCTAAAAAATACATTAATGTCTGAAACTTTCATTTTACGATATCTTTCAAATCGGCATTCTTAAAATTTGTATTACAATCAGAAACAATACTTAATCTTTTTGCATATAACTAAAGCTACCAACCTGTAAGTACATTGTTTCTTTGGAGTTACCATGACAACCACCCACCAATTAGAAAGGCTACACAAGATAAAGTATGAATAATCACTGAAGTTTCAAATTCCACACAAAGCAGGGATATAAATTCACCAAAGATATAGAATAATAATATTCAAACAGTTTAGGACACTATTCATTTCTTTTCCTGAGCACTTCTTGAAATATATAAACTCTGCAAAATATAAACAAAATATAAACAACTTTGACCACTAGTATTAAACACATGTTTCGTCTCCTCTTTCAAGTTCAACATAAAACATAACTCAAGTCTAGGTGGCTTTTAAACTTCATTTTCTCAACTTAGTACTATAAAAGTTGATGCAAAAAAAGTTGTTCGTCAAATTAAATTACAAAATAAAATGGAAGGGGATATTTTCTTTTGGCACAACCTCCATACATACTAATAACAATATTTATTCAAATTTTTTTGTCTTCAAATATTTTCTTAAACTTAAATCAAGCCTTAAGAGTGTTCAACTGAAATTATTTTGCGTGCTCAGATCGGAAGTTTTGTAATGAATAAAAGGGTCTGCTTAAAATCTAACAAGTACCAAGTGGTACAACCCACAGCGGCCGGGTAACGTGAAGACGACTTTCGGCACCGTCCGTGCACCTGGCCGTACCGGTACCTCGCGAGTACAGAAAATGAAAAACAAATGGGGCGTGATCTAATATGCAAAAATATGCAAATTAGACGCATGCACAGCAAAGCTGTAATACTCGAGTTGCATGAATACCATATATGGCCGAGTAAAGTGTCCACCAACCAACACACCCACCCACCAACCAACATACCCAGCCACCCACCAACCAACATAAGTAGCTCAAGCCCACGGCGGTTTCACACCCGCCATGGGAAAATACTCTCACTATGCAACGTATACTAGATACAGCCTGGTTTCCATTGTGGAAGACAATCAGAACAAAAAAGCTGAACTTTGGAAATCTCCTATACTTTTGTACACAGCAAGTGAGGGAAAAAAAAGCTGAAATCAGTTTTAAAGCTGAGATTTCACACCCCTGCTGAATCTTAAGGACAAACATTGTTTAAACTATTTATCGTTCAATAAAAGACTTGACGACAATTTAATCATTCTGCACAATCCATCCTGTCACCATATTTGGCCTAGATATAATTCCTTCACTATTCCGTCACACACCTTCATTGATTGGTCAATGAACAGCCAATCACAATTGACATGAACTTAGTTGACCACGCTATCTCCATCACAAATACAAGTGCTAAATGCTACACAGTAAGTGTTGTGAAACTTGTGATACATGAAATATATAACATTTAACAGCTACGAACACCAACCTATCCAAGTTCATCTGCTCACACAGGACCTGCTCCAACAAAATGAGGCTTAGCTCAGCAATTTCCCCCAAAAAGTGAGATTTTGGCTGTAATACTGAATGAAAACGTTAGAGTATTCCAATGACATATTAGGGTTCCGAATCATCATTTAATTCCGGAAGCCAAAAAAGGGATGAGTAAAGTTTGAAGGGGAAAAAATGAAACAAAGAATGACATGAAAGTTGTGTAAATGCAAGATGTACAATCTAAATCCCAAGCCAGAGTGGAAATCAACTCTGATTTGCTTTGCTGTAAAACACTGTAGTCTGACATAAACCCTCAGTTTGTTGGAGCAGGCTGTTGTTTTTCCTTGGGGGAAACAATTACCTAAGATTAATAATTTATGTGTGGGTGATAATTCTAAACTAGTATAAAGGAGGTTTAAAAACAGTTTGTATTTGCGGTTTTAAGTAATATTTTAGGTAATGATCTGTTGTAACTTTACCAGAAAAATATCTATACAAAAATGTTCAACAATTTCATACAAGTTAATGTCAGCACAATATCCAACTTTATCAGTAAAGTGGAAAACATTCCGGATTCAACATTCCTACATTTGAAAATCTAAATACAAATATACTTTCGTCTAAAGTTCAGAGACGACATTTGGGGGCGTAAAATACAAATCACACATTTGTAAACCAAAACTTGTTCAATAATCCTCTTTTTTCCACACCCGAGGGAATTATTATATTTTTTATATATGGATATGGATATGGTATCGCTACATGACTTGTTTCTTTTTAATGGTGGGGAAATATATCATGGAAGAATGGGGGACCACTAGATGCACCCAATTTAATGAAGCATGAGACTGTTTGCTATCACAGTAATTTTTTTCAATTTCAAAGTAAGCAAAGCTCAACTCTCTTAGCAGAAAATTTTGAGTATCTCAATTGTTAAATATTCTTTCCACCCCTGCACTTGTCCCGAAGTTGGTGTAAAAAACCCTCCAAATACTGTGTAGTTTGAGAGCTAGTACATTGAGTATTTACATAGAAAGACAATGCAATATATATGGGTGTTAACACAGGGGGTTGGAAACCAAACGACAGTACGCCTCAGCGTCTTCTCCAGCTATGGAATACGGAATTGAATATCTACACAAACCTAAAACGGCACAGCCAGGGAAAAGTCTAAGTTAGGGATGACACATATGGATCACACTTTTTCACACTTGGAGGTGGATTGTCAATTTCGGATCATCCGATTTCTCCGTATTGCTACACCTGAAAGTTTCGCTTCTGCAACAGCGATGCTGAAAGAGACACTATAGTATTCGCTCATAGAAGAGTATGTACGCCTGCGCGGCCAGTACCTTGGATTCTTGCACTTCGCTGACGTGCGAATCACTGATGTAGTACCATTTACCTTCCGGCGGCGTGATCTTTCGTTTCGCCGACGACGTAGTTGCTGCGTTGTGGCTGTCGTGCGAGTTTAAGGAAGCAGTTGCCATGGCAGCAGAGCCGGCCCCGCAGTCCTCCCCGTTGACTAAGCCGTTGGTCTTGTTCCACTGCTCGTTTATGCTGTTCAGGTTGCGTGGGATGCGGTGGACGTACTGCCGCAACGGGTCACTAGGCTGTCGGACTTTGACGTAGGCCGTGTAGTGGCCGAAGTGCAACCGCCCGCTGTGTTCAACGATGCCGTAAAGGGCGTACAGAACCTGCTGACTGCTGTCACTGTAAGGCTGGCAAAAGAGACAAATATATTTTTCTTATAGTTTTGACAATATGGCAGGCAAAAGAGACAAAAATAATCCTTACCATTTTTTCACAAAAAAAATGCCAATTAAAAAGAAATAAATACATTATTTTAAGCAACTTGCTGAAGTGTCTTGGTTCAACCCATCACAGCAAACAATTTGACCAAAGGTTAAAAATTAAGCAGGAAAGTAAATGTTATGCCTGTGAACTCAATAAAAATAAGTAAATTTGGAAACTTGAAAAGAACATTGGAAAAAAGTACTTCACAATGCAAAACAGTCACGATCTCAGTACGAAACCAGAAAGATTTCTAAGATCTGTGTTGTCTTTCGTGGTTTAAGTTCCACAAAAATGGAAGACAATGTCAATGGACACTTACTTTACATGAGGTGCTGCAGAAGGGTGCTAGATCAAGGACCAATGGGAAGTTGATGTGACGAGTGATCTTCCGTAACGAGTACCCAACCTGCCAGTTATGAAAAACGAAAAAAAAATCTTTTATCAGTTACACCCAGTAAGTCATCTAACATGATTATAATACTCACTAGACCAAGAGGAATTCTAGGGGGAAAAAAACTGTTTATTAAAAAAAAACCAAAAAAAATCCAAGGACACTTCAAGACTTATGAGATGTGCCCAAAAATATTTCAAAACTGTGCTCTCGTTTTGTCCCCCCCGAAAAAATTTGGCTAAATATTGGAAAGGTACTCAGGAAAAGCCTTCAATATTAGTGAGCTGCATTTAAAAAAAAACATATTGTAGTTTTCCAGACACTAATTGTAATCTTTCAGACAGGCACGACTATATGGAAATTGCGAAACAGATGAGGATAAAGACCACTACAAACGTTTTGCATGTCTCTGGTGACCCCACCAAAAACAATCAGATGTTGAAGTTGAAAGGTCACCTACCTGTTGGAATCGCTTGAGATGAAGTGTTAAGATTGACGGCGGCTGGTGGATAAGGAGCTGCTTGCTGGCGTCGGTGTACACAACCTTCTTTTCCTTGTCCTTATCTGAAATAAAGATTTCCAAAAATCTCGTTTCGAGTATTCTTTTGTTTTTGTTTTCTTTACAATAGTACACAGAACTTCAAAAGGTTTAAAAATCTTAAAAATGTGCAGGAAACGACTGACATTTGTTTTGGATAAAAGTTTTATCGAAGTCGATTTCCTAGCTTTGAGTCTCCCCAGGATATAAGTTCAGAGTGGGAGACATTTTAGACAAAATTAAGGATAGCAGAACTTTTCCGTAAGGGTGGGGAAGATAAAAATGATTACTAGGCTGCGTCCGAACTACTTGGCTTCGGCTAGAAAAACCACACAGGTCCATGGGAGAGGCTGCAGCCACTTCTATAGGCGCGTGTGTAATTTCTAGCCATAGACAAGTAATTCAGACACGGCTTTATATTCCATTTCCAGGATTGTGTACCATTTTTTTTTTAGTGTAGGGAAATTCCTATCATTACATTAAGTGAAGAGAGCACCACCCTAAGGTATACGTAGTGAGGTTGCTGCTGAGGTATTTCACAAACAGGAATGATGTTATGCTTACCAGTGTTTTTGGAACAGTGCTCACAGCCGAACCGGTTGGCTCCCGTCAGCCACTCCGGCACCGTGAACTGACTGAGACAGGACTCCACCGAACACTCCAGCGACTTGCCCTGGTAGCGAGGGGCCAGGGTGGACATGACGCGAGAGCGGGTCGGCGAGGCCGGGGAGAGTGGAGGAGAGAAGTCCTCTTGCTTGGCCAGCCGGACTGCCGGGGTGTAGCCGCAGGCGACGTTGGACTTGTTCGCTTCCGAGACGCTCTCCGTGACCTCAGATTGGTTCTTAGGGTTGGCGGGGACAATGGTGTCTTTAGTACTGCTCGTGCTGTCTCCTGTACTGCTGCCGAGTCCGTTACAAGCTACGCGCTCCGGTTTTGAGGTTTGTTCGTCGGCCAGTTTCGACGTGCTCCCGTGGGAATCAGAGCTGCTTCGGGCCAATTCGGAGACATTCTCGTTGGTGTTCTCCGACGAGGTGGCTGCGAGAGTTGTTTTGCTTGTGGTGGGAAGGTTTTTCGCCGCCGCAGTCTTTTCGTTCAGCGTCACGCCTTTCATGCGGCCGACGAGATTGTCAGTTTCTTCGTCCGTGTCGATTTCCGGCGGGCCCTGGTGGTTCTTAGTCCTTCCTGGATTTGATTCATCTTTTGCTGCCCCACCCGACAATGTTTTGTCTTTGCTAGCCTCCACTCCGGGATTGTTCGCTTTGTTTGAAAGACCGTAGGAGGATCCCGTCGTCCGAACGGTTCTGGTGAAATCCACGCTGCTTTTCCGACCCGGACGATCAAAGAGTGACGTCTCACTGTCGGCATCATTTGAATCTTGGAATGCCTCGTCCTCATCTGATTGGGCGGGAGTTCCCGCTACTCCACCCTGATTGGTTGAATCATTTTGACTGCTCTGAGATTTCCGATGTTTCCGCTGTAAGCAACAGAACAGAAAATCAAGAACGTTCAACACTTCCTTATACATGTATAACATCTCAAGTGTTTTCTTCAGCTTTGAACTTTAATCTTTGACCTTTGTTACTATGGCAACGCATCTCACCTTTGCATCCCGTTTAGCCTTCTCGCGTGCTTTCTGTATCTGGTGCTTGCTCTGTTTGTTCTCGCTGTCCTTTGACCCCGTCGCCTGGGCAGCCGGCGCTGCGACCTCTGAACTCTTTTCCAGGAGTGTCTGTTTTTCAGATGGCCGAGGGGGTGCGGTATTCCTTTTGCCCTATCAACAACAAAAAAATTCAAAATTTTACAATCAGTGAAAAAATTGCACAGAACTTCCAGGCTATTGAGGCTACTGTAACATAACAGTTATGAATTTACATCCTAATTATGTTAAATCTTCTTTTCTTTGTTATCTCTTTCATAACTGTCTGACATGCTTTACATACCTTAGATTCAACAATGGGCAGAGACAGATCAAGGAATGGCTCCAGTACTTCGGATACCTGTCACACAATGAGACATCCCTGTATTTAATCATCCTCAATATTCAACTTTACAATCAAACAAATAATTCAAAGGCATAGCTCAATATCTATGGATAAAGCAATGACAATAATAACAAATATCCTGATGCAGAAATGCAAAATCCAAAACATTCCGAACAAAAGGATGGATAATGCAATTTCACAAATACATGCACAAGGAGTTACAAGGGTAGGAACCTAAACCAGGTTGCCTCAGCGGGATTCGAACCCTGGTCACAACTTTCAAACAATCTATGGGGTTCCCAAAAAGAATTTGTTTGTTTTTTTGTAGAAAGGCATCCCAATCTTGGTGCTTACCACAAGGCATTCGTTACAGTGAACTGAGCTGAGCAGCTGACCGCTAAACACGCTATCCACAAACGTGTGCCTGCAATGCTGGCCGTAGGCTTTGATCTTCTTCTTGGTGGCCTCGTCCAGGTTCTTGACCTTTGACCCCTTGATGTCAAAGTGCGCCAAGATGGCCTCTTGCATCCTCTGTAAACAAAACGACGTTCAATTGGAATACTAAGGAACTTGGGAGTTTAAGTAACCCTTCTTTGCTGTTAAAAATCTTACGATGTGTCTTGCTCTGTGAAATTAGGCTTAAAGGAGACTTACACATTTTTGTTCTTGCCCATCACAAAATTGATTTATTAAACTCAATGCTCTTTGCGACCAGGTGAGCAAAAATTAACATGATACCTTGGGTTGGATTCAAACCCAACACCCACTCCTTACTGGAGCAGACATCTCAACCACCAAATCGCTGCACTTGCTAGGTTGACTTCCCGGTTTCGATCCTTCAATCGCTAATAAACAATTATGTCTTATTGTTGTGTTCCGTACACAATTCTTACCTTGATCTCCTCAGCCCTCATTCCGTCCAGCAGATACCGGAGAAGCTCATGACTGTCCTGCTGCTGGTAACCTTTGAACCGGGAGGCTCTGCAAATGAAGACAGCAACACCAATTAACAGGAGGTCAAGGGTTCAAGTCCCACCTGAGTACATACGTTATCATGTTCAAGATTCTAACTCTGCATCGGTTAATGCTCAAACGACACAGAATGGCTTGTAAGGTGGAAAATTCTCAAAACATCAAAGTTTATGTACTTGATATTTCAAAACCGAATTAGGTTCGATTGACTGAACGATCGTCTTACTTTTGGCAGATCTGGTTGAACAGCCCTCGTGGGTTGATGATGGTGCTCTTGCCCGCCTTGTTCATCTCGTCCAGGAAGCTGATGAGGGACGAGGTCAACGACCCCGGCGCCGGAAGACTGACAGTAACTGGCGCCTGAAAAATAAACAAACACAACTTTGCAAATCTGGCTTATTGTCATCATGGGTTTGATTTCAGTGAGACACTTAGCAGAAAATATTGCTTAGAAAATTATGCGCTAAGCAAAAAGGGGGCGGGAACCAGTTACACGCAATGTACACTGCATGAAATTTTGGCTGGTAACCAGTTTTTGCTGAGCGGATATTTTCTATGCTTAGCAAATTTCTATGTTAAGCAAGCTATTGAGGAAATTGCCAAGCCCCGCCCCTTCCACAGAAGTCCTGCCTTTTCCAAAGAAGTCCCGCCTCCTAATTCAACTCACCACAGGTTCAATGAGTTCCTCCGCCTTCTTGGGCGTTTCAAATGAAAAGTGCATCTGTCCGACGGGGTCGGTGTTGAGTGTGACGGCTAGGTGGGTGTCGTCCGGAACGCTGACCTCCTTCCCGACGGTCCACTTCTCATGCAGCAGTTCCCGGAGGACGTTGGTCTGGGTGATATTCTTGGGAACGAGGAAAAAATTGTTATTCAGAGGCGAGTTTTGTTGCCAACTTGACAGACTTTCACAATTTGAAACTACAATGGTTCATTTTATACAAGCATATGGCAGATCAAAATGTTGAAAAATTTGCAGTTTGCGAGCTTTTGTCAGAAATAACATACCTGCATGACAGCATTGAAGAAGCATGTGTTCCCGAGATTGTTCAGACCCTGTTAAAGACAAACCAACAAAGTCAATATTTTCTCGGCCAAAAAACATTTATTAAAAATTCCCTCACGTTTGAGCTCCGAGAAAGTGTAATAAAATTCATGACTGCTTTTCCTGAATCTGGTTATTTCTGCGAGTTGTTTTCAAAATACTAAAATGTTGTACAAAACAACAACCATTATTTGGTCGCTTGTAGAAACTTCTATACTTGAACTATATGATCAGCTTTAATGCCGGGTCTCATACTGGGTGCAAATTTGTGACATCTCCGCAAGTATTCGCACTACAAATTTGCAACAGTTGAACACATTTCAACTCTGGCGAAATTCACAGCGAATGTTTTCTGACATCAAATTCACTTCATATCTAGACTCACATGAAGAAGGAACCAGCCTTTACTCTGAAAGTTTCAGTCTATTAAAAAAAATTGCTTGAATATCCGACCCACCTTAACTCGTGTTATTCCGTCCGATTTAATGCTGTTGGTGCTTCCAACACTGCTGACCGATGGGACTTTGACTGGGGTGGACTCACTGTCAGAGTCTTTAGATTTCTTCTTTATGACTGAAAGGAAGTGGGTATTGTTGAGAATTTAATAACTTGGTAAAAATATGTGAATGTTGTAATCTTACTGCTGTAAGTTTTTTTTCAGACAAGAGTCGCCCACATTTATAGCAAACCGAACATTTTGAGCTATCTAACTTTCTACCAGAAGATATTTTCAGAGAATGTTTTTATACTTAGGGGAAAGCGGGTAAGTTGTCAAAAAGAGAAAATTTTATGAGATTGGAATTGTCATGGGATAAATTATAAACTTATAGTCTTACCGGGCAGTTTAGGAGCCCCCATTTCTTTACGGATCCACTCCACGCATTCCAGCAGCTTACGACTGTCGTCCGGGTAGACGCTCTCGTCGCACTTGTAACACCAGACGGCCATGTTGTCCAGGCAGAGCGACAAGGTGTGGCTGGTACTCCGCGGGGTCTCGTAGTGCTTGAGCGCATGCTGGTGCTGGGAACCGCGCCCGCAGCCCTATGATGGGAAACAGAGGTATGAGAATTTAGATAGAGGCCAAATCAGTTGTAAATCTTTATTTCTCTAAATATTGAAATGGTAACTGACTAAGTACATCATAATAATTTTAACAGTTGGACAAAGAAATTGACTGGAGCGGGTTTGAACCCGCGACCTCTAAATTATCTTTACGGATCTGGAGGACGCAGGTTAAAAAAAACTAAAACAAAAAAACCTCCAGTGAATTTCTTTGTTCAACTTCAAAATTATAAGTTAGATTATATACAACAGCTTAGAAAGAATTTTCAGATTCTTTTATTCAATTGAATGCTATTTTATTTTAACTCTTTCTTTTCTTGTAATAAAACCAAGGATTCTTCAAAAGTGCACTGGTTTTTAGCTTGGAAACGCACAAAACAAATCTACAGGGAATCGGATAGGGACTGAAAACCCAATCCATATGCTGGCCTAGGTTCGATTCGAACATGGGCCACGGACAAAGTCAATTTGTGAGTCTCACCTGGTTACCGCAGACGAGACACAGCCAGGTGGTGTTGCCAGGATGATCCACGCTGTCATCGCTGGAGGCTGCTGACTGCTTGTCTGCTGCTCCTTTGTCATTCACACATGACTTGGGGGGAAAAAAAGGAAAAGAAGAGTGATCTAGTTAAGGACTATGCATAAGCACGCTGTAAATGGTGGGAAATGAGAGAGCATTGACACTGAGGGACCAATGAGTTCCATTTGCAAACGGGTCATTCTATAAATTTGGAGTCCACATTTTTTCCTGTCCCTGTTACAACTGACATGTATGATTTTATAATTCTAGATGCACTTCTTAAAGGGAAAATACAACATCTGCAACCATCAAAAAATAAAACTACCATATCATTTTGAAATACCTTGCTGGACTGTGAATGACAGTGTAAAGCATCCTGTAAAATCATGGCACCTGGTATACTGTCATTTTCAAGAAAAGTGGTATTTTTGTATCAATTTCCAACGCTGGTCGGCCGACCAGCGTTGGAAAAACTGGCCTTTTTTTCAAATACTGGCCCCAATTGACCATCGCACTTGTTTGCAATTGATTACACACCTATGAATGGGTACAAGCCAGCTAGACTGGTTCCCTGACCTTACAATTCCCCAATGTATGTAAACTGCTCTGTTTCTTCTTAATATGGAGTCAGGGAACCAGACTACAAAAAAATGATTGTTTTTCTTGGTTTTTATAGCATTTTCAAACCCAAAACCTCAAAAAAGTCAGTGTAACTATATTTGCTATATATTTCCAACCCCCCAATTCCATCCATTTCTGAAAATTACAGCAAAAGCAAATGATGTATATTCCCTTTAATGCAGTCGTCCTCCATGAGTGCACATGAATAGCAAACTACCTACCCAACAAATACAAAATCTTTTGAAGTCATTCTTCATAGAAACTTGAATGGCAAATTACAAAGTACCAAGGTAACAGGGACAGGAAAAAGGTCACACTTTGGAACCAAGATTTATGGAATGACCCGAATGCACACTCGTCGAAATGGGTTTCAAAATGGTAAACAGTGAGAAGTGCTTGCAGCTAGTCCTTCATATGTTCTTGTAAATCGACCTCTATCGTTCATGTATATGTTCCATCAGTCATATTAGTCATATTTTTGGATGGACTGAAGATGTCGTTACATCTTAAGGGACGGGAACAGTCAGAATATTTATTGTCAACTCACCAAGCACTGCCCAAGCTTGGAGAATCCACCAGCTTGCTTGAGACCCTTCTTGACCCCCGATAAATTGACAGCTTTCTCGATGTGAGCACAGGTCTTTCCTGGAAGAAAAAAAGGAAAGAATTTTAATAAGTTGTTCTTTCACACAAAATTGAATGTTTTTTTTTAACATGCCCTTTACCGACGTATTTATAAAAACTGTGTACTCAGTGTTGTCCCAGGGTTTGCGAGAAAATGTCACAAGGTCCCTCGGGTGGGACTCGAACCCACAACCTCCTGCTTACTAGTGCAGACGTCTTTCACAACTTGACCACCGTGCTTGCAGGGGTTGGCTGGCCAGTTTGTGTCTAATGTAGCAGTGGGTTCCGCAGCCAACAAACAAATGTTTGAATGTTTTTGCAATGTCATTTTATAGGTCATCGTTTTGAAATGAGAGAATCAGTGAAAAGGTCAATCAGTCCAACAGTCAAATTCAATGTTTGTAAGCAGCAGAACTAAGGAAATGTAAAAAAAAAAAAAAAAGTTTGCAATATCTTTTTCTTAACCAGTTCACAACAGATGACGTGTATACACACAAAGGTTTTGCGGTATTCGGTCAATGTCAAAATAATCCCGGCGCGAACTGATTAAAGAAATTGCCCATCCATTTCGTCTCAAACCAGCACCCACCTTTTAAGATATCCTCGTCGGATGTGTTATGGTAGTCGTTTTGCTTGGTCTTATTGCGTTTCTTGCCCATCTCAGCTGAAGTGGGGTGCTCTTTCACACGCATTGAAAAATCTTACGATCTTTGAACCTCACATTAGAAGATAACTAAAATAAAATGCACAAAAATGAGAACAAAATACTAATAATTCTAATCTCTAGTAAAAAGTATTCAGTTTAACTTAAGCTCGAAGCCAAAGTTTTACACAACATAACTGAATCATTTTACAAGGGCAGTGCCGGTGGATGTTTGACTGTGAACCGGTGTCCCTGATTACTTTTGTTGTTGAAACAGCACTGAATATGTGCAGTGAGTGTTTTTGGGGACATTTTTACTGTGACGAATGCTGCACATTTGCAGAGGCATACCAGCTCATGAACAAACAAAAATGTGGGACCGGTTCACCGAAAAATAAACACTTTGTTTTACAAGTGTGGACAGCTGGTGGACAATTATTAAATATTCTGACTACTGAAATGCTAATTGGTAATTAGCTGTGGGTATTATATTTGTGAAATAATTTCATGTATCCTCGATCATCCATATTCTGCACAGCTGACAGCGCTATGCAATGCGCGCGCATTGTTAAACGCAAATTAAAAGTGATCTGCGCCAGCAAGTGCATAGAAATAGGATCGCGTAGGTTAAAGGGTCTGATGATAAACAGTCAGTCAATTTACAAATGTGGCAACATGTCGTGAATGGAAAATAATGAATTAATGAAATAAGTAATTAATATTTAAAAATATAATTTCCAATTTTTACACAACACATAACCTCTGTCATGTCTGTGATGACAGTACAATGCTAACTAAACCATGTAATATTGTTGGGTAAAATCAAAAACAGAGTAAGAAATAAGAAACTTTCAATTTATTTTTGTTCAAAAATAGACGGCTGCTCAAAACTCCATGCAATTGCAAATACATTGCGAAATCATGACAGTGCGCGGCGTGCTGTTCATTTTGGCCTCCAAAAACACTTAGAATAACTTTGAACCGATCTAAACCACATTCACAAAGAACAGTTACTTAATTAGTTTTAATGTGACGAGAGTGTCAATGCAAAACCTTAAGCAAAATAGCAAAATTTACCTGTTATTTTTCACACTCGTGTCGTTTTACTGCTCAGTTCCGACATCTAATGCAAGTCGAGTCACCGCCTCGAACCTTACAGGATTTGTCCTGCAAAACATCGAGCCGGTACCAGACTTTTCGCCGCTCCCCATCGCACATCGTGTTTTACCGTTTTTCCGTTCCTCGTATTTTATTTAATAGGGCGCCCTCTGTTGAAGCCTCCGGCAATAATTTTGCACTCAATTTAAAGCATAAATTTATATTTATACATAAAATGACCGAAAAATCGTTGCTTGTGACTGGTTGTAGCCTCAATTAACTCAGCAGATTCAACTACTTCACAAAATTCTAGAAATTTATCTAACCTCATGGATCATAGGGGGAGTGGGGGGGGGGGGGGGGGGGTGGGGCTTAAATAGTTATTCTTTAAGGAACACATCAATCAAAAAGTGATTTTTGAAACTGTACAAACATTTTTGTTTTATTAAGTTCAACAAAATTTCAATTTGAACAACAAACCAAACAATAACATATTATATCATGTAAAAAAATTCTCATCATTTAGACGGAATAGCAAGTTCCACAGTTTGTTGACAACTGTTCAAATATTCAATAATTCAATAAATCAGGTTATTTTTGTTTAAAGGTAATTGAAAATGTGCACCATCATCGTGCTTGATCGAGATTTTCCAGAAGTAGATTTTATGAACAGTGATTAATAAACAACTGAATGTTTGTCCTCATAAAATAAATAGAATTCCAAATAGATTGAAGTGGACGGAAAGGAACAAATCTTTTATATCTACAATATTTACAACAATTTTTTGTTATTCAATAATTTCATTTCCAAGGATTCAACGGAATGCTCAAGTAAAAATTATTAAATTGTTTGTTATTAATTAGTGAAAAAATATTTCATTCAACAAGTACAGAAAAATCATAAAACACCAGAATATTCAACAATATTATGCATTCCCCAAACCATACTTTAATAAACACATTTATCAAGAAACGTTTATCACTCATTTTACAATAAAATATATTTTACAAATTATTGAAAGTTTTTGCAAAAAATTTGCAAATGTAGAAAAAAAGAAATTTATTGGACGGAGGCACTTCTTAATATCCAAGTTCTCAGAACATGTCTTATAATAAAACAACTCAATATACTGGACAATATGCAAATTTGAACTTTAACTGGCTTGATGTATACTTCAGAAGGGGCGGAGCATAAGAGGCCGAACAGAAGGGGGTTCTTGAAGGGAATCTGTAGTGGTCAAGGTTACAACTGACCACTCTAATACGGCCATAGTGGTAGCCATCCTCCTCAATGCCCACTCAGTGGATGAGGGGCGGGGCTTAAGTGGTAGAATATGGGAGGGGGTTTAATGCATCGGTACTGATCGGTCAAGGAATGCAAGTGACCACTCTAATATGGCCACCATCCTTCTCAATGCCCACTCAGTGGCTGAGGGGCGGGGCTAAGGTGGTAGAATATGGGAGGGCGGTTTAATGCATCGGTACTGATCGGTCAAGGAATGTAAGTGACCACTCTAGTAGGGCCGTATTGTGGCCGCCATACCCCTCAAAGCCCACTTAGTGGCCGACACGTTGTCGTGCCTGACGTCCATCGTAAACACAGGCTCCCGTGAGCTGACCCGCGTTGGGTAGACGGGGCAGTTGAAGGTCTCCGCGGCTTTCTGCGGGTCGTTGAGGGCGGGCTTCTCGCTCTGCGGCATGCAGAGGACGTGGACGATGGGTAGAGGGGTGGGGCCGTGGCGTGGGGGTGTGTCTTGTAGCTCGCCTGTCGTCTTCTCCCAGGTGCAGCCCCAGATGTAGATGCCATAGACGAACATGCCCTCTTGGGGAGGGTCTCGCACCTGAAAGGGGGGGGGGGGTTGAGGGAGAATAAATTAGAAACTTTTACTGACCTATGATGAGTTATGATTAACTTATGACTGAATGTAATTGGCTTGAGACTCAGGCTGACTTATGATTGACTTGTGATTGACTCGTGATTGACTTGTACGTGATTGACTTGTGATTGACTTATGATCCCTTGTACTGACTTGTGACTGACCTCGGACTTGTGATGACTTGTGACTGACTTGTGATTGACTTGTGATTGACTTGTGATTGACTTAAAGTGGCTTGTGATGGCCTGTAATGGGTTATGATTCAACTGTGATTGACTTCTGATTGAACTATGATGACTCACGTGATCTTTATCTCTGGCTGTGATCTCCGTCTGGAAGACAAACGGTTCCACCTGGGTGGTGCTGCTGCCGTAGGAACGGATCGCATCTTGGCGCAGCAAGGCAAGAAGGCTCTTGGGATGGAAGAAGGCTCCTAACCAGTAGGCTGGGAACTTATCACGACCCTGCGCAGAAATGAAACAAAAATAATGGTAGGTTTAATTTATAAACAAGGATATGCCCTATGTTGGTGAAGTTTTACGGCAAGCTCCATAAAAATCCCCTCCAAATGTGGCAACAAAGTGATATACTTCTAGCAGTTTGACAATCCACACCATATGTTGAAGCCAAAAGCAATTCTAACACTATATCAGAAAACATGGATTATCACGCCAGATGATGAAATAGGTGACAATTCTCAGACCTGACCGGTTTAAATGAGTTCACTAGCCAAGGTAATCCATATCAGATGGTAAAAGCAGTGACAAGCCTACAGCTAAACCAGTTTAAAGGATGAACTAATCTGATTGCCAACCATACAGATTTTGAAACCAATAAACATTTTACAACAGCTCTGGTGCAGAGGTTAGTCCATGCTACACATTCAGACTAATCTAAAGCCTAACCGGTTTTAATAAATACAGTGAAATCCCGATAAGTCAGACTCTGATAACTCAAAACAACTGTTAAGTCAAACAAAGAATCCATTCCCTTCAGTAGTATAACAATGACGTACAATGTTAACCCTGCTTAACTCAAAACTCTGCTTAAGTCAAATTTTAAACCTGTTCCCTTGAGGTATGGCTTATCGAATTTCCGACGTAAGTTATTTATTAAAACCAGTAATCAGAAAAATAATTCCAGAAACATAAATCAATAACAACTGTCCATCTAGTTATCCTTTGGTAATCCGTCTGTTTTAACTAACCTTTCCAATCTGTTTTAACTAAACTTTCCAATAATCCGTACCAGATACCAAACGAGTCTAAGTTAACCTGGTTTAACTGGTTAACTAACCTGTATGATAATCCGTTCCAGGTGTTGACAGCGCTGGGACAGGTCGTTCAGGAACTGTCCCAGGGGCCAGTTGATGGGCGGCATGGAGTCGCCGGCCAGGTCACACCAGTGGGCCGGGATGCGATGATGGTAAAGGTCGTCCGCGATTGAGATGAGCATCTCTGACATCTGGTCACCGAAGACTTCCGTTGGCTTCTCCGTTAGGGCTTTCAGTTTCTGCAAGGAAAAAAATGATTTCATGAGAGAAAATGTTTTTCAAACTTGTCTTTGGTGGATTTTGAATTTTTTTTTTTCATTTGGTATGGGCTTGATAATGATTTTGCTTTTAGAACAGACAGGCCTGGGCCACTAACAGAATGCGAGTTTCAACCATAAGGGGTTCAAAATCACAAGATTTTTTTTAAAACAGCCACTTCCAGCCAAACTTCACATCAAGGATTAACTTGTTACTATACTAAAAACACAATCATTTCTTTCTTTTCTAGCACCCTGTGTGATTTTGGATTTTCAAGGCCCTCTTCCAAGATGGAAATTTGAAGGAAAAAATTATGAATTTTGGATGAAACATATAGATAAAAATATATGTTCTGCTAAAGACTGTGTCAATTTGAAATGTTCTTCAAATATTTTTAAAAAATACTTGGGTATGTGAGGGAAAATGATCTCATAGACTCTTATCCTTTTTTTGACAACTTTTATTCAGGAAACATCTTGTAACTGTCGTTCTTTTTTACCTGTAGAGATGTTTTGATGTCCGTCAGCAGCTTGAGCATGAGGTCAATCTCTCGCAGGATGAAGCGATTGAAGGGTGTGTCCCCGCCTGTCTTGCGAACACGCTCGGTAACGTAATCCTGCAACGATGTCGAAAAAGGAAGATTTAGGAACAAGTAGAGAATTTCGCTTTGGAAAAAGTGTAAGTTTCTAGCAATCTCATTGTAAGATTAAACAGCGCCCTCTGGCGTTCACGCACGGAGGCGATTAACTCACCCTGTTCCAGCCCCTGGGGACCTTGTTTAACATCGTGTGGCAGATTTCCCACAATTCCAGCTCCTTCCTGTTCTGCACGGCCGAGACGCTGGCGCTGGCGTACACGCCCATGGCTGCAATGTTGGGGTACATGGCACTACCGTTCACACTGGCAACTGACGGACCTTGGAGAAAAAAAAGGGAAAATTGAGTTAAATCAATTTTCTACAGCAGTAAAAAAGTTTTCCAAAAATTGTTTTCTCCACATCGTTTCAAAATTTTTAAAAGGTGGTTTTCCAACAACAACGTTCCAAATATTACCACTTTTCCAAAAGAACCTCCTTTTTTACTCTTACCAGGGTTTAATAGTTCCTTTGTAAGGCGTGTCAGAGATTAATTGGTTACCTTTGAAGGGCGTGGCAGGGCGTGGCTGCAGCACGTGGCAGAGTGTGTTGGAGGATGGCATAGAGTCTAGTATGGCATTCAGACGAGTGTAGATGTACTGATCGTCACCAACCGTGGTCTAAAAAAAAAGGGAAAAAAGACTTAAACTTGCAACAGACTAAACTGATAAAAGCATCAATTTGACAAAGGATTGGGTGATATTAGAGTACGGTACATAACATGGGAAAAAAAAGTTAAAGGCATAAACAAGTGAAACACAACATGCAAATGAGAGGAGTTAAAACATTGAAGAATAAAAATAATGTTTGAAAATGTTACAATTGTGAATATGCAGCATGCAACCAAAAAACAGTAAACCTAAGTGAAGCATTCCCATTTAAAAAAAATTCTGACATTGTAGATCATTTTCAATATGTGTTTTCCATACCATGTAAAATCACAAATTTTCATTTGATATGCGAGTTTTATTTATTTATATATTTTTTAAATTTATTTCTAATTTTAACTGGGTAGCCCATTTAGTGGAATCCACTGATCTCCCATGGGGCCCAGTAAAGAGAAGACAATGTGAAGAAATTACAGTTTTTAGATGTGGGAGGAAAACGTCACTATTCTGAGGAAAACCCACGGAATCAGGTAGGGACTGAAACCCAATCCACACCATTGGCCCAGGCAGGAATCGAACCCGGGACACAGCGGTGGAAGGCGAGGAAAGTACCGCTATGCCAACCTGACTCACCAAGTTGTTATATCTATTAAAAACTGGTAATGTTAAGGTTTCAAATTTTTTTCACATTTTTTTCACATTTTTTTCAAATTCTTTTAGGGGCAGCCTGGTGGACTGTTTCTGGATATTTTTTTTATACTGGAAATTTTTTTTTATTAATTCACTTTAAAGCGATAAAAAAACAGGATCCCAGTTTTCGTCTTTTTTTCTTCTCAAATTGAAAAAAAAATAAAAATATGAAAACCAGACAAATCTGATTACAGTTAGTTCACAGCACACTGTTAGAATGGATCACACAGTTTTCAAAAAAAAATTATACATTTGTTTCTTTTTTATTTCTTACCATCAATCGTCCATCGTCCTAATAGACACAATGCAATGAAATCACAATGAAAAATTTAAAAAACAAAATATTACTGGCAGCAATTACTAAATTTTCTATTAGCTATATGCAAGAACTATTGAGGGCGGTATGCTAATTTTGCAGGGGAGTTTAGCTGTGCTAGCATCACTAAGTCATGCATTTTATGCAAATTGAACTGCAATGGTTTTTTTATTTAGCTTTTAAAAATTATTCTGCAATACTTTAATATGCAAAAGATGTGTTTTTTATGACACTAAATTCTGATAGGTTGTGATATTAATAGAGTTTAGCGAAGTGCGGCACTAAATGATTTCGTGTGCAATGAGGTTAACATTTATATTTCAACTTCAACATTTTTCAGGAAAACAATTAGACATTTCAGCAAAGTCCCACACTTGTTATTTGCCAACGATGATATTTTAGCACATTTGTTGTTATTTTTCATATTTTCAAAAAAATGCTCAATTATTTCCCCTACATTCATTATACTCTCGATTTGCCAAATCTTTCAAATAAGCAAATTTCCTTCAAACCCCCTACTCATTTTCGTAAAATAAGGTGTCGCTCGTTTGAAACTTGGCATTCCAGAGTGGCTTTGTACTACAGTATTCCAAAGTCTAGAATTAAGTTGGAGATCAACTGTTGCAAAATTGTAATGATTGAAACGACACCAGAGACTAATCAATGGAAACTTTGTACATTAAGGTTGCTTGTTCGAAACCAAATTCTATTGGGATCGACTTGAGTTGCTCTAAATACATTTTGGTTCGGTGAGATTCTGGAACGCCAGTTTGACGTAAGTGTTACACTCGGGCTTGTATGTTAACAACAAACTCTAGACATGGAACCTACCTCCATGGATGTGTGGATGTTACACGCCTCAGGCACGTCAAGGCTGTGGTTAGTGATGGACTCCAGCGATTGCATGATGGCCGTCAGACGAACGTTGTTGCTGAAGAACGCCGCCGGGATCTTGTAGCGTACTAAGACAGAGAGATTGTATGATTTATATTATTTATTAACCAACAAATAAAATTGATTAATAAAGCTGGTTCACACTCAGGCAAGCAGCTGAATTCAGTTACTCTACCAAACCAAATTTAGGGGAAGTGTGGCCAAGTGGTTAGGGTTTGTGACACATGATCAGAGGGTCAGGGGTTCGAATCCAGCTGATGGGCATATGTTGTGTCCTTGGGCAAGCCACTTCACCCCAACTTTGTCCTCTCTACCCAGGAGTATAAATGAGTACCAGCATTAGCTGGGGAGTAACCTGCAACTGGCATCCCATCCAGGGAGGGCAAAAATATTCTCAGTCATTTCAAGCCAAGGAAACCGGAGATAATGATTACCTCACACTCGCTATTGGGTCACAAGCTATGCAAATGAATAGTGAAATAAGTATTCTTTCGTTATTGTTAATCTCTTATCACTTGTAACTAGGATTCGTGATTCACTTTTGACTGAACTTGCGATGGACTCAACAAAAAAGGTTAGGAAGTAGTTCTCGGTCAATCATGTCAATTTTTGTCTTCAAGCTTACGTTTTGTTGCCTCGTACTCCCTCTTGACGGCGTTGGGCCCCACCCAGTAGTCCACCATGGCCGACAGGTTGGTCTGATCGTACTCGTCGGTCACGTGACTGCCGTAGATCAGCTCGGTGATGATGTAGCGCAGGCCGATCCAGGAGATTCCCTTCAGGCTCTCACCCTCTATGGTGGTGTAGTCCTTGAAAGGGTTGGCGGCGACTTGGATGGCCTCCTGGTGGGTAAAAGAGGGGTGGAAAGGGGGGCGTTGAGAGGATGAAGATCACCACAAATTTGGGAGTTCTTTTAAGGTATCTAGTAGGTTTGTTATCTTCCAACGTGATCTCTGGAGCATTCCATTTTCCATGAGCAAAATAGAATAATCCACGGGTCAACAATGACATTGATTCATCACTTCATAAAATCTGTTATTTTTTCCAAGAAGTTATTTAGGAACGTACGCTGATCTCGTTGAAGCCGAAGTCCATGGCGCCCGGCAGGTTCCACCCTGCGCGGCTGAAGCGCCCTCGTAGTCGGATGGTTGCGTGCAGCATGGCCAGGTTATGGAGTAAGGGAGGCCACTCGCTGCGTGAGCTCAGCTTGAGGGTGTCCGTGTCGATCAGGGCCATGGTGCGCTGGAGGCTGTCCTTCATGATCTGTGGAGAGATCGGAGGATGTGATGATAAAGAAAAAATAGTTTTGGACCTTTAACATCTCCCCCCTCAAAAAAAAAAAAGGGCAGCAACTTTACAAAGGCAAGTGACAAAAATAACTTTCTACAGAAAACAAGATTTGTGTGAAGATATCTATGCTATAGAAGTATATATAAACAGTACAAAACCTTAGCAAAATAAGAAAAAAAAGGTAAATTCTTATACATAAATAGCTCAAATACATCACACTTAAGATTCACTGATATCACTTGTGTGAGACCGAAACAAGCATGAAAACCACCAATAAAACAGCAATAACAAGGTTAAAAGTAATGATATATTGCATGTAAAAGGCCGCAGCCAAGCAATACCGACACCGTTTCACTCACCCTTGGCGAATCGACGACAACCTTGACGGCATACTGCAGCAGACGGACGGGGATGCTGGGGGCCATCTTGGCCGAGATCCACAGACGGAAGTTGGACTCGCTGATCTGGTGCTTGTGACTGCACTCCTTGAGGACGGTCTCCAAGGTGTTCAGGATGTGGGGTGAATTGTGGGCATTCTGCAGCAGCACCCAGTGACTCTGATATAAAGATAAGACGAAAAGTCAGGGTTCTAGATCCAACCGGGGGACAGAATTTCTTTTTTTAAAGAAACATAGCAAGTTATTTGGAAAAATCTGAATAAAATATAGTCTGTATTTTCGGACTTGAACTTCGGGTCTATCTCAAAAATGTTGAGAAAAACTTGCACAACTGTCTCTTTCATTGAGCAAAAGGGTGCTTTTATATGGATGTATGAGGGTGTATGTCACTGTCTGTGTCATCATTGCTATTTTGTCTATGCTCTGAGTAACTGCCACCACTTTCCCTCTTTCACTCTAAGGGTGAATGCATGGGTCTGTATGTGGGTGTGTGAGTATGTTAACACCGGCATTCGCGGACTAGGGACAAAGGGTTAGGGCACAAACAAAGGGTCCACTATTGACCGATAGTCCACGATTGAAATTCGTGTACAAAACCAAGGAGAGCTTTTGCTAAAAAGTACAAACAAAGGAATGAGGATTAGGGACAATATGGGGTCCAAAATTGGCGGTGTTTACAAAGATATGCGAGGGTGTGTGTGTAGGACTGTATCAGGGTGTATGTGGGGGTTGTTTTGAGGGTGTATGCGTGGTGCCGTATGAGGGTGTATGTGTGGAGCTGTATGAGGGTGTATGTCTGGGGCTGTATGAGGGTATGGGTTGTATGGAGGTGCATGTGAGGGGTTGTATCATGGGGTCTGTCACCATCTGTGTCACCCTTACCTCCTGCATGGCCGTCTGTATAGACCTCCTCATAGACCTCTCCTCATTCTGCTCAGAGTTGCTCAGCGCTACCACCACCGTCTTGCACTGCCTCTTAGCAGCATACTCATGGAACATCTTCTGGGCAAGGTCCCCCTCTTTGGTGTAGAGGAGCAGGATGGGGGTGAGTGGGGTGCTCTGCTTGACCACGCCCGGAAAATCCAACGCAACCTCTCCGATGTACCTAGGGAAGCAAGGGGTAGATTTTGTCAAATTTTTTTTTTAAGGCGCGTGTGTGTTTGCTTTGGTATCGTATCTGGTACACAGTACCCTGTGGAGACGTGCACATTAGGGAACAAATGATTGTATACGTCTCCACAGAGCAATTTCTATAGGTGAATATGTCTCAGAAAGGTTATCACGAAACAGATATATGGATTTTACTCATACTAGGAATTTCCAAGGTGTGTTGATTTGTTGCAAATGGAAGTATTTTATGTAAGGGATATTAAGTCCAAATTTCAGCCCAGGAAATTAGTTCTGGTTAACATTGGAGAATTTTGAAAGTCCACATTCAAACTCGAAAAATTTAGTAAACGAAAACAAAGAAATGACTCCACAAGGATAAAAATTCCAGAATGGAAGTTCTAGCGGAAGAAAAACGTTAGTTACTGCAACCAAGTTCCCTGGTAAGTCGAGATCATATTTCGCAGAAAAATGACATAAAAATTCTGAGGTCATTGGTAAAATTTGCAATTTGCACAAGATGATCTCATCTCATTTATAGTGTACTTCAAAGGAGTTTCGTGTTTATCGACCAGGATAAAATTAGTGAAGAAAACAAAAAAGGTGAGATGTTAGTGTAAAATTAAAGCCATCTTTTTCTAGTTCATTCAAACTGAAACATTAAGCACTGGAAAAAGATTGTTAGGTAGTTAGAAGTCTTCAGTGCCCCCCCCCCCCCCAAAAAAAACCCCAAGACTTAAATATTGGGGTTTTTTTTCTTCAAAAGAAACTGCTGTTCTATCAATTAATTGAAATACTCAATGAAGGGAGAGTTTTTGAATATCAAAGTTATTTAGAGTTGGAAAATTTCAAAAGGTTATAATTTGAATCCATATTCATTGTGGTAATAATGAATAAAAAATTACAAAAACGCGAGGACATTCCCAACAGCACAAACATGAGCTTTTGCACACTGCACCAAAAAACACACTGAATATCAACACCATGATATGGTATAGTGGATTGTTAGTCCACTGATTAATACAGTGATTTTGAACACTGCACCAAACAACACACTGAATATCAACACCATGATATGGTATAGTGGATCGTTAGTCCACTGATTAATACAGTGATTTTGAACACTGCACCAAACAACACACTGAATATCAACACCATGATATGGTATAGTGGATTGTTAGTCCACTGATTAATACAGTGATTTTGAACACTGCACCAAACAACACACTGAATATCAACACCAAGATATGGTATAGTGGATTGTTAGTCCACTGATTAATACAGTTATTTTTTAACACTGCACCAAACAACACACTGAGTATCAACACCATGATATGGTATAGTGGATTGTTAGTCCACTGATTAATACAGTGATTTTGAACACTGCACCAAAAACACACTGAATATCAACACCATGATATGGTATAGTGGATTGTTAGTCCACTGATTAAATACAGTGGATTGTAAGTCCACTGATTTGTTGAGTACCTTGATGAAGATCCTCTGATTCTGATGAGTGGATGGAGACGACAATAAGCATGCAATGTGAATGAGACGAGGCAAAATTAACAACAAAGATGGTGAATCAAACAACCGAAACCATGTCAAACATCAATGCTTGAGAAACTACATATTCGGTAAAAAAGCAGCCAAAATGAACACAACATCTGGTAAAAACCTTTTAAAGTATTTTTGGACTTATGGCAATTTTATGAAATGGTTCAGAAAATTTGCATTTTAAAACAATGGTATCCAAACAATGGCTAATGGTAACTCACAACATGGACAAAATTTTATGGGAAAAAAGCAAATCATGGAAGGGTACCGACCATTTTAATTTAAGTTTTTTTGTTGAGATATTTCAATGTTAAAACAATATATGCAGATGAAAGAATTATTCAGTTAACAGAAAATATGTGTAAAATAGATCTTTAGTATTTTACATAACTAACTTAATGAAGTTGTTTCATTAGTGAAATATTTAAAATAACAATTAATAGGAAAAATTTGAATAAGAATTATCTTGTTAAATTATAAAATAAGAAATAATCTGAAATGAAAACCACGATTGTAAGTGTTACAAAGTCAACAGGAATTAAAACCAAATTGACAGAACTCTGAATACAAAAAAGTTAGCGTTAGATATCAGCCAGTGTGATTGTCACAATGACCTTTGACACAGGGTCATAATAATTTAACCTGTGCGCCCATAGGGACTATGTTCTGCATGAACTGAAGAACTAGCCAATCAGATAACTGGGAAGGCAAAATTGTCTCGGAGGACAGCACCCAATGAAAATCTCAGCTTGTAGAGCTCCGATTTTCCAGTCTACTCACTTTTTCCCGAGCACGGCGTTGACGAAAACCGTCCCCGCCTGCATGATGCGATCGGGCCGGAACGCCCTCAAGACCATCAGCCTCTGCATGGGGTTGTACACTTCGTCCATCTTCTCTGGTAAGACCGCGGTTTCCGGCGTGTCGTGTTCTCCGAGGGTCCGCCATTGGGTCTCACGGCCGTCCTTGGGCATGCGGTCAAACATCTCCTGGAACCACTCGTAGTGGATCGCAAGGGACTGCAGAGCAAAACATTTTTTAAGGGTTTGTGACAAGTGATTAAAGGGTCAAGGGTTCGAATCCAGCTGCTGATCATATGTTGTGTCCTTGGGCTAGACACTTTACCCATACTTGTCTCTCTATTCAGGAAGTATGGTACAGTTGCTTGCCCAATGGCACACATGCCTTCATGTTTTGGGTTTGTGACCCATTATTAGAGGGTCAGGGGTTCCAATCCAGATGCTGGTCATATTTTGTGTCCTTGGGCAAGCTGCTTCACCCTTAGTTACCTCTCTTCAGCAAGCAATTACAAACGGGAAGAGATGTGTGGCTTGGGAGTTAGGGATTGTGACCAATGACCAAATGGTCAGGGGTTCGAATCCAGCTGCTGGTCATATGTGGTGTCCTTGGGCAAGCCACTTAACTACAACTTGCTTTTGTCCACCCGGGACGTATAGTTGAACACCATGGAATACTTCTATAATTTGGCAATTTCAATAAACTTGACTTTAGAAAAAATTGACAGCGTACCTGCAAATTGTGGAACTGTTCGTCCAGCATCCAATCAAAAGGTTTCTTGGCCTGAGCGATGCGGTGGTCTGGCGCCACCGTGTGGCCAAGAGCAGTCATGATGGAGGAGCCCAGCTGAGGGGAGATGACAAACTCGCGCTCACCGGGACCCACGTTACCGAGGGAGTCCTCGACCTAGAAAGAGAGGAGTTTGAAGAATTGGACATGGAAAATTGAAGAAATGTGGACAAAATCACACAGAAAAACTACTGTATGCAGGACAAAAAAAAACGGTTTTAACATTTTGTTGCAGTACCGGCTGCTCTATCAGATTCGAACCAGCTAGCTGTTGAGTAGATAAGATGACTGCACTAGTAAGCAGGAGGTTGTCGGTTCGAGTCCCATCAAAGAAGTTCGTGAAATTTTTCTCACAATCATTCAGGACAACACGGAGTATACAGTTTTTATAAAATAGGTTGGTGAAGGGCAAACCCAATATTGAATTCAGCATTCATGTCCCTAAAAATAGTACAACCTATAAATACATTTTGCCTTTTCAAAGACTCAAAAATAGGACAAACTATTTTCTCACCTCCATGGCTAGCAGAAGGGCGTATATCATCCTGTCTCTCTCCAGCAGGGACCTGGCTGTCGACTGGAAGGCGTTGTAGGTCAGACGCTCCACCACAGCTTTTACTGCAGCCCTGTTGAATATTATCAACAAACACGATCAGTCGATCAGTTCACTCTGGAGGTAACACACTGAGTATACAGTGTTTATAAGTCGGTGAAGGGCAAAACCTAATTTGATTTACGATTAGTTGAGAAAGGCTCATCTTAATTCAAAATATCAAGTACTTTGAGAAAATAACAACAAAGTCTTGGATATCCGCTCCGTTCACAAGTACCCCCTCATCGGCAAAGGAAGTACAGTTGGGGGTGACTGACCGACGCCATCTTGCCTAACTGCAATTCATTTGCCGCGAAGCGCGGCCACTGCGTGTATCTGAGTACAAATCCCCTGGTGTATGTGCGTCACACACAAGGAACGGTGCGCGTCAACCAGCAAAATGTCCCGCCCAGGGGACGTCGTTGTTAGGTAAAAGGGCACCCTCTTTGTTAGCGCACTGAGCTCATATCCTGGTTTCAGGATTACATATGTGTGTGAAGTAAACTCAGGATCCTTGGAACAAGACTAGGGGGTTTTACCAATTTCAAGAGTTATGCAAAGCACTCCTAAATAAAAGGGTGATAAGTTATTGAGAAAGAAATTCAAGGACTTCCATTCTTCTATCCGACACGGAGTAAAAATTCCAAACTTTTTCACTATTTTCAAACTAGCTGTGCTGTGTCCGATGATTAAAAATAGAACCCACACTTTCACAAAACTAAGTGTTTCACTCATATGAATAAACCAGGACAATATTAAGATTCGTTGGGTATTTTGATGTGTTCATCTTGTGCAAACACTGCAAAGAACAGACAATGGAGTATAAAGACAAAAAAAGTTAAATATCGTGAGTCTTTAGTGAGACAGAAGAACATGAAACAAAGGTGCAAATCTCAGGTCTCCCAGAAATTTACAGATGTAGAAGGAAGGTTAGTTGGATCTTCACGTGCAATGAAAGTCGTGAGTCAGTATCGGAAGAACGGAGAGTAGTCATCAACTGGTTTTTTTTTTGGAGAAACTACTTACGTTCTGAACAGCCATATCATGAGTTGAAGGTAAGCGTGGACAAAAAGGCAAGCATGCACACATTTATGAACGGATAAGATGAGTTAATTATCATGCAAGGGTTGGAAGAAAAAGTTGGGAATACAAAATTGCAAGTTTGGGTTTCACTTTTGTTGCTACCATCTGCTTTAAACACAAATAATTCACACTGCTTTTAAGAGCCAGATTTTCACCAGAATAACCACCAGTAAGACTATGAGTACATTATGTGAGCTTGATAATATTTTTTTCTAAGAGCATAAGCTCCAATGTTGAAATTAAACTGAATCTGTCAAAATTCTTCATTTCGCATGAAATTTCAATATATTTATCAGCCTTTTTCTGAAGAAATGATCAAATTTTAAATCACCTTTCGGAGTGTTTGATCGAGGCGTCGTACACGTCCAGAAACTGTTGCCATGACGTCTGATACATAGGATTGATCTCAACGATGGAGCGGGCGACGTCGAAGCAGACGGCGCCACGCTTGGCAATCGACCGATAACCCTCGCGCGCATTGTGGATTGCCTTCTCTGACATCTGTATGCGTTCTTGACTGTAGAAAAGAGAAAAACAGAAAATTGAATCACAGAAAATAGTGACGAAAAATGTTTGTTAAGCAAAACAAATGGGATCCAATTTCTGCTACACAAGAAATACCGCTTAGCAAATTTGTGTGCTAAGCAAAAATTCGCTGAGTACCAGTCACAAGCAATAAATACTGTATGGCTTTTAAGCTGAGTAACCTGTTTCTGATATTTTCTGCGCTTAGCAAAATTCTGTGCTTAGCAGCCCTATGAATTTTGCCACTGGTTACCACTTTAACGTCTTGCAATGTGTATTGTCTGTGGCTGGCACTCGGGCGTTATTTGCTAAGCAATTTTTTTGGTCTGCTTAGTGGCTCTGTGATTGTTTGCTTACCTTTCTAGGGTTTCATCGTAGTGTTTCTTGAGCTGAGCCAGTTTCTTGGTGGTAGCCAGGTCGTTAAGCAGTCTGGTGTCCGACGCTAAGCAGTCAAGCATCTGCTGCTCCAACTCGTTCAGTTTCTTCAGGTTGAAAATTTTCTCCTAAATATAAGAAAAATAATTCCATCTTCACTCAGCGATTTCGCTTAATCCAGTCGTTATACTAATAGAATCCACAGGTTTTCCATAGGATTTTTCCATATAAATCCTTGAATTTTCCCATATTTTCCGAATTTTTCCCATACCTTATTAGCCAGTATTCCGTCCTCATCCAGCCTGGCCTTCTCCAGCGCCATGAACCGGTCCAGCAGCTCCTCCTCACAATCCTCCCTGGTCTGGTAGAAGTTCATGATGCTGGTGTAGGCAGCCAGGCTGTGAGGGATGCGCTGGGGGATCTCCGTGGTGTGCAGGTAGACACGGAAGTTGGGATGGCACTCAACCTCGTGGTCCGCGACCTTTATGAACGGAGAAGTGAAGGAACACGAGTGTTGTAGTCAAGCACATAACCAAAAGGGAACCATTTACTCTCAGACTATGTTACTAAAGGGAATGTACATCATTGGCTTTTGCTGTAATTTTCAGAAAATCTGTTATTAGTATAATAGATCAAATATTGTTACACTGACATGTTTGAAGTTTTGTGTTCGAAAATACTGGAAAAACGAAGAAAAAAAAAATTTCAAGTAGTCTGGTTCCCTGACTCCACTACAGATAAAATGGATCATTTATAGATGCCGGAAGATTGTAAGATAATGGAACCAGTCTAACTGACCTGCATCTGTTCATGAACATGTAACCAATAGCAAACAAAATTTGGACTGAAAAAAATTGGTAAATTTGGAGCAGTAGTTGAAAAATAGTTAGGTTTTTCCAACGGTGGTCGGCCGACCACCGTTGGAAATTTATACAAAATACCACTTTTCTTGAAAATGACTTCACACATGGTGCCATAATTTTACAGGATGCTTTAGACTGTCATTTACCAACATCCTAGTAAGGTATTTCGTAAAAAAATGGTAGTTTTGTTTTTCGATGTTTGCAAATGTTGTATATTCCCTTTAAGTGTCTTAATAAGACCAGATTAAAACAATGCATGATTATAGTCGAGTCGATATGTCGGCTCGTCGAAGAGTTTAACTGCTGTCCCGCCACCAACTTGACAATCCTGTAATCTTACCATCATCTTAAAGGGAGCCTTGGCGTTCATGAACGCCAGCCGGCCGCGCAGTAAGCGAGTGAAGCGTTGGTCCTGGGCCAAGGCGTGAGCGTCGCAGTCCATGATGACCAGCGGGGTGCCTTCCGTGAGACAGGTCTCCAGCTGAGAGCGCAACTCCTGTAAACGGAAGACACAAAGTGGGTCGAGAAGTAAGTATTTCATTCTAAGCAGAAACTGTTGGTAAGCAAAAATCAGCTGGGTACCAGTCACCAGCAATACACATCACATGACATTTTGGCTGGTAACCGGAATTTGCTAAGCAAATATTTTCTGTGCTGAGCAGATTTTCTTGCTAAGCAAAAATCAGCTGGGAACCAGTTACAGGCAATACTCATCACATGACATTTTAGCTGGTAACCTGAATTTGCTAAGCAAATATTTCTGTTTTTAGCAGAGTTTCTTGCTAAGCAAAAATCAGCTGGGAACCAGTTACAAGCAATACACATGACGTTTTGGCTGGTAACCTGTATTTGCTAAGCAAACATTTTCTGTGCTGAGCAGATTTTCTGGCTAAGCAAAAATCAGCTGGGAACCAGTTACAAGCAATACACATGACATTTTGGCTGGTAACCTGAATTTGCTAGGCAAATATTTTCAGTGCTTGGCAAAATTTGGGTCTAGAACTTACGTGATACTTGACCAGCAAGACGCGGCCGCTCAGGTAACATTTCAGCCAGTCGATGATGCGACTCGTCGGATCACAGAGCAGAGTCCAGGCTGAGCTGCTGAGCTCTTGCATGATGAAGCAGGCGTTGTTGAGAGAGTTTGGGGTGGAGGGGAGGTTCAGGATGCGTAGGGACTCGATGTCAACCTGGAGAAAGAAGGAGGATTAAAGAAAAGAGGATTAAGAGAGATTCAAGATGCAGTGACCTGATGTAAACCTGGGAAGGGATTAAGATAAGATGGATTAGAGACAAAATTAATTTACAGGGTTTGTAAACGCCAGTCCGGTGTCAGGCCATTCTTACGAATTCAAAAGGAGATGTTGGATAATTCCAAATTATTGTACGGTGAAAGGCGAGGTCAGAGGTTACATGAATATGCATTACTCTACCCACCTGGGAGTACAAGAACTTGATGAGTGGAATAGCCTTGAAGAGTTTCTTCTTGGGCACGGGTAGTCCGTGGTGCTCGCACATCACGTTGAAGTAGTCGGCCAGGCGTCGGCGGGGGTCCGGGTCCATTCCACCGCAGTAGGTCAGGAACGCCGCAGCGGAGACGCAGGTGCTGAGCAGCCACTCGTTGACGGCGTTGTCATCCACGTAGGCCTGCCAGCGCTTCAGCTCCTGCTGCAAGCTGATTGGTGGGTCGGAGTAAGGGGAGAAATGTGATTGGTTAGATTGGTAGTTGATGTAAAGAATAAAGTTGGTTGTGATTCGACTGGTGACTGACTTGTGATTCGACTTTTGATTTAACTTGCAATTTGGCTTGTGACTGACTGGTGATTGGACTTGCGATTTCATTTGTGATTTGGCTTGTGACTGACTGGTGATTTGTCTAGTGATTTGACTTGTGATTCAGCTTGTGACCAACTTGTGATTGGACTCGCAATTTCATTTGTGATTTGCTTGTGACTGACTTGTGATGTTATTTGTGACAAACTTGTGATTGAGCTCGTGACTGGCTTGTGATTGGACTTGTGATTCAACTTGCAATTTTATTTTTTGATTTGGCTTATGAATGACTCGTGATTTGGCTTTTGATTCATCATTCGCTAGTGACCAACTTGTGACTCGACTTGTGATTTCGCTTGTGACCGACTTATGATTCAACTTGTGATATGGCTTACAACCAATATGTGACCGACTTGTGAACTGGCTTATGACTGACTTTGTACACAAACAATGACCAACCTTCTGATCATGTTGGTAGCTGCCTTGAGTCTCTCATTACTAGCCTGCAGCTCGCTCTCCAGTGCGTGTTTGACCACCACGGCCGCATCAAACTCCTTCTGTAGCTCTGTCACGGCTTCCTGCAGTGCCGGGATGTCAGCCTCTGTGTAGACTGGTTCCTCCTCTGGCTCTTCATGCTCCTCACGGGCCAGCGCCTCACGGGCCTCCTGGTGAGGTTAATAGTGAGGTTCACTGTGAGGTTTGAGGTTTTTGGTTTGCTTGATGAGGTTTTATTATGAAATTAATTTGATGGCTATTTTTTTTTTTGGAAATTTTTCTGCAGTCGCCAAGTCAGAGGAAACTTTTTATTCTGCATCACGCATGTAAAAACCTCACAGAAAAATGTGACAGCAGAAAAACTTATGTAAAGAAGTGACAGTAAAATGTACTTTTTCAAACACTTTCAATGCTTGTTTGTAAATGTCAGAATTCAGTTCTTTTATTTTCAACTGTTTGAGCTCCTACATTGCATTATAAAGATGACTTTGTTTATAAAAAAATAATGAAATCGTCAGTATTGATAAACTTATTAGTGTTATATTTATACGTGTGTTTATACAGGACATTCATGCAATTTAAGTTGTTTTTTTTAAACAAATTTTGTATTTTTTATTGTTTATTAGGTTAAAAACCGAGAACTTTAAGAACACATGCCAAAACCATGCAATGTTATCCCAATGGCTGCCAGCATTTATTAATAAGAATGCCCACTGTTGCAAAATGAAATACGCCACTGTAAGTAATGACCTCCGTTTTTTTATTTTTCTGTAGTGCCCCCCATGATGATGACTACTGCAAATAAATACATGTTAATGCCATCATTACAATATTAAACTTAATTATTATAGCTGTAAATCAATGTGTCAAGCACTGCCAGTCATGCGAATTAATGCCCAGTAATTAACTCCGACTTTGGTAGGGAGAAGTACAGGGAAACCTTCTAATTCAAAAACTCCTCAAATGATGACACCAAAAAAACTATTTCACAACAAAACAAAAAAATCACAAGTGTAAATCATACAGACACAATCCATGCACATACACATAAAAAAAATCCATGACAAACGGAAACAGAAAGTGGTCCACACAACAACCTGAAAATACACCCTAGCTCATAGCTACCCCGAGTCATAATTCGATTGACCAATGAGAGTTAGAGGCTGACTCATGAATATGCATGTCATCCAAAGTTAGCAGGCTCAGTCAGTTGCAAGATATGGGAGCATGCATAGACCAGCGTTGCACACAAAGGGGGTATAGGCATAAGTAGCACGCAATGGGGTTTGGGCATGGGTTGGGGGAGGGAAAGTAGGCGGAGTTTGGAGCAGGAGGCGGGGTCAAAGTTCACATCGTCCAAATCATCTTTACATACCGCAGTTCCGGCCTTGGTTTTTTATTGTCGCAGCCAGAACACACCGCGTGTAAAGTTACGATGGATGAAAACACAATAGGGGAAAAAAACAATGTTAAAAAAATTCTAACGGTTGATATACTAAAATCTCGAGAAAATTACCAATGTAGATTTTCTACATTCAAATTAGAGTGTTTTAGACTGAACTGCGATTAATTTTATTAAATTTTCAATAGCACAGTCACCCATAGGATAATTTCATCAAAATTGTTAATCTGCATAATTTCACCACAAATATCCATTAAAGGGAATATACAACATTTGCAAACATCGAAAAATAAAACTACCAAGTTTTTGCGAAATACCTTAATAGGATGTTGGTAAATGACAGTCTAAAGCATCCTGTAAAATTATGGCACCTGGTATACTGTCATTTTCAAGAAAAGTGGTATTTTTGTATCAATTTCCAACGCTGATCGGCCGATCAGCGTTGGAAACAACTGGCTTTTTTTCAAATACTGGCCCCAATTGACCATTGCACTTGTTTGCAATCGATTACAAACCTATGAACGGGTACGAGCCAGCTAGACTGGTTCCCTGACCTTACAATTCCCCAATGTATGTAAACTGCTCTGTTTCTTCTTATATGGAGTCAGGGAACCAGACTACAGGAAAATGATCGTGTTTCTTGGTTTTTATAGCATTTTCGAACCCAAAACCTCCAAAAAGTCAGTGTAACTATATTTGCTATATATTTCCAACCCCCCAATTCCATCCATTTCTGAAAATTACAGCAAAAGCAAATGATGTATATTCCCTTTAAGAAAGAAAAGGATGGTATGTGCATGTTAACAAATGAAATTATTTCTCTCCTGCAGTGAGAATTCCAACAAGGAATGAAAGAATGATTGCGTATTTATTCAGTGAGAAATGGAGTTTTAAATTCAAGACGGCGCAGGTAAATCCACACAAAAGTCGGGGTGGGTAGTAAAAACGCTCCAACATACATGTACGTGTAAACATTATAGATAAGAGACAGAAATCGTTTAAAATTTATAATGTCCAAATTATAGCCGGAATTCCAAAAAAAAACAAAAAAAATATGCGAGACTTCCTGGTTTTTGCTGGTTCTGCCAAGGATAAGAAAGGAATCAAGTAAATTCAGGCTGGAGGGTGCAAGACGACAAAACTTTTCTTTCAACGGAAATATTTTGAATGCATTACTGCCATTACATTCAATAACAGCATCCCCAGGTAATTCCCACATCTTTATGCTCGGGCCAGAGGGTGCAAGAGAACTTAACAGAAGGAACCCACTTCACCTTCAAATGAGCGAGTTCAATACATTACTGCCATTACCGTTTACAACCACACTCCCCCTACTCACCCTCTCATCCTGTTCCTTCTGCAGACGTTCGTTCTCCGTCTTTTCCTTCTCGAGCTCCGACTGTTTGTCCAGGGCACCTCGGAGCGGTCCGCACTGATGCGAGTACTCCACTAAGGAGCAGATGTAAGCCACCAGGTTGCCTGCATCCTCCGAGCTGTAGCGGACGGCCGCGATGGTGATGCCGCCAGACTCGAGAGAAGCGGGACTACGACGGGAGGAGGCGGGGAGCTTGGCTCCACCTACAAGATGGATAGATTGGCTAGTTTTACTATACCACTTGAAGCAGTCACATAGTTTTACTATACCACTTTAATAAAGCAGTCAATAAAATTTTACTATACCATTCAAATGAGTCAATATAGTATTTCTATACCACATCTTACTTCAAGCAAGGGACTTCAAGCAACGAGCCCTTCCAGTCACCCCTTCCCCATCTCCCTTGGGCTTGGGCAAGTAGTGCTGTGTACATAGTTTTAATGAACCACTTGCAGCAGTCAATAGTTTTACTATACCACTGGAAGCAGTCAATATTTGTAAAGAATCATCCATCTTACTTGGGACTTCTAGTATGTAGTGAGCCCTCTCCAGTTACCCCTTTCTTTTCTGCTTTGGACTTGGGTAGGTAGTGCATTCATAATTTTTAATGTATCACTTGAAGCAGTCAATATTGTTTTACTACACCACCCAAAGCAGTCAATATAGTGTTAATATACCACATCTTACCAGGGACTTCAAGCAATGAGCCCTCTCCAGTCACCCCTTCCCCGTCTCCCTTGGGCTTGGGCAGGTAGTGCTCCACGTTCAGCCGGATGTTGGGATCAAGTCCGTTCTCCCAGTCCACTCCCTGGAGGGTCTCCACGAACCTCACCGAGTCGTTCAGGATGTTCTGCATCTGCTTCCACTTCTGTTTGTCCGTCAGCTGGTCCTTGGACTCTGCGAATGGTTGGTTTGTTGGTTTGTCGATTGGTTAATTGTTTGATTGGTTTGAGAAGGGAGATGTAAATAAAGTAAAAGATAAAGAAATGCTCAATCTTTTGAAGACTTCTCAAATAATCCCTGAGAATAACTGCAAACCTTAACTCTCCAGATTGGGTCATGTGATTGATCTGAGCTTTATGTCATTTAGACAACTGTATTGCTTTAGAGGGAAAATACTCTTGATTTAACCCTCATTTTCGTGGGAAATGTATGGTGATGGTAATTTTTGAGATAAAGCGAGCACAAAACTGAAAGGAAGAACAATTTGTTTGAAAAATTACAAATCAAGGCAGAGGATTGCAAATTGCAAATTACTGAAATCAAGATGTTTGAAAGCGTTGATACAAAAAAAAATGGAAACTAAAATATTTAGGAGTGCAAATAACAGAACTTACTGGATTTGGTGACAACGCTCTCTCCTTTTTCATGGTGATAACAGAAAAGGTGTTCATGCAGGGTGTGTGTCAGAGCCACGGAGAGTGGTACAGTGCAGGCAAGGGGAAGATTTCAAGGAGGAAAACGGACAAGAAAGAGACGATGAAAATGAGAAAATAAAAAGGAAAAATGAAGAATGATGGGACGGGAGAATAAAAGGTGATCAAGAACAGTGAGTCAATATCTAGCATGCCATGCTGCATCATGCAAACAAAATTGGTGGACAGACGGAGCTTCATGCTAAGCATAAATATACGCTAAGCATAAATGTACGCTAAGAAACTGGTAACCAGCCGAAGTGTCATGCGATGTTCTACCGCTTCCAACTGGTTCCCAACTGATTCTCAGCTAAGCAATATATTCCTGATTTGGGGCCAGTACATAAAATGGGTGTGTCAGAGTGGGTGTTCGATTTGTGTTAATGCAAACATGTAACAGGGCAATTCCGTAAATTTGGACGTGCATATCAGACACTTTAATGAGCTGCTGTTGGAAAAGTGAATGTGATACATCGCTAATGTGACATCTAATGAGTAGAAAACAATTACAGACCAAACTACGGCAGAGAATTGGAGTTTACAGAATTTCCCAACAGACAAACTAAGTATCACATCGGGACGTCTGACTTCAACTAAAAGAACTCTGGTAAGTGGCTTTTAAGTACGTACATAAAATACTTTCGTAAATTTCACGACTATGTCTTCAGCTTCAACAAGTGCGATTTTATTTACCACAATTTTAAAACTTAAATATTTGAGGTCATTTCTGCTGGTGCTCTACAGAAGTTCTCACTTCTATCTGTTAAAATAAAAACCATTGAATAAAATGTTGCCGATGTTTATTTTATGCATCTAGACACTCCACAATACTGTTGACAACATGGGAAATACTTTTGTAACATGAGATTAAATATTTTAAGGTGAGTGGATATAAAATGTGGACCTTCTATTAAAGCAGATGACAAAATTTCATGCCTAGCTGAATGTAAATATGTCAATGAGGCTAAAAATCAAATCATATAATAACCATTTATGAATGAATTTGTGTGGATGTGCCTATATACATGTATGAACTTTTTGAGCATTGGCTTTGTGCATGCACAAGCGAGGGCGCTGTTTCACATAGCCAAGTGTGGGTTAATTTGCATATGATAATTGTACTACAGTGTACCTCCCCCAACGGAAGAGTCTCCCCCCCCCCCCCCAGCTCACGGTTTTGGGATTAATTCGGTGATGCTCTAAAATGGTTACTCCAGCTTAGCATTTAGGCTAAAAGGATACGAGACCCTTAAATACTTTTAATTTATGGAAAACGTTCCAATATGCTAAATTTTTCATGACTTCTTTATGTATGAAATAAAACGATGATGTTTGTTATGCACTGAACTGCAATGAATTAATGACAGCATGTTATCAATTTTGAATGATTTGATTTATGAATGACTGCAGCTAATGTATCTCTTCTCTTAAAAGGTTTAAAGTCTCCACCAAATCTCAGTCAGTCGTACTCGCTTAACATTATAGGTTACCAGCCAAAATGACATATGATATACATTAATTGTAACCGGTACTCGGCTGACCTTGGCTTATGAAATCATTTTCGCTGAGCAGAACATTCGTTAAGCAAATTTTCATGCTTAGCAGGAATAAGCTGAGTACCAGTTGCAATCCATACACAGTGCATGGCAGTTTGGCTGGTGACCTGTTTTTGCTGAGCACATATTTTCTGTACAAAGCAAATTTCTGCGATTACACAGATCGTAACAGCAATGACTGATCGAGACTGGGGAGTCTCTTTAAACCGAGAAGTAGCACCTGATATGATCATGTGACTGACATGTGACTGGAAGATGGTAGTTTATATGTTTTTCTTAGTCTACCTGAGGAGTAGCTCAAATACTTTGATGGTGCTGGTCGGGTCTTCCCTGTAACGACAAGACTTGGGGAATAATTTTTTTGTCGCTCGAATAAAAAACAAAGTTTGTCAGTTTTTGACAAATTGTTAAAACTTCTTTAGCAGTTCTTAGACAATTAACTAGCACTTTTGCTGCTTACCTAGGATTTATGCAGTAGCCTAAGGAACAGTGGCTAGGGTATTTGAAAAAACACCACTATGCCACAACTTGTGTTATGGTTTCTATACTGAACTGTCAAACAAGGTGAATATTAAGAAAAGTATGTTGCTTCTGTTCTTTAGCAGTGTACTTTACCACAATATATTCCCTAGTAAAATAGTTGCGTACTTATGCTTTCCTTGCCACAAAAATGTGGTATTGGGAGTAATTGTCACGCTAACATTCAAGTTAATTCCCAATTTCCTGAACAAAATGTTCCTTTTTAGAACAAAAATCTGATTTCTTAAGGAATGTGCAATATGAGAAGGAAAAAAAAAGGGAACATGCTCAACTCAGTGAAGGAAGTCACTCAACAATCATGCTTGGAGCATGGGTGAAATTTGCTGGACTCCAAAATATCAAACAAAAATGAGATTGATACGGACTCCGTGCACAAACTATAGGTGGCGCTGTTTGATCAGCACGAGAGCGAATGATGGATGCATCGCGACTGTGCACACAGATTCGCATACGCTTATTACATAGACTGCGCACAACTAATTTCCATATAAGTGTACACAAACACGCATTATCTGCTCATAGTAGAATTGCACCGTCGTACTAACACACGGCAGAAATGGCGCTACTGATAAATTAAAAATTGTGACGTAACGTTTTGCGCGACATTTAGTCCATGCCTGCGCTCTCAAATCATACATCAATATTACTTTTCGCTTAATATATGGCCATTCACTTTGACGTGACAGTTAAGACGAAGTCGTTATGACATCATGAAAATTAGGTCTACAGCGCATCCTTAGACACTGGCTGTCATAGGTAGCTGTGCACAGAGCCGATTAAAAAAAAATCATCAAAATGTGCCAAAACATTTCAGAACAAATCAAACACACGTGAACTGCATAAAATCAAAATCTAACAGAAGCGAGAGACTTACTTGGCGTGCGGTGGGGCTTGGTTGGGCTCTTGGGACTGGGCGACGACATGCTCGAATGTCTCCCGGAAAGGACCGAGGCGTCTTCGTTGGGCACTTTCTCTGATCGGTCCGGGTGCTGCCTGAGGGGCTTGTTCTTGCCGAGCAACGCCATGACCATCTCCATGACTTGGAGGACGATCTGCGGAGGGTTCTGGAAGGACTTGAGACGCTCGATGCAGGAGCGGTCAACTTTCTCCCGCCAGTGAATCACCTGAAGAAACGATGACAGAAAGCTTGCATGTATTTATCCATTATTTGACTTTTGACTTAGATAGCTCCAAAGTTGTTTAACTTATTTCCTCAATGGTCCTTTGGTAGAAGATCAGAAAGGGAATAACAGCGATCAGAACAACCCCAGAATGACATTTCCTAGAAACCAATGGAATCAGGCAGGGACTGAAAACCCAATGCACATGATGGCTCGGGCAGGATTCGAACCCAGGTTACTGAATTGAAAGGCAAGAAAAGTATTGCTACACCAAGCCACATGCATTTGTTTGGGTAAAACAACATGAGAAATGCACAAAACCACATATAGGTGCACACGTGTCGGACTTATATTGGTAGCGCTCTCATGATTGTGATAGGTCAAAGCGTCATGAGATGAGGCTTAAGAAATCGGTCTAGCATTCAAGCAAGTTATGGACACATACCTGGTCTCTGGCCTTCTGTAAGACCTGCCGGCAATCTACAACCTTCTTGATGGCCAACTCCAGCTCCTCATCAATCGCCATCTTACGAGACTGTAGATTCTCCTGTCGCATCCGCTCAAATTCCTTGTCGTACTCATCTCTCTCCTCTGAAAAATCAAAAAGAAAATTTTAAATATTTATCTGCATGAAAATTTCCTCCAAAAACCACAGGCATTCAAATTAGACTGGAGACTCCCTCAAGAAAACACGTATTCAGAAAAAAATAAAAGTAAAACTGCACGTAATTCAAACCGAAATCAGCAGCCCATTTTATGGAAGCACAAAATATGGTAAGCACGGAAAATATTTGCTTAGCAAAAGATGGGTTACCAGCCAAAATATCATGCAAGATTTACATCATTTTAACTGGTTCTCAGCTTTTTTTTTTTTTGCTTAGCACAACTTTTGCTAAGCAATATTTTCTCTCTTCTGGAAAGTCCTTTTTTACAGGCCTCAAACTGCTTAAATAGGCACTGAAACTAAAATTAGGAGGCAGCAATGCATAACCAATCCAAAGAACACTTGAGTATAGTGCCCTCTATCGAGTGTGCATAAGGGTCAAGCAAAGACCCACCAGCGGCAAGCAGTTCGTCCTCTATCTCCTCGTCGCTCTCAACCTCGTGCATCTGCAAGAAAGCGCTCAGGCTGTTGCCGGCCTCATCAAACTGCGCCTTGGTCTTCTCCAGGACGGTTGCCCGCAGCGTCAGGCTTGAGAGCAGGGAGGCCACCTTCTCGCTGGCCTGCTCGTACTCCACCTGCAGCTGCTTGATGTCGCGCTTCTTGGCCAGGGTGTCCTGCTGGGTGCGGGCCAGGCAGGACAGGGCTTTCCTGTTGAGAGAAGCAAGATGGGTATGCATTATAAAGCTTGTACAACTGTGTTTTGATGATAAATTTCTAAAGAAAAATAATAGACTTTTCCCTGCTAACAAATTATACAAGAAAAAATAAGAGTCTTCTTAAAATAAAGTTTCCATGCATACTTTACGGCACCCATTCATATACAATTATACCATTGGAGTTAGGAACAGGACACTTTATCTTACAAATAATTTACAAAATACTTAACATTTTACCACAAAAAGGTAATTTCTGGAATTGTCTAAATTTAACATCTATTTGTGAAAATTGCTTAACATTATTGATTTTGCACTAAGCAACAAGGACTCTTTTTTGACAGCTTCAATTCAAGATGGATGTATTTTCTGTTAAAATTATGGCTTTTATTAACAAACGTATTTTGCAAGATAAGCACTAATTTCAGATAGGAACCACACTTTTTTCATTTATTTGCAAAAAACTCTGAAACCTCAGAAATAAATAAAAATATACTTAAGAACTGATCAGTTGTCACAGTTTTCTTTTTGTCTTTAGGTTTGTTACTTGCTTTTGTTTGATTGTCTTTGTTTTGTTGGTTTGTTTGTTCTTCTTTTGGGGGAGGGTTTGATTTTGAGATTAGGGATGCAAGTTCACCTGAGCTGTCCCACTTTGGCGGTGTTCTCTTTGCCCTTGGTGCTGTAGATGTACCGGAAGCAGTCCAGGAATCGACGGAAGGTACGGGGACCCATGAAGATCTCATGCTTGCCCGGCATGTTGGGGTCTCGGTGATTCAACTAGAGAAAGAAACTTGACTGTCAATTACAAAATGTATGCACGTCCAAAAGAGAACTCACAATGCAGTATCTCGATGGGAGGGCCCATTCAGAATCAGACACTCTTCATCAGGGGTGAATTGGGGGGAAATGAAAAATTATTCGCCGGAGGGTTTGGGGCGGCTGTTGGCCCCAGAACAACATAGGGTCTGTGGTATACGTTTGTATTTCCTAAAAGAAGCCCTTAAATTATCCATTTCTTTTGCACTACATAAACTTTTAAAGATAAAACAACTTTACGGTAAACCTATGGAATTCTGCTTTTCAAACAGGATTCTTTAAAAATTTTGAGATCGGGAAAAATCTTTACCCAAAACCCCCTAAAATCAGAAGAAATCCTGACAAATCTCACCCCTGCTTCATGGCACTACAAACCATTTTTATTTTCTTCAGCATTTCGTCCCTCCCAACTTCCGATTTTACAACTTGAGCATTCATTAAAATTCCCAAAATGATACTACCAACCACCATGGCTTTTAAATCTGAGCCCAATTTCCTGGAGCTGGTTAGGAAATAATACCGCTTAGAAAATGTATGCGCTAAGCAAAAATTGTTTGAGTCCGGGTCACAAGCAATACACATCGCACCTGTATTTTTTGGTTGATAACCTTTTCTTGCTTAGCAAAAATATTGTATGTGCTTAGCAAGTTTCAGTGCTAAGCCGCTCAATAAAATTGGCATCTAGGCTTACCTTGATGCGTTCCTTCATGATGAGTTTAGTGTACGGCAGGTTGGGCACGTCCAGCGTCTGCACCTTGATGGCCTCCTTCTTGCCGTGGATCTTGAGCGTGGTGATCTGGACGGTGTCACTGGTTTCCCCCGCCCAGGGGATCTGATTACAGTCGTGCAGTATGAAGCTGTGGATGTTGGACAGGCAGGATACCAGTTTCTCCCTGAAGAAAGAAAAAAAAATACATTTCAAATTTTTCTAAAATATTAATTCTGCTCGAGAATGAAGTATGTTTTAATTAAAAGACTTTGAGTAATATGACCAACAAAACCTATCTGTTCTTAACAGGAGCCGAGGCCCCAAGGCCCCAAGTTTTGTCTTCAGTGACAAGAATATTTAGATTGCGTTGCAAGTGTTTTACATTTTTTCAACAACGGGTGAGGTAGGCAACTTAGAAGGGTAGTTTCGTGGGCCTAGATTTTGTGGAAGTGCCAGGCAAAAAATACTGCTTATCAAATTAATCTGCTAAGCAAGAACTAGCTGGGAACAGTTATAAGCAACACATATCCTATGGCAGTTTGGCTGGTGACCAGTTTCTGCTAAGCAAATATATTACGTGCTAAGCAAATTTCAGGTCTAGTTTCACTGAACTGAACAGCAAAAATATCGCTTAAAGTTAAGTGATAAGCAGCAAACACTGGTCAGCAAAATTTACTAAGCAAATTTATATGCTTCGTAGCATTAGAAACTAGAGCTTAAGACTTTCGTTATTACTGACCTTGTTTCAGGCGTGCTGTCTTTGGCTAAAGTGTGCTTGTGTATGAAGTAGGTGGCTTCGCCGAGCAGTGCACTCTGGGACCAATCGCACATCCAGTTCATCTGCATGCCGGTCACAAGGCCTGGGTATTCACTGCAAAAACAGGTGAGACAAAAAGCTGAATTGTTTACTTTGTTTTTCAATAATCACAAGTTAATCATTAGTCATCACGAGTCAATCATGAGTCAATCACAAGTCATCACAAAAGTCAGTCACAAGTTAATATTACAAGTCTTTGCAATTCATCACAAGTTATCACAAGTCATCATAAGCCAATCACAAGTCACCATAAGTAATCTCCAGTCAATCACAAGTCAAAAATAGTCAATCACAAGTCATCACAAGTCATCACAAGTCATTGCAAGAAAAGTCAATCACAAGTCAATCACAAGTCATCACAAGTCATTGCAAGAAAAGTCAATCACAAGTCAATCACAAGTCAATCACAAGTCAATCACAAGTCATTAAAAGTCAATCAAGTCACCAACCACAAAGTCAATCATAAGTCATCACAAGTCAATCCCATATCATCCGAAGTCATCAAGTCTCATTTCAAGCGACAAGCCATCTAAATGTACTATTTTACAAAGGCCTTTCTTTGTCAATGTTCATCCCATTACTTGCGACTCCACTTATAATTTGACTTGTGACTAAAAATGTGAGAGTGACTTATGACTGCTGATAATTGACTTGTGACTGACTTGAGATTGACTTGTGACTGACTTGAGATTGACTTGTGATTGACTTAAGATTGACCTGTGATTGTTTTGTGATCAAATTAACTTGTGATTTGACTTATGATGAGTTATGACTGACTTGTGATTGTCTCGGTCACAACTCTAACCACTCACCTGGGGGCGATACGAAGCAGTCTTTCTGTCGGAGGCACGCAGATGATAATGTGGAGGTTGGTCTTGACCCGAGAGACAAAGAACTTCATGGGGTCAATCAGGGTGTTGGGGAAGTGCCGCTTCATGGCCGGCCCAAGAGCCTTGGGGGGAAAAAGAGAACATCAAATCAGATCACTTGGCACAATTGGTGCGGGTTCGAATCCCAACTGAGTACACTTACAAAGATTCAAAATTGCTAACCCAAGAGCAGGAAGGAAATTTTGGCCAATATGAGTCAGACTCAAACATTGACCAAAACAACTTACCGTAAATAAAATTTTAAACCAACATAATGCTTTTCCAAAAGTGCTTTTATCTGAAGTCTGAGTTTAAAATTAACAACAAGTTCACAATCAGTCAAACTTCTCATTTGTCTAAACCATGTAAACAGCCGCATATGAGAATCTCTACTTTTGTGGGATGAAGCTACTATACAGCTAAACAATCAACATGAACACAATATGTCATCTAAGTTACCCATTGTACCAAACAAATTTCCGGCCAGATATTAACATTTTCTACATAGCTGTTCTAAGTTTAAATGATAAATGCAAACCGGATTTTTTTTTTTTCAGAGGAAACCACTGTCGTGAGTACACAGTTCTGAAGTTACACTTAGGATTTACAACCTGACAAAAGCGTTCGGCAAATTTACCATGGAAGCTTTAATAATTAAAGTGGTGAAGTGTAACCAAGGCGATGCGCGGTAGTCTGCACCACGCCACTGCAAACTGCAGATCCACAGTTTACCGGTATTAAAACCAGTGGCAACGTTTGAGAAAATAAGAAGCCTATTCATCCTCATCAAAGGCACTTAATTGATGCCGACGTGTTCTTTTTGTCCACAGCCTTTTAACTTAAATGAACCACAATGTTAAAGAAATGTGAGTTTTTTTTAGTGTGTTTTAGGGTTAAAAAAAAATCACAGATTCCGAGAAAGGTTGAAAATGACAGTGAATAATGACTTAGGCCACAGAGGAATTAAGTCGCGTGGAATTAAGAGGATAAATCTTCCATCAAAATTTTAAGGTTTAATCTGTCTTTGTAAGAATTTTTTTTTTAATAAAAAATTCTAAGAATTAAATTAAACATAAACACAAACAAAACAATATGTGCTACATTGTATACATTAATCAACATTTACAAGTATTGACAATAACAAGAAAACAAAAGTGAATTTCATAATTATTATTTGAAGGCCTTTGGGAGGCTTTCAGCTTTATGAAACGGGTTGTACGGTGGCGGGACTACGAGTCGGTAATGGACTTCTTAATTAATTTACATTATCAATCTCTGCCAAAAATGGACAAGGCATTACCAAAGCAATCAAAGCAACAGACAGTGTCCTACGGACATCAATTACAGGATTAGTCTAAATCTGAGACAGTGTACAAGGCTGTGTGTATATAAATGAGCATGTCACCTATACAGTGGTAGTTTTTATTGTGCTTGGCTGTGACACCGACATCAGAACTTCTGAGCAAAGCCTGGGGAGGCTGTCCGAGAGGAAACTGCCTGGAAAACGTTCTGCTGGAGATTGGAGTTTTGGCAAGGGGGAGTTATGTGTCAGTGTTCCCCTGTTAGTTTTGAGGAAGTTACAGTGTTTTTTGTATTGACTGCAAGAAACAAATGTTTTCTGTCGACTTCACAAAATTTCTCTTGACTTCACAAGTTGCCAAACAGACCTCAAAAATTGTGATGATAAAACTGCAATGTTTAGTCTTGGAGAGTTTTACGAATGTGCAACTTACAACTGTGAAAACTGAACTGGAGAGTGACCACAAGAAACTACACGGAGTTGTTGAAGTTGTGAATAGATGTGGTGTTTGAGAGTCCAAGAAATGGCCAATATCTGGACAAGCTACAACGGACTGTTGTTTTTGCAACACAACCTACGACTGTAACAACTGAGCAGGGTAGTAACTGCAAGAAAACTGGTTGAATTTGTTGGCTTTGTAAACAAAAAATATTTGCGGTGTTTAGAGTTTAACAATGGCTGATTTATCAACTACCAGTGCAGGACTGTCACCAGTTCTTATTGCTCTGCGGACTTGCTTCATCGTTTTCCTTGGACTGCTGATTGTAGCTGGCAATATTCTCTCGATCTCTGTGACGCGCCGCGTGACCAACTTGGCCGACAGCACCAAGGTCCTCATGACCACGTTGGCGGCCAGCGACCTGCTCGTTGGGTTATTGTCACTTCTCAACAGCGTCGCTTCGGGTCTTAACCGGTGGCCGTATGGTGACATAGGATGCACCATTGCCTCATACTGTATGAATACGATTCTCTGCATGTCCATCTATTCAATTATCTGCTTGAACGTGGATCGTTACATCGCGATAACAAAACCGTACAAGTTTCCTGTGTGGTGCACCAAACGACACGCTATCATACTTGTAGTCAGTCTGTCAATTTCCTCTCCACTTAGTTTAATGATCCCACTGGTTTTTGGAGCGCAAGCACAGTACTTCCCCGGCTCAGCATTGTGTTTTTTCGGAAGCAATTCAAACGTGGTAAACACACTTGCTCTTCTGTTTATCGATACTTTCCCAACGCTTGTCATGGCGGGAATCTACTATCGCATCATTCGCATCAGTCGCCGACACGAGCTACGAGAAAACTGTAACCAGAACCAGGGGAACAACGTCGCCAGGGAGCACAAGGCGCTGAAGACGTTTCTCATGGTGACGTTGACATTTTCCATGTGTTACACGCCGTTCAGTTTGGTGCGCATGGTGGAGGGTTTCACAGGCTGGATCACTCCGGACTGGCTCGACATTCTAACGGCCTGCTTGCTTTATTCCAACAGCGCCTTCAACGTGTTTATTTACTGTCTCTTCAACCAGGCTTACCGCCAAACGGCAAAGAAGATTATTACGGAGAGACTCCCGTGTTTGAAAAGGTCGACCGTTGGACCAGTAAATATCTAATGGCAAGACTTTTTAAAAATAAAAGTGACCAACCACGTGACAAAAGATCATTTGAGAAGGCAGCTACAATGAAAGCAGAAACATGCACGCCACTGTCTCTTAACTAAGTATTCAAGATGTCATTAATAATTAAGTCAGCTCATTTTCAGGATAATTGCAAAATTGCAAAAGACAGTCAACGTCCCTCAGTTCTTTAATAATGCCATAAATTTGTAAAAAGGTAATAATCTTGCGGAAATGATGTCTTTGCTGTGTTAGTATTGCTTAATGATGAGTGTCACTGAATAAACTAGTAGAGTTAGCCTTGGGATCAATCTCAATTATTTCTTTTTTGAAAGAAGTTGTTGCAATTTATGCTATCAAGACTTTTTTTCTTTCTTAAAAGCATGATTGTTTAAACTCAGTGTTGGACCAAGGACTTTGAAAATAAAAAAGAGAAAATAGGAAAAAAAAAAAAAACCTGTTTATTTCATCATTTCATAGTTTTAGCCCTTAGTGATTGTGACTTTATTAAAAATGGTTGTATGGGGGGGGGGAGGAGCTACATGCCATTTGGTAAATTGGGTAATGGACTTCTTTTATTACACCATCAATCTCTGCCGAAAATGGAGAGGGCATTACGGCAACCAATCACATCATCAGACAGGGTCTTACAGACAGCAATTGCCAGATTACTAATTAATTGCCATAGTGCACTCAGTGTGGGCTAATAGTATATTACAATCACTTGCATCTATACCATGGCAGTTTTGATTGTGCTTGGCTGTGACACGGATGGCAGAAATCTGAGCAAAACCTTGGGAGGCTGTCTGAGATGTAACTGCATGGGAAAAGTTCTCCTGGAGATTGGAGTTTTGGCAAGAGGGAGTTATGTGTCAGTGTTCCCCTGTTAATTTTGAGGAAATAACAGTGCTTTTTGTATTGACTGCAAGAAAAAAATGATCTCTGTTGACTTCACAAATTTGCTGTCAACTTTACAAGTTCCCAAACAAAACTCTTAAAAATTTTGATGATAAAATAATAATGTTTAGTCTCGGAGTGTTTTAAGAATGTGCAACTTACAACTGTGAAAACTGAACTGAAGAGTGACCACAAGAAACTACATGGATTTGTTGACTTGTGAACAGCTGTAGTGTTTGAGAGTCCAACAAATGGCCAATATCTGGAGAAGCTACAACGGACTGTTGTTGTTTTTGTTGGCTTTGTAAAAAAAAAAATATTTGTGGTGATTAGAGTTTAACAATGGCTGATTTATCAACTACCAGTGCAGGACTGTCACCAGTTCTTATTGCTCTGCGGACTTGCATCATCGTTTTCCTTGGACTGCTGATTGTAGCTGGCAATATTCTCTCGATCTCTGTGACGCGCCGCGTGACCAACTTGGCCGACAGCACTAAGATCCTCATGACCACGCTGGCAGCGTACGACCTGCTCGTTGGGTTATTGTCGCTTCTAAACAGTGTCACCTCGGGTCTTAACCGGTGGCCGTATGGTGACATAGGATGCACAATTGCTTCATACTGTATGAATACAATTCTCTGCATGTCCATGTATTCAATCATCTGCCTGAACGTGGATCGTTACATCGCGATAACAAAACCGTACAAGTTTCCCGTATGGTGCACTAAACAACGCGTTATCATACTTGTAGTCAGTCTGTCGGTTCTCTCTCTGCTAAGTTCAGGGGCTAATCCACTGGTTTTTGGAGTGCACGCACAGTATTTCCCTGGCCCAGCAATGTGTTTTTTCGACAGCAATTCAAATGAGGTGAACGTAGTTGGTCTTCTATTAATTGATACTATCCCAACACTTGTCATGACAGGGCTTTACTATCGCATTATTCGCATCAGTCGCCAACACGAGCTGCGTGAAAACCGTAACCAGAACCAGGGGAACAACATCACCAGGGAGCACAAAGCACTGAAGACGTTTCTCGTGGTGACGTTGACATTTTCCGCGTGTTACACGCCGTTCGCTATGTTGCGCATCGTGGAGGGTTTCACAGGCTGGATCACTCCGGACTGGCTCGACATTCTAACAGTCTGCTTGCTTTATTCCAACAGCGCCTTCAATGTGTTTATTTACTGTCTCTTCAACCAGGCTTACCGCCAAACGGCAAAGAAGATTATTACGGAGAGACTCCCGTGTTTGAAAAGGTCGACCGTTGCACCAGTAAATATCTAATGGCAAGACTTTTTAAAAAGAAAATTCACCAACCACTCAGCAAAAGATCATTTGAGGTGGCAGCTACGATAAAAGCAGAAACATGCACGCCACTGTCTCTAAACTCAGTATTCAGGATGTCATTAATAATTAAGTCAGCTCATTTTCAGGATAATTGCAAAAGCCGTAATGGGCTTTGTCAAAGACAGTCAACATCCCTCAGTTCTTTAATAATGCCATAAATTTGTAAAAAGGTAATAATCTTGTGGAAATGATGTCTTTGCTATGTTAGTATTACTTAATGATGAGTGTCACTGAATAAACTGGTAGAGTTAGCCTCGTGAAGAAATCTTAATTACATTCTTTTAAAGAGGTTGTTTCAATTTATGGAATCAAGGCCTTTTTTCTTTTTAAAAAGAACGATTGTTTAAACTAAAGTGTCGGACCAAGGACTTTAAAAATAAAAAAGAGAAAAGAGGAAAAAAAAACCTGTTTATTTCATTATTTCATAATTTTAGCCTTTTGTGAGACTTTCAGTCTTGTGACGGTGACTTCCATTAAAAAGGGTTGTATAGGGGGAGGAGCTATGTGTCATTTGGTGAATTGGGTAATGGACTTCTTTTATTACGACATCAATCTCTGCCGAAAATGGAGAGGGCATAACGGCAACCAATCACATCATCAGACAGGGTCTTACAGACAGCAACTGCCAGATTATTAATTAATTGCCATAGTGCACTCAGTGTGGGCTAATAGCATATTACAATCACTTGCATCTATAGGGCCTACAGTGGCAGTTTTGATTGTGCTTGGCTGTGACATGGACGGCAGAAATCTGAGCAAAACCTTGGGAGGCTGTCTGAGATGTAACTGCATGGGAAAAAGTTCTCCTGGAGATTGGAGTTTTGGCAAGAGGGAATTATGTGTCAGCGTTCCCTGTTAGTTTTGAGGAAATTACAGTGCTTTTTGTATTGACTGCAAGAAAAAAATGATCTCTGTTGACTTCACAAATTCGCTGTCAACTTTACAAGTTGCCAAACAAAACTCTTAAAAATTTTGATGATATTAAATAACAATGTTTAGTCTCGGAGCGTTTTAAGAATGTGCAACTTACAACTGTCAAAACTGAACTGGAGAGTGACCACAAGAAACTACATGGATTTGTTGACTTGTGAACAGCTGTAGTGTTTGAGAGTCCAACAAATGGCCAATATCTGGAAAAGCTACAACGGACTGTTGTTGTTTTTGTTGGCTTTGTAAAAAAAAAAATTTGTGGTGATTAGAGTTTAACAATGGCTGATTTATCAACTAACAGTACAGGACTGTCACCAGTTCTTATTGCTCTGCGGACTTGCTTCATCGTTTTCCTTGGACTGCTGATTGTAGCTGGCAATATTCTCTCGATCTCTGTGACACGCCGCGTGACCAACTTGGCCGACAGCACCAAGGTCCTCATGACCACGTTGGCGGCGTACGACCTGCTCGTTGGGTTATTGTCGCTTCTAAACAGTGTCGCCTCGGGTCTTAACCAGTGGCCATATGGTGACATAGGATGCACCATTGCCTCATACTGTGAAAATACAATTCTCTGCATGTCCATGTATTCAATCATCTGCCTGAACGTGGATCGTTATATCGCGATAACAAAACCGTACAAGTTTCCCGTATGGTGCACCAAACGACGCGTTATCGTACTTGTAGTCAGTCTGTCGGTTCTCTCTCTGCTAAGTTCAGGGGCTAATCCACTGGTTTTTGGAGTGCACGCACAGTATTTCCCTGGCCCAGCAATGTGTTTTTTCGACAGCAATTCAAATGAGGTGAACATAATTGGTCTTCTATTAATTGATACTATCCCAACACTTGTCATGACAGGGCTTTACTATCCTATCATTCGCATCAGTCGCCAACACGAACTACGTGAAAACCGTAACCAGAACGAGGGGAACAACATCGCCAGGGAGCACAAAGCGCTGAAGACGTTTCTCGTGGTAACGTTGACGTTTTGCGCGTGCTACACGCCGTTCGCTACGTTGCGCATCATGGAGGGTTTCACAGGCTGGACGACTCCGGACTGGCTCGGGTTTCTAACAGTCTGCTTGCTTTATTCCAACAGCGCCTTCAACGTGTTTATTTACTGTCTCTTCAACCAGGCTTACCGCCAAACGGCAAAGAAGATTATTACAGAGAGACTCCCGTGTTTGAAAAGGTCGACCGTTGGACCAGTAAATATCTAATGGCAAGACTTTTCAAAAAGAGAATTCACCAACCACTCAGCAAAAGATCATTTGAGGTGGCAGCTACGATAAAAGTAGAAACATGCACGCCACTGTCTCTTAACTAAGTATTTAGATTGTCAATAATAATTAAGTCAGCCCACAGGGTAATTGCAAAAGCCGTAATGGGCTTCATCAAAGGTAATCAACGTCCCTCAGTTTTTTATATTGCCACAAAATTTGTGACAAGGTTAATAATAATCTTGTGGAAATGATGCTCTTGCTATGTTAGTATTGCTAGGGGTTGTATAGGGAAGGAGAGCTATGGACATCTTAATTACGACATCAATCTATGCCAAAAATGAAGAGGGCATTACGGAAAGCAATGACATCATCAGACAGGGCTATACTGACAGCAGTCTTACTGCCGGAGATTGGTGTTTAATAATTGAGATAGTGTACAGGGCTGAGCACATATTAGGCTGGCGTATCATCTATACGGGGACAGTTTCGACTGCGCTTGGCCAAGGCACGGACTGCAGAAATTCTGAGCATAACCCAGGAAGGCTGATTGAGATCGACCCACCAGAAGAACATTCTGCTGAACCCTGGAGTTTCGGCCAAGGCTAAATTATGGGTCTGTTTTTCCCAATGGGTTTGAGGAAATTACAGTGCTTTTTGTAATTGACTGCCAGAAAAAAAATTCTGGTGACTGTAATTTTGGTCAGGGGAAATCATGCACTGATTTTACACGACGGTTTTGAGGAAGTACCATAATTTTGTTTGCAGTGATGACTGGAGATTTGAACTTGTATCATATGTACATATGTAATTAAGAACAGACGATACTTGTAAAGCTTTCATATTGATTGCTAGGCACCTTGATGATACTGCCTTACTTTAATCTGATTGGCCTGATTCTGAAGCACACATACACGAAGAACGCAGAGCCTATTCGAATGTGTGTGGAAATTTAATACATCTCCGGCTAAAGCTTTGGTATTGGTTGCTAGTTACCGGTACCTTGGTGATACTGCTTACTTTAATCTGATTGGCCTGATTCTGAAGCACACATACACGAAGAACGCAGAGCCTATTCGAATGTGTGTGGACATTTAATACATCTCCGGCTAAAGCTTTGGTATTGGTTGCTAGTTACCGGTACCTTGGTGATACTGCCTTAATCTGATTGGCCTGATTCTGAAGCACACATACACGAAGAACGCAGAGCCTATTCCAATGTGTGTGGAAATTTAATACATCTCAGGCTAAGCTACATTTCAGGCAGTTCAACATGGTAGCAGCAAGTCATTTTCAGCTGTGGTCATGAGCACCAGTTAGCAGTGGTGCACGCTTCATGCAATAGGCTCTCAATATTTCTTGACTTTGGAATGAGCACACTAAACTCAACGTTTTTGATCAACTTTGCGTATTCATGCTCACAGAGGTTTCAAAGAAATTGTAGTGCAGCCTACAACTTTCAGAACTGAACTGCAGATTGACTGCAACAAACTGCAAGGATTTGTCAACTTAAGAATATTATTGATTAGCACATTTTGAGTCCCAAAGATGGCTGATTTATCAAGCAACTACACTGAACTGTCGCCTGTTTTAGTCGCTCTGCGGACTTGCTTCATCGTTCTCATTGGACTGCTGATTGTAGCTGGCAACATTCTTTCGATCTCTGTGACGCGCCGCATGACCAACTTGGCCGACAGCACCAAGGTCCTCATGACCATGTTGGCGGCCAGCGACCTGCTTGTTGGGTTATTGTCACTTGTCACCAGCGTCGCTTCCGGTCTTAACCGGTGGCCGTATGGTGACATAGGATGCACCATGGCCTCATACTGTATGAATACGATTCTCTGCATGTCTTTGTTCTCAATAATCAGCCTGAATGTTGATCGTTACATCGCGATAACGAAACCTTACAAGTTTCCTGTATGGTGCACCAAACGACGGGCCATCATTCTTGTACTCGCTACGTCAATTGTATCTGTATTAGGTTCAATACCTGCGTACTTAATAGGAACCCAGTATTTCGCCGGCCCAGCGTTGTGCTATTACAGAAACGGTACAAATGTGCTAAACATAATTGCCTTTCTGTGGTGTAATATCATCCCGACGCTTGTCATGACGGGACTCTACTATCGCATTATTCGCATCAGTCGCCAACACGAGCTACGGGAAAACCGTAACCAGAACGCGGAAAACAACGTCACCAGGGAGCACAAAGCGCTGAAGGCATTTCTTGTGGTGATGCTGACGTTTTCTGCGTGCTACATACCTTTTAATTTGATGCACATCGTGGAGCGTTCAACGGATTGGGCCAGTCCGGACTGGCTCAGGTTTCTAACTTTTTGGTTGCTTTATTCCAACAGCGCCTTCAACGTGTTTATTTACTGTCTCTTCAACCAGGCTTACCGCCAAACGGCGAAGAAGATCATTACCGAGAGACTCCCGTGTTTGAAAAGGTCGACCGTTGGACCGTTGAATATCTAATCGATATATGCATGAACAGTAGGTGGCGCCGTGTCATCCACGGTGTGAGCACCATGTGCAAGACACAATGTGCTCGTGTATTGGTTCGTGGGTGCACGTGCACAGTACGCAAGAATCATTCTAGCTTGTGAACAAGCTTGAATCGTGTCAGTGTCAGGCTTAAGGCATCCCTACATTCATAAGTTCATCTTAACTCTCCCTCTTTGAGGGGATACCATCGAGGGGGTAAGTCTTGGGGTTCCCGGCACTTTATGAAAACAAGATTCCCTGAGTTTTCCCTGATGTTTCCCTGAGAAGTTTCCACAATTCCCTGAGAAATATGTTCACTTTAACGAGGATTCTGGGAAGTCAAAAGGTGGTTGCAGCAAAGCAACTAAGCTAAAGTCTGATACTAGTCACACCGCATAAACGATTATTTCAGCAGCGATTTTGGAAGTTGTTTGATCGACAGTGTGACATAAACAACATTTAACTCCGGCACACTTTTTTGTCGTGAGTGAAGTACCGTGCCTTTTTTTTCTCTCAGATTTTTCATCTTCGCTTATAAAAGTTTATAATTTTTCATTTTTTATCTCAAAGATGTAGGAAATACAGCGCTTGCTCGATAATACAAACGAGGTCATTGATTTATCGTGATTAATTTTGTGTTTGATTAATCGATTATTGCAGTTTGATAATCACACATCACTAGTATACACTAAAAAGCAACCATGAAAAGTCAGTCATTGGGCACAATTTTGGGAACATGGCACAAGACGCACAAACACCACACTGGCTAAAATGTTTTCCTTCTGGGTAACTGTCAAATTCCCAGATTTTCCCTGTTGTTTTGTGTGTTTTTCCCAAATTCCCTGAGTTTTTCCCTGACTGCAAAACGGAAACTACTTTTCAAGCTTTTCCGTATTTCTTTGTACTTGTGTATCGCACAACATCAATCGTATTTTAATTAGAACCACCACACAACAATTTAGAAAGGCCTCACGCAGTGAGACTGTGTTTTAGTTTTTTAAACATCATGGGGGCGGCTCAAATTTGCAATATTGCGGTTGTCAATTATAATTACGTCAGCCTACAGGGTAATTGCAAAAGCCGTAATGGGCTTTGCCAAAGACAGTCAACGTCCCTCAGTTCTTTAATAATGCCATAAATTTGTAAAAAGGTAATAATCTTGCGGAAATGATGTCTTTGCTATGTTAGTATTGCTTAATGATGAGTGTCATGTAATAAACCAGTAGAGTTAGCCTCGTGAATCAATCTTACTTTATTTTTCATCTAAAAGAGGTTGTCGTAAATGACAGTACCAAGGCTTTCTTCTTTCAAACGCAGCAATTATAGAGTTGAATCAAGGATTTTTCAAAAGGGGTTGTCGATCAACTTTTGCTACACAAACAAAAATACTTAGATCGGATCGCAGATTTCAGTAATAAACTTTTTGAAATCGCTTACCTGAAGAAGTCCGTCCAGTTCATCATTGGAGAAGAGGGGAGGGTACTCGCCACAAACAAGCAAACTGTTGATAGCGTCTAGGTACACTTCTTCCTTTAGGTCTCGGGCCTGTGTTTGAAGCAAGAGAGAGGAGGGCACTGACTATAAATTGGAGAATCTTGATTTTGGCCATTATGAATCGTGGCTAGTACGGCAGATAGGTGATGGGATTGTGCCTTTGATGCACACAGCAGGAATACGTCCTAAGAAAGATATTTGGCTATAGGGCCATCGCAGATTTGTCCTTTGACAAAATATAGATAGAATAACAAGCAATGGCAGCCATTTTGAAAATTTTGAAAATCGCTTGTTATTCTACCTATATTTTTTAAAGGACAAATCTGCGATGGCTCTATAGCCAAATATCTTTCTCATGACATACTCTGACTGCGTGCCAAATGCCATGCTTGTATCATCAAAGGCACAATTCCCCCAAATATTGCCCCTATCTGCCCCACTATAGGGACTGGGTAGGGGTTCGAGTGGGGTTATAACCTGCGACATCTCGAGCACTGTACTGGTGGTCTACCAACTGGAAGTCTCCCAATTTGTCAATGTCTTTGTTCCGGAAACAATTAAGAAGCCAAAACAGACAGCCAATATAGGGCTGGATAGCTCAGTTGGTACAGCACTGGTGCATTGTTTTTGTGGTCAGGGGTTCACTTTCTAATTCAGTCAATTTCTTTCTTGAAGCAATTTTACATAAAGGTAATCCGGCGGTCTCCCAATGTGTCATACAGGGGACCTGTCAGAAATAACCTGAACGGAGACATTTACAAATTGAAAATTACTGACACAAGGTTTCAGAGCTCAGTTGGTGGAACACCAGTGCTGCATTTGGAGGTCTTAGGATCAAATCCCGCTTCAGTTAATTTCTTTGTTGCCTCTACATTTGAAAGTAAACGTCAGACTCAGCAACTTCCCCTTAACTGCAGGTTTGAATCCCACTCTAGTCAGTTATTTGTTCAACCTACAGTTTTCAAGATCTTCCAATTGAAAGCAGGTTCGAATCCCACACCAGACATTAATTTATCCAACGTGAAGTTTTCAAGACGGACTTACAGTGAACATGAGGGTCAGCATCTTTCCCTCGGTGCCGGCCAGCCGGACGGCCGAGCGCAGTCCGTCAAAGAAGTTATTGCTCCTGGACGTGTCGATGGGGTGGATGGGCATGTCGGCAACGTGGAGGGCCAGGTTGACCAGCGTGGTCAGGTGACTGCCGATGGCGCCCACCATCAACAGGTTACCGCTGAAAAAAATGAGACGACACCACTGAATATTCATCAGGTCTAATTTGCATATTCTTACAAGGGAGCACCGTGATCCAATGGTTAAGTTGTTTAACTCACGTGCCAGGGTACGTGCGTTCGAAACCAAGCTGCTTGTGTTCTTGGGCAAGACACTTTACAACAATTGCCTCTCTCAACCCAACTACTCCACTGGCAACTATCGGTTGAAGGTGAAAAAATTGATTTACCCATGATGGAAGCTGAGTACGCGATGAATCCTGATCACATGATGGATGATATCATCGGACAGCATGATGTTGATGGTCACATTGCCAAACTCCTCGTTATAGCGGGTCAGGTGGGAGTGGACGCACTGGTGGACCTTGTCCAGCTGCTCGACGGGTTGCAGGACGACCTGGGGACGAAAAAGAGAAATGGTCAAACTCTGAAAATTGGCCTGAGTTCCTGCAGTCAAATCATGCCCAGCGCCCAATGTCACAGAGCTGCTAAGCGGAAAAATCCTGCTTAGCAAATTTGTGTGTTAAGCAAAAGTCAGCAGAGTACCAGTGGTAAAGAGCATTCATCACATGGCATTTTTGGCTGGTAACCTGTTTTTGCTTAGCAAAATCTTCCGTGCTTAGCAACATTTCTGTGCTTAGTAGCTCCATGAAACCAGTCCCAGGTTCGAGTCCCTCTTAATTGGATATTGGGAGGGCTTGACATTTTTATGATGATCTGAATGAACAGTATTGATTGTGTAGAAAAAAATTTCAGCATTGACATCATAAAAATAAAAATAAAAATGACCATCATAGAAATAGATTTGAACTAGCCAGCTGACCCGGCAAGTTCGGTGGTCGAGTGGTAAGACGTCTGCACTAGTAAGCAGGAGGTCGTGGGTTCCAGTCTCACCCGAGTACAATTGTGAATATTTTTTTTCTCACAAGACTGACTGTCTCTTAAATAATCCGTATTTTGATTTACGTACCCTGACGGACTTCTGTGAGAGGGAGGTGACGGGTCGGACGTAAGTTCTGGGCTCGATGGGGAACGTCACAAAGTCTTCATAGAGAACGTCACCATCGGGGATCTCAGGAAAATGCTGCACGAAATGTTTAAAAAAATAAAAAAGGAACTCAGTCCCATATCGACATTTCAATATTCTGAATAGTTTCTGTAGGGCTGTGCCCATATATGGAATACTTGAATATTCGATAATCAGCCGAATATCCGTATGTACTTTTTCGATTCAAATATTTGAAGAATGTGAGCCTTCTCAAAATGATGAAAAACATATTAGTCGTGTGGTTTTATTGTTTGTCAATTGCCCACACTTTTGTTGAATGCCACTTTTTTTCACATCATTTCAGAGCTTCCATGAGGAATATTAGCTCAAATTGCTTTTTAAAAATTGACAAAAAATATCAGCCAATCTGCTATCCGTTCTTTACATTATTTTAACAAGATCTTTGTTAATTTTCGACAAGCGCAGGTGCAAACATATCCAGATATGCGGCCAGTTTAGGCTGGTGCCCGTTTAGCTTGATCAGTGCATTTCAAAATCGAATATTCAAATATTCGATCAAGTCCAAGTTGGATAAATCGAAAACTAAATTAATCAAAAAATGCACAGCTTTACTAGTCTGTGGTGCATCACTGGTCCGAGTGCCATTTTCTTTACGATGTCGTTGTTGGCTATCGGCTGAAGGTGAAATGTTTTACCGTTTTGACGATTTCCGCCAACGTCTGCTGGAACCAGTTGATGTCGGCCGTGCGGCAGAGACGGTCTTGCATGATGCGGCGCACCTCGTGTTGCCACAGTGACGTGACCATGCTGATCTCGCCGCGAGCCTCTTCGGACAGGCGCACAAGGCACTGCAAAAGACACAAATTGAAGGAATTCATACAATATCAAGTATTTACATCGGACATTTTTTTAACTTGAAACAAAGTCTGTCACAAGCCAATATGGCCCACCAGGCCGGTTTCCTTGGCATGAAATGTCTAAGAATATTTCTATTCCTCCTCTGGATGGGATGCCTGTCTATTCCAGGTTTCTCCGAATGCCAGTACCCATTCATACTCCTGGGTGGAGAGAGGCAAGTAGAGGTGAAGTGGCTTGCCCAAGGACACAACATATGGCCAGCAGCTGGATTGGAACCTCTGATCACAAGTTCAGCTAATGCCATTACCCATTTATACTCCTGGGTGGAGAGAGGCAAGTAGGTTAAAGTGCCTTGCCCAAGGACACAACATATGGCCAGCAGCTTGATTTGAACCCCTGACCCTCTGATCATGAGTCACGACCCCATACCACTAGGCCACACTCCCCCACTCTTAACGGAGTATTAGATCAAGACTAAATTCTAACCTGGAACGCTTTGGTGAGATCTCGGAGCGTGAACATATAATGGTGTCGTCCGGGCACCAGTGACGGTCTGAGCACGGCTTGGACCCTGGTCAGCAGCTGGCACGAGGCAGTCACTATGGCCTCATGGAGTTCTTGGGCCAGGCTCTGGCCGTTGTTCTTGTGCATGTTGCCATCTAGGATGGCATCCACTATGCCGGTCAGGGCCGAGTCTTTAGGCTCAGGCAAGCTGACTACTGCAAAGTGGCGCTGTTATATATCCAAAGTTGAGTAAATAATACAAAGTTAGATTCTGTTTTCATTTTTTCCGTCGTAAACATAAACGCTTATGATGAATGGAAACGTTAAAAAAATAATAATTAAATCTGGACACATCTGAGTAATAAGTCATCAAAACAAATCAAATAATTGATTCTGTCAATAATGAAATTTTTAGAATTGAACATGATAATTTGCCATATTTGGTAAAAATTATACTGCACTCTGGCTGTTGACGACAATTTTAGCAATTTTGATTTTCAATAATGGATGGCCAGAAAAATGGGTCCAACTATATACGTAAATGAAGCTTGGACAATATGGTCACTTTTAGAAACAAGTGCCTACAAATTGCATTCATAAACAATGAAATCTGATTTGATAGTGAATTTTAATAGCATATGGGACTGCAGTTACCACACCAAAACATAATTTAGGTTTAAAACCTTCTTTTCAGATCTTGTTTTCTTGTTAAGCCCATATCATGCTCGGCGCGAGAACGAAAGCAAACGCAAATTTGTAACATCGTGGCAAGTATTTGCGCTGCGAATTTGTAAGAGTTGAACGTATTTCAATGGTAAATGTCTCATGACGTCAATTTTGCTTCGCATTCGCATGAAGTATGAACCTGACTTCAGAGTTGATCTTCAAACAACAAGGTAGGCGACTGTCAAAACTAGACTTTATTGAAAGATAAAATAGTATCTCAAAGAAAATTTCAATATTTAAAGTGAAACAATAAACTTACCAAGAGCCTCTCTGGCATTTTCTTGTTCCCGACACTGGGGTAGACGTTCCGTGTGTGTCCCGACAGAACCACGAGATCCTGAATGGTCCGCCATTCGAAAGGCTTCTGGAGAGTGACCAGGACGCGGTCGTCTAGGAGTTGACGCAGGAGCTCGTTGCAGCGCTGCACGCCGTGCTCGTCCATCGGCGGGAGGTTGAGATCATCGATGAAGAGCTGGAGGCGCTTGTTGTCGCGCGCTCCGTAGACGAAACCTGATTGGATGGGATAAAGAATGGTTTCCAAGTCTTTAGTCTTTGAATGCGGTGAGCTGATATATTCGTTACAAAAATGGTACGTGCTAGAGATGTCAAGCTGATACATCAGCTAAGGCCAGGCCTCAAATTAGAATCCCTTCCCTTCCCGGACCGCTTGGGGTTGAGCCCACCCAGTATGTCTAAGGGACTCGGACTTTTGATGGAACCGATCGGGCCCGGATTAACTCCACCATTTTTGGATGTGAAGATTCCTAAACTCTTTTGAATATGGATAATTTGAGAGCTTTGATTTGTTCTATTCTGATATTTTGGGTCTTTTTTGGGGGGGGGGGCTGTACCTCTGCGATGGTGGATGTTGGTCTCAATGAACTGCTGCAGCTGGGAGGCAGTGGATGCTCCAGAGAACACAAGACGCTTGGTGACTTGGTAGGAGGGATCTGAAACAACAAATATGAATTAAAATTAGAGAAGTAAAATGTTTTTTTTTTCAGTTTCGCCCTTATCCCATTAGTTCAAGTACTGCCCCAAACTGCCCTGCCTGTTACTCCCTGTACTGCCCCAAACTGCCCTGCCTGTTACTCCCTGTACTGCCCCAAACTGCCCTGCCTGTTACTCCCTGTACTGCCCCAAACTGCCCTGCCTGTTACTCCCTGTACTGCTCCAAACCACCCTGCCTATTACTTCCTGTACTGCCCCAAACTGCCCTGCCTGTTACTCCCTGTACTGCCCCAAACTGCCCTGCCTGTTACTCCCTGTACTGCTCCAAACCGCCCTGCCTGTTACTCCCTGTACTGCCCCAAACTGCCCTGCCTGTTACTCCCTGTACTGCTCCAAACCACCCTGCCTATTACTTCCTGTACTGCCCCAAACTGCCCTGCCTGTTACTCCCTGTACTGCCCCAAACTGCCCTGCCTGTTACTCCCTGTACTGCCCCAAACTGCCCTGCCTGTTACTCCCTGTACTGCCCCAAACTGCCCTGCCTGTTACTCCCTGTACTGCCCCAAACTGCCCTGCCTGTTACTCCCTGTACTGCTCCAAACCGCCCTGCCTGTTACTCCCTGTACTGCCCCAAACCGCCCTGCCTGTTACTCCCTGTACTGCCCCAAACCACCCTGCCTGTTACTCCCTGTACTGCCCCAAACTGCCCTGCCTGTCACTCCCTGTACCACCCCAAACCCAGCTTGTTGGACAGAAAAAGAAATATTCAGGATCTTAATCCTCCTTAATCTCATTTAATCCTACACAATCTCACCGAGCGTATTGATGAAATCATTGATCATGGCTGTTTTCCCCGAGCCCGGCGGCCCAACCAGAAGCACATGCATATTGGAGAGATTAGCAAACTCCAGAAGCACCCGACATCGAATCTGAAATAGAAAATGAAGAAAAAAAAAGATTTAAAAATTTACAACGATTTGACTTTTCATTTATATAATTAACACTATTTAATTGCACCTTCAAATCCCACATAACCCTGGAAATCCTAGTGCAGGATCTAAAGATGTGGAACATTAGTAAGGACATCCTAGGAACTATTGGACCAATTAAAAATACTAAGAGCCAAATTAAAAATACTAATAAATTAAGAGCTCCGCTGGTTTATTTTTAAGGTTGCCAGCAAATGAAAAAAAAAAAACGGGAAATAACCTGAAATTAATTCAAAAGAGATTTAAATTCATTTAACTAGCGAATACATGCATGTATACATTTTTTAAACCTTGGATTCATTTTCTAAAAGTTTTTCGGATTTACCGTGTCGACTGTTTCAACGAAGATTTCGCCCAGGAGGTCGTGAGTGTCGGACGTATAGGTGACCTCGGGAACACGGGACAGCCAGGGGTCCCATTCACCCGACTCGTCGACGTAGTAGTCAAAGACGGAGATGTCGTGGTCGTAATCAGGAAGTCTGGGGGAAAATATGAAAAGAAGGAAATTAAATAGAAGAAAACAGACCAAAACAAATTTTTAAGGTTGAAATGACATACCGATGGGTTTATAATATGCATTGTTACTTTAATATACCCAATGATTTGGTCCCATTACTTTGTATGATATTACAATCTGTATACTTTACTCAGTCTTATAGGGTGTAGAGACAAATATCAATAGACTTGTGGTTGAATTGTGATAAGTTGTGATGGACTTGTGATTGAGATGTGATTGCCTTGCGATTGACTTGTGATTGACTTGCAATTGACTTTGTGATTAACTTAGGATTGGTTTGCGCGTCCTTTCTAATTGACTTGTGATTAACTTGTGATTGACTTATGATTGGCTTGTGATAAATTGTGATTGACCTGTGATTGAGTTCTGATTGACTTGTGATTGACTTATAATTGTCTTACGATTGATGTGGATTGACTTGTGATTGACTTGTGAATGTCTTTTGATTGACTTGTGATTGCCTTGCGACTGACTTGTGATTGACTTGCAACTGACTTGCGACTGACTTGTGATTGACTTGCGACTGACTTGTGATTGACTTGCGACTGACTTGCGACTGACTTGTGATTGACTTGTGATTGACTTGTGACTGACTTGTGATTGACTTGCAACTGACTTGCGACTGACTTGTGATTGACTAGCGACTAACTTGTGATTGACTTGCGACTGACTTGTGATTGCCTTGCGACTGACTTGTGACTGACTTGTGAATGACTTGTGAATGTCTTTTGAGTGACTTGCGATTGACTTGTGACTGACTTGTGATAGACTTGCGACTGACTTGTGATTGACTTGTGAATGTCTTCTGAGTGACTTGTGATTGACTTGCAACTGACTTATAACTGACATGCAACTGACTTGTGATTGAATTTTCAGATGACTGGTGATTGCTGCAAATAATCATAACAGCAACTCACGCAGACGTCAGCGTCCGGAGCAGGTCGCTGAAGTTCTTGCGATCCGTGCCTTCCAGGAGCCCTCCAAACGACCAGATGAGACAGAAGAGGAACAGACGCTCAATGTGCAGCTCCCCGCCGATCTCAACATGCTCATTGAGCATCGCCGTCAGTAAGCCCAGGCACATCTTGAAGAGGCCGACCTCACAGACTTGAACCAGGGGCCTAGGTACACAAGGGTCGCAAAATTTGCAGTGTTACAATGGAATCTGCTACCAAATTAAACAAGATGTCCGCTGTGGTTTTTTTTTTGCAAATAAAAAGAAGCTGAGAGCGTACCTTGTTTCGAAGAGAACAAAATTCACGACAGCATCCATGGTCTTATTGAAGGCTTTCTGTAAACACTGCACATAACAGGGAGGGAGTAATAAAAGAATTTTAATAGAGGCAGGTTTTGGAAGTCATTTATAAAAGTCCCATACAAAACTGTAGCAACATTCGGGCATTAGATTTCATTAACTAGGTAATTTATTATGAAGTCTTTTGAAAGTTATGATTTGAAGAAAAGCAAAACCTACGTGAACTTCTTGCTGGTTTCGATTCTCCATCCAAGCCTGAGCGATCGGCCGCCAGCCTAGAACGTCCTTATCCATGAAGACAATGCCCTAGTATAACGAGAAAAAAATATAGACGGATCAGAAAATAATGAAACAGGTACAGCAGGATTTGGTCCACTTCTGTTTGGAGATATTTATTGAGATCTTTCTTTAGATCTTTCTTTAGATCTTTCTCTCTAACTCATAATTTGCATTAAACCAAGTTATTTTCTTTTAAAAAAGTTTTAACATTACACTGACAGTCCAAAAATCTTTCAAAGTTCAACATCCGGATTTGCTTGATCTTGTGGAAATTTGGCAACGCTACCAAATTTTTTTGGTTGAAGAATTTTGTTGCGGTGCAAAAGAATATGCTTTATGGTGACTTGAAAGTTTATTTTAATACTGGGCTTTGCTGTTCACCAGTTGAGTGTTAATTTAGTGACAAACACCCCCCACCCTTGAAGAATGTGTGACTATTAGACTAAAACTTACAGCTCTTGTGACAGTTGCCGGCGAGGCAATAGTCAGGTCGCTGGTCTCAAACACCAGCTTGACGTTATCGCTCAGGAAGAGCCGGTCCCCGTTATGTAAGTGAAGGACCTTGTCGTTGTCCAGGACACTGTTGAAGTTGTCTGCCCAGCTGGGGGTCAGGGGACCATCCAGGCACAGCCAGGTAGTGCTGACGTTCTGCAGTGAGGAAACAAAAATAATCCGAATATTTCGGTGGATTTCTCAGATTGAGTACGAGTATTTCTCTTCAGAATTGCGAATGTTTAAGTGAGGACCTCCCTCTTTGAATTATGGTCGAATGACTTCAAGAGATTTATCAGTTTCTGGCTCTGCTAACCATGTAATTATGCGCTTACAATCACTACTGAAAAAGATAACGTCTCTGTTTTCAGCACATGATAACATCTCTGCTCGCAGCACATGCACAGAAAATTCGGCACTCATCGTAATAAGCATAAATTTTGTTTTTCCGGGTGTACGCATACTAACGAGCCAAATTTTCTTGATAACCAATGAAATAGCCATTAGCAAAGTGAAGTTACCCCCCAAAAATAGGAAATTCCAATCTTTACAAGACTTTATATACATGCAGTGTCTTAATTTTGAAAAATGAGGAAATCAGCTGATCTGAGGAAAAGTTGCAAGCTTGTAAACAGAGTCGTGAAATTACGCTCGTGGGAACGTTTTCATGTATATTTCAGGGGCAACATTTCAGTGCAAAATAAAATGCTAAGCAGAGAAAATATTTGCTTAGCAGAAAAAAATTGGTTACCAGCTTAAAAGTCATGTGATGTATACTGCTGGTGACTGGTGGTTCGCTGATTTCTGCTAAGCAAATTTCTGCGATCAGCAAATATCTATGCTAAGCAAATATCTATGCATAAATATTTGCTTAGCAGAAAAAAATGGTTACCAGCTAAAAATTCATGTGATGTATACTGCTGGTGACTGGTGGTTCGCTGATTTCTGCTTAGCAAATTTCTGCGATAAGCAAATATCTATGCTTAGCAAATATCTATGCATAAATATTTGCTTAGCAGAAAAAAATGGTTACCAGCTAAAAATTCATGTGATGTATACTGCTGGTGACTGGTGGTTCGCTGATTTCCACTTAGCAAATTTCAGCGATAAGCAAATATCCATGCTAAGCATATGTCTATGCTTACCAGTGCAACAAAATTTTTAAACTAACCCTGTTGGCTTTACGCCAGATGTTAGTGAACACCCCATCCACCCAGTCATGGTTCTGGTTCAGGTGGCCAAACATGAGCGCCAGGTCGTCGACTACCAGCGGGTTGATGCGCTGCAGCTTGTGACTGATGGCCGTGATGCTGGAGACAGAGCTACGAGACTGGCGGGACTGGGCCGGCGCGATGGCCGACAGGGCCTCCACCAGGGTGGCGATGGCGCTGGACTTGCCTGTGCCGGGACCGCCGGCTATGATAATACCTGAGAATATAGCAATGAAAGAAAATTAGGGATGATTCATTAGAGGAAAAGGACAAAAAAGGAAAGAAGATTATTCTTGAGAGAATCAGACAAATTAGGAGAAAATGTTAATTGAGGAAAACAGACAAATGGGAAATAGCTTACAGATGATTAAAAAAAATTTTTAAGAGAATATGCTCGGCACAGAATTTTGAAAAGCACTGAAAAGTTTTGTAAGGCAACTAGGCTAAAAAGAAATTGATTTTGACTTACTTTTTTGTTTTTTCAAACAAGGAATTAAAAATTTCACTTTCACAAAATGCAAGTATCCAGAAATTCTAGGCAAACTGCTCACTCAGAAATGTATGTTTGCCCCAGGCGTTGCCAAAAATCCTGATCACAAAAAATCTAGTATAGGTGTTGGTGGGACTACGCTAGTCGATGAAAACATCTATCCATTTGCATACCAGTTTTCACCGGTTGCGATGAGTTACTCATTCAACACCCCAGACTCGTTTTAAGTTTTAAGTAAATAAGTCTAGGAACTAGACAACGCAAAGCTCCTGGATGTTTGCGCCCGCCTATAAATAATTGTTACAATACAGACTCAAAAGATTTTACATAAATTTGTAAATTAAAAAAATGTCTTACCGTGATTGACTTGGGAGACAGCGTACAGCTGCATGACCTTGTTGACCCAGTTGGTGTGAGGCATGATCCCGTTCTCATGGGCCTTGTCAACCACCATGTGCTCCACGTTGAGCTGGTTGCGACGGACGCGGCTGGACTGGGGGGTAGGAGGGCTGCCCATGGCCGTGAAGACGTCCTTGACCACGTTGTTGAAGATGTACAGAGCCTGGCATTGAATGAAAGAAAAGAGTTCAACACTTGTTTACGACTGGCAGAAAACGTACTTGGAGCAATTCAAGTTGACCGAAATAGATTTTAGTTCAGGCAGACAAACTTTATGTATTTATTTTCATTGACTACACTCTGAAGTTGTTCTACACAATTGCAGCAGTCAATCTTGCAAAATGCCAGTTTGAAAACAATGGAACTGTTTTAACTGAGGACACTCTGATGCCCTTTGAAAACAAACATTAAAAGTTTGTTGGAGTATGTCCATATTAAACTCAGCTCTTTGTCGAGACTCTCTTGAATAATTGAGCCTTGTTAGAAGCGGGTATTTTATGACAATGGCTTTGTTTTTTGCCATTTCTGTGCAGTGGTAAATCGTCAAAGCCGTAGAAAGCATTGTCTGTTTTGGAAACGATTGATCATCTGCCACGACAGAAGCCACTTTGCACATGTCCAATACCAACACTGAAAATTCAAGCAATGGGACCCAAGTATGTGCATTCGACACTTTCATTCTCTAAAGAGCATCAATAGTATCAAACGCAGCCAAGCAGATTAAGCAGTCTTTTGGATTGTAAGCATTTTTCAAATGCTATTCTTTGAAGTGAACTTACGTCTGGTTTGAGTCTGGGTCCGATGACGTTCTGCAGGGCCTGTGCGACCACGGCATGCTCGGCCTTAGCGGCTGGTGTCATGGGGTTGGGCACTCCCAGCTTGCGTGGCTGCTTCTCAACGGTCTTCAACATGGCCACAGAAGCTGTACAAAGGACGAGTCAAAAATCCAGTTGGAAGTTTCAAGTCAAGATGGTTAACCCTTTAAACACAACTCGGCAAAAAGTGTCCATAGTACAAGAAAAATAGCAATTTAACAGTTTTGAAGAAAAAAATATATTCTCAGAAAAGCCTTAAAATTAATTTTGGGACATTTGGCAAAATTATTAGGAGTGCTTGCCAATTTTCGTACCACAGAAAAGACTGGGAGCAGTCACAAAAAAAAAAATTCTTAGCACAGAAAAAGTTTGCCAAGTAAAACAGGTTACCAGCCAAATTATCATGCAATATACATTGCTTGTGACTGGTCCCCGGCTGATTTTTGCTCAGCGCATCAATCTGCTAAACATATATATCCTGCTTAGCAGTTCCACAAAATTGGGCAGGTTTTAGAAGGATGATTGGCACAGCTATCAGTGGTAACAATGATTCTCAAATATTAAGATTTCTTCGCAGCAAAGATTGTCGCTAAAGTAAGTTTCATTGAAATAGACCTATCATTACGCCCCATGATGCATTGACCAATCACAGCCGTGGTTAATGTCTGACATACGTCCCCACAAAATCCCTGATGTGCGCGTCTGGAACATGCACTGGGGCAGTAAAAAGACCCACGTATTTTTTTGCCCAAATATTTTTGTCCATGTGCTCAGTGGGTGAGGCTCAATAACCCCAGTCTATTGGTTCCAAGAAGAGTTGGTAGGTGTTGAGGAGTATTGGCATGGCAATCAGGGGTAACAATGATGCCTTACGCATGGCACTGCCTGGCTGGACGATGGATCCTTGTGAGCTTGCTCGGGACAGCTCCATCCGCTCCTCTTTGGTCAGTTTGCGGCCGAGGTGGGCGTGCTGGACGGCCGAGGATAAGCCACCGATGCTGAAGAGCTGATGATACTCCTTGGACCTAAGCGGAGATAATATAAAGATAGTCAGAGAAATCTTGGAATTTTCTCTGATTCAATAAAATTTGACTTTGATAGAGATGTTCTGATGCCAGAAAGATCAGTGGTTGGCCGGTAATACATCTGCACCAGTTAGTGGGAGGTCTTGGGTTCATGTCCGACTCATTAGCTTGGGAATTTTGTTTCTCTGCTGTAAGATTTTGTACTTTTGCTGAAAGATTTGCTAAAAGATATGGGCTAAGTTCACGAAATGAAACTAAAATATGTGCATATTTAGCTAATTCTATCTACAACTTTGATATGTGAGCATGAATGGTCAAGATCTAAATTATGGAAATTTCATTTTTCAAATGTACAAAATCTAGTGTAGATATAAGCAAGCGTGCAATGACACAGTGTTAGAGTTTGCCTGCTCTGAGAGAGGTAGCACATTTTTGTCCAGGCGCAGTTTATTTCACAAGTGGTGATTCACCAGTATTTTGCCAACAAAAGTGCACTGCCAACAACCAGAGCCAATCAGGGCATTCGTCAGCAGTCACATGTCTCACTTTAAGCCAATCAAGTGAAAGATATGTCAGTCACCCCAAAACTGACAGATTAAGCCATTATCACCGCAAAATTCGAACTCAATAATAACATCATATTAGAGAAACCAAAGATTTTTGAAGACCGCATCATTATAAATTTTTGACACAAAAATATTAATCACCCTTCATTGTTTACAATGTACATCAAATCCAAGCATTACAGAATTGGGTCAGTGATTGGTTGATATTTTGAAACTGAAGGTTAAACAACCAATAGAAAAGACTGTTAGATATGCTGGCAGGCACCTAAAAATCTCAAGCAAATGAATGAATGTTAGTTTATCAGAAACAAAATATATAAAAAGTTATCATGATTTTTGAAAATTAAACCATACATTTGTTAGTCTCCACCAAAATTTAATAAAAGCTTAATAACATGAAGTAACGGTAGCTTTTTTCTAAAAGTCCTGTAACTATCAAAATCTAGCAGAACAAGCTGTTGGAACTCGCTCTCTGCATGCCATGGAGGAAGTGTGAAAAGAGCGAATAGGGTGGGATTAGAGGCTTGGCTCAGATTTGAAAAAATTAAAGTGCAAGAAAAGAGAAATATGAGCTGCTGCTTCACGTCATGTCTTGTGCAAAGTGCTAATGTGCTAGGTTTTAGAATGCCAATCCCTACCCTTCCACATCGCGCCATGATCCTACGGCGTGCAATAGAACGCTGATCATGTTTTTGATGTTAAACACTGGGTGCTCATCTGGGGTCCTGGGAGTGTTATTTTGGGGGCGGGGTTAAGGAGAAATGGAGGGAGGGAGATGGGAAAACAAAGGAGGGGAGGAGCATGCGGGTAGAATTAGAGGGGGGTGAGTAAACAAATAAAATTTATATTTCATGCAATGGATGACGTTTGGGTTTTGCTGACCGTTGATTCAAATGAATATTAGAAATTTTAGCATTAGTTGGGCATGTTTGTAAATAATATGGTAATTTTCATTATGTTATGCTTGCATTCCATTAATATTTAAATGTATGTTATCTACCAAATTTATCAAGTTAATCAAGTATGGCTTCCCTGTAACGCAATGGGTTGGCTAAATCCAGCCCACTGTGTAGGCCACATGCATGAAAAGACGTCACGCGAATAGCATTTCCTAATTGACTGAATATTGTGTTCTCTGTGACTGGCTTGCCTTTTCTTATTTACAAGACTGTTTAAGAAGTAAATGACGTTTAGGTCATTCTTTAAATTTTGGGTCCAAAATGTGGCATTTTTCCCATGCCTGTTACCTTGGTACTTTGTAATTTGCCATTGAGGTATCATTAAGAATGACATCACACAATTTGTTGGGTAATTGGTAATTAATAATCAATCTTTGAGGACGACTGCATTAAGGAGTGCATCAGCATTATAAAATCACAGATGTCAGATGTAACAGGGACGGGACAAAAAAGTTGACCCATCATTTATAGAATGCCATTTTTGTGTAAGTGCTAATGGTTAAAAACAAATTAACTTTGGAACTTACAGTTGTTCTTTGCACTGTTGGGCCACCATCTTCAGTCTGTCGGCCAGCATCCGGGGGGATCGGAAGCCGTAGGCCGCGCAGCGAGCCTTGAGAATGAGGGAGTAGTCTGGCTTGACTAGCGCCACCGTACGGAAGAGGAGTTTGATGTCCACGGGGATGCCCGCTGGCGGAGAGGTCTGGTTGTTGACGGTGATGAAGAGGGCTATGCCGCTCTTCAACATCACCTGATGAAAAAAATTGGTCAGAAATCAAGAATCAGTGTAGAAAATGACTGGAATTGTCTCCAAAAAAAATAAGGACCTAAGAATCTACAAGCATGCTGGTCAGGGGTAGCGATATTTTGGATAGCATTTTGATACTACAATAGAAATATGTTGTGATTTCTAGTTCTGCTTGATCTGCATTCGAAAATGCAAAAAGTTACGGCTCCTTTGGACACAATTTAGCATCAGCAAAAGAGTCAAGAAAATGGAAGATTCCATCCGCCATCTTGGAAAACCAACCATCTTGGAAAAAAAAAAAAAAAAAAAAAAACGCCTCCTTCATTTAAAAAAAGCCCCGACGAGAAACCATTTTTTTTTTCACTTGTGTCACTGTGACCTTTGACCCTTACCTCTTCTCCATCTCCCAGGATGCAATGCCTGCTCCTGGCTCGCAAGGCAGCCATGATGGCGTGGACATGATCCAGCACCATGGCGATGGCGTCTGACTGGAGTAGTTGGAACTCATCGAAGCATCCCCAACAGCCATCCTGACAATACAAGACAGGGAGAATAAGGCGAAGTAAAAAAAAAAAACATGTTTAGCGTCCCCGCCCGCTTCCTTTTTAGAGGCCGCCTCCTTTTTTTTTTTTTTTTTTTTTTTTTTTTAAAGACAAAAATTGATAAATTTTAACGATCTCTGACGAAAGAAATCGTATTTTTAGACTTTTATACCGTGTATAAAGCTGTGGAAATAGTCAATGAGTCCAAGTGGCGGCCATTTTGAAAAAAGCTGGTAACCATCTTGAAAAATAGCCCGGCCGCGTTGTCTTGAAAAATGTGTCGGGCGGCCATTTTGAAAAAAAAAAAAAAAAAAAAAAGGGCCTCCTCCTTCCTTTTTGTCAAAGAGGCAGGACGCTAAACATGTTTTTTTTTTATTTTGCCTAAGAGCAGATGAGGTATTAAAAGTAGGCAATAACAAAAACTTTTCCCTGTTTATGACCTTGTTGTTATTTTTCAATGTCATGGCTACAAACGACGATATGTACCCTTGACCCCCCGACATAGGCAGCTACAGCATCAACAGCAACAAAAGAAGCAGCAACAAATCTCCTTACCATAGCCAGGCCTTGTAGTATCTTGCCCAGCGCTGCAGGGTCACTCTGCCCTGAGCATCCAAACACAGCTAGGTACTGGCCAAGCATGAACGCAAATCCTTTGGCTGTCTCCGTCTTGCCAACTCCGGTACCACCAGTGACAGCACAGTTCTTGAATTGCTTCATGGCCTGGGAAAAAACGGAGAAAAAACTGAAACTTTTCAAAATTTTAATTTCTAGATGAATTCTTCGAAGTACATACACAGTTCACAGGTAGTGAAATACTGTGGCCTTGTGATTATGCAGATTGTGAGTTCTATTCCAGCCTGTAGAGTGCAGTGTGGTGTCCTTGGGCAAGCCACATTTCAGTAACTGCTTCTCTACAGCGATGAGCAACAGTGCGAGTTGATTGGTTAAATTAAATTAGCTTCCAATGTTAAAGTGGAGAGAGTTGCCTAGTGGCTAGGGTTAGTGACTCATGACTAGAGGGTCAGGGGTTCGAATCCAGCTGCTGGTCATGTGTTGTGTCCTTGGGCAAGCCACTTCATCCTCACTTGCCTCTCTCCACCCAGGAGTATAAATGGGCACCAGCATTAGCTGGGGAGTAACCTGCGATGGACTAGCATCCCATCCAGGGGGAGTAGAAATATTCTCCGTCGTTTCATGCTACTGAAAGCTAAGATAAATGCCGGCCTGATGGGCCACATTGGCTTGTGACAGACTTTATTTGTTTTTACCATGTTTGAGTAGACTTTAAAGCTCAAGAAATTGCTATTATTAAACACTACGGATTTCCTGAACAAGTGCCTTCAATCCCCCTCGTTGCAAAACTAAACAGCGCCCTCGTCAGTTGATTCACTGAGTCAATATGTAAAAACCAGTGCAAAAGAAACCCACAACCAAAGGCAAACAAATTAAGAAACCAGACGATTTTACTTACCAAAGCCATAGTGAGGAAGCATCTTTCAGTCACAGGAGTGAGTACCAATGAGGCTTGGCCTCCGTAGAACTCGGAGCCGTACGTGAAACGCTCGTCAAGCATGTATATCTGAGGGACAACTCGGCCAGCTATAAGAGAAAATTGAAAATATAACTCAGATACAGTAATCCCAATATGGCTCCAATTGTGATAGTGACCAATGTTTATAAATACACCTCAATGTGGTAAAATATAAGGAAAGTACTCTCTCGTCCTAGGAACACCCTGTCAATACATGACAATCAATTAAACATGGAGTGACACGTCTCTAAAAACACTGGTGTTCTTTTATATTTTTAATTTTTGATTGGGCAGTTTCCACAGAGAAACACATAAGCAGAACTCTTGTTCATGATTCAAAACAACAAAAAGCTGATGATGGAATAATGGCTGCTGAGTTTGTTGGAGGGTCAACCTACCATGGAAGTGATGGTAGAATCTGATGCATCGCCTCCACTCAAAGTCTCCGATCTCCCTCAGCTTCCTGTTGCTCATTTGCTCCAGGGTGTCGCGGAGGTATAAAGATTGCTGGAGGCCAAAACAAAATGTCACCGATCGTAACAAGTTGTTGATAATCAAATCTAGTTTTAAAATCAATGGCACTCCAGCAAAGATACAACACTAAAATGGCCTCCAGAGATTACCCTCGGTATGAGATTATGAGACTAGAACCTCGTGAGGATATGTAGTGAGGTTAACATTCATGTAAGGTTATAGAGATTGGTGTTTCGAGATGGGTGGCCATCTTGCTCTGAGAAGCTAATATGTTAATATGTCTTCCTTGTAACTTTCCCTTTTGTATGTTTAAGAGATAATTCATTTCTGGTTTATAATAGCCTTCAGTAACCTTCCTGGAGGTCCCCAGAATATCGTAAAAACTACCAGACTCTCCAACCACAACATGTTTTTTTTTTTAAATATCTTTAAGGTTTGACCAAAACCACAAGGTTGCCTTCATGAAGTAGACCCACAGCAACGGTAGTCTTAAGAATTCACACTTGACATACAGCGAACATTCTCTTTAACCTCAGCCTCTACAGCGGTATCACGTGGTTATCCGTCATCTTTCAGGTTTTTCCAAACCCAAACCTCTGTGAGGCTCCCCTCGTGGGGTTAACCTCTCAGTGAGGTTCCTCATAAGAGTTTCGCAAAGGTGAATATACAGGATATACTCACAACAACCAAACCTCTTTGAGGCTCCCCTCGTGGGGTTAACCTCTCAGCAATGTTCCTCATAAGAGTTTCACAAAGGTGAATACACGATATACTCACAACAACCAAACCTCTGTGAGGCTCCTCTTGTGGGGTTAACCTCTCAGCAATGTTCCTCATAAGAGTTTCGCAACGGTAAATACACGATATACTCACAACAACCAAACCTCTGTGAGGCTCCCCTCGTGGGGTTAACCTCTCAGCAATGTTCCTCATAAGAGTTTCACAAAGGTGTATACAGGATATACTCACAACAACCAAACCTCTGTGAGGCTCCCCTCGTGGGGTTAACCTCTGAGCAATGTTCCTCGTAAGAGTTTGGCAAAGGTGAATACAGGATATACTCACAGCAATCAGACTCTCCAGTCTCAGCCTCTGCAGGGGCGTCATGTGCTCATCCAGCGTCTTCCAGGTCCCCCTGGTCAGTGCCATAGCCAGCCGCCCCATCGTCGTGCCGAACTTCTTGGCGGAGTTAGCGATGGCCTTCCGTTCATTCCTGATCTCCATGATGCCTAGCTCGCACTCCTTGGTCCAGTACATCAGGAGGCCTAGTCCGGCCACTTGCATTGGGAACTGAAGGAGGTAAAAAAGCACAATCCTTTTAGACAGTCGTTCCAAAGTCGTAAGGAAAAGGTAAAGGTCTCATAGTCATTACTGGCCGTAGGGGCAGTGGGATGTTAGAGGTTCACTGTGTCTTGGGCGCGGCATATGACTGGCGGTGCCCAGTCCTCTCCTCTTGCCGTCTTACCTTCCCTGAACGAATCAGGTACCCATTTTGCTGTTTGGTCGTAAGAGAGAGTTTTTCCAGTTTTGGTCCGAATGAGATTCGAACCCCCAACCTTCCACTCTGTAGATCCCCGCTTCAACTGCTCGGCTACAAGGCCCCAGAGTCATGTAGGACTAAATAGTATTAGGAGCAATTCTAGTTGACCCAAAGAGATTATGGTTTAAGACAAGCAAACTCTATTGACTAGGCTTTCAAAACTCAAATTTTCTTGCATTTCCGAAAGCTCCATCATCTTACGGTGACACCTAGAGTCATGCAGAGAGCTCTCTGATGGGTCATACCTTGCCAGCTAGCTCCTCGATGGGTAGACCCGCCTCCACGTCCTCTATCATCTTACAGACGTTGGAGTAGACTGTCTTACTGATGGATTCCTTCAAGGCGTGCAGCCAGATCTCAACACTGTCTTTGAGTGATACCTTGAAGAAAATAAAAACAAAGAATTATCTCGTAAATAAGATCAACTACTGGCGTTTTTCAGTTTGAGAGTGTGGCTTGGTTGTTAGGGTTTGTGACTCGTGATCAGAGGGTCAGGGGGTCGAATCCTGCTGCTGGTTATATGTTGTGTCCTTGGGCAAGCCGCCTAACCTCCACTTGCCTCTCTCCACCCAGGAGTATAAATATAGCTGGGGAATGACCTGCGATGGACTAGCATCCCGTCCCGGAGAATAGATATATTCTCATTCATTTTATGCCAAGGAACTTTATGCTGGCCTGATGGGCCATATTGGCTTGTGACAAACTTGACTTTACTTTCACCTGTGTTTTCAGTCAAAATGTAAAAATCTTATACAATGGAAAGATTTTGTTAAACCGGTAAGTCGTTTTAAACGTTTTTTGTACACGATGTATGGAACATTTGTCTTTTAAAATTTTTTTTCACAATATTTTGTGAAAGAGGCAAGTCGTCATCAGCCAATTCTCACCTCTTCGTCCAACTGGAGAACCTCCGTCTCCTTCGAGATGACCGCCACGGCCTGCATCAGGTACTCTGACTGGATCCCACCCCCTCCCGTGACCCCGCCGACCATGCTCTCCCCAAGGGTCATGCGCGACTGCTGGTGGGAGGTGTAGACCGAGGAGTCGGTGCGTAGCGGGGAGTGGCGCTCCCGGGTGCTGTGGTAGGACTTCTCTGGGGAGGAGTTGGCGCTCTGGGGGACGGAGAAGGGGAGTTGCTCCAGGCGGATGTCGAAGACACTGTTGAAGATGCATCTGTGGAGGTTGGAAGTTGAGGAATTTAGACTTTTAGACCCATCACATGCTACCTTCCTTGCAAGTCACATCCAGCAAGAGAAACCACCAACCTGATAATTGTTTTTTAACTCGACTCTCTCTCTGAATCTTACCTGAGATGGGGTCTGACCGACTCCAGATCAAACGGCCGGCTCAAGATGGCCAGCAGGACTGGGTCAGAGAGGAAGTAGAATCTCGGGAAGGCCTGTCGCTTCTTGTCCAGGTATCCCATCAAGGACTTGAAGCAGATTTCGAGCTCCTCGTAGATGTGTCGCAGGACGACGCCCTTGGGAACCTCCCCTCCGTAGGTGCACTGTTAAGACAGAAATGCATGGTCTCATTGAGAAAAGAGGGCCAATTGAGTACTGGGCCCAATTGAGTACAGGGCCTAACCCATCAAGGGCTTGAAGCATCCAGCTCATGATTGATGTGTCTCAAGACGAAATCCTTGGGTACCTCGCCACCATAGGTGCACTGTCAAGATAGAAATACATGGCCCAACTGAGTACATTTCCCAATTGAGTACGTGGTCCAATTGAGCATTTGGCCCGATTGACTAGAGTCTAGTTTCATAAACTGCTCACAGATGGCCCAATTGAGTACGTGGCCCAATTGAATATGGGCCCAATTGAATACACCCCCCAATTGAGTACACAGCTCAACTGAGGGCCTAATTTCGTAACTTTTCCACGGATAGATCAGACAAAATGCAATGAAGATATATTGTGTTACATAGTGGGATGGTTTGCGCTACAAAATTTGAAAAGCGTACTTGTAAGACATTCCTGGTGTCGTAGGCTCTCTTCATGATCTTCGTCCAGCTCTTGTCAATCCGATTGAACCTCTTGGCTTCCTGGGGTAGGTCCTTAGCCGTGCGTCCCACGCTGAACACGGCCTCCAGGTACTGCCAGACATCTTGCACTTCCAGCCACTGCTCTAGGACTTCTGCTACCCCTGAAAGTCAGCATATGAATGCACATCCGTGTTAAGCAAGGAAGTTGAACCTGAGACCGTTGGATTGCAGTTCCAGTGCTCCACCAACCGGAACCAATTTCGACAGAGCTTTTCAGAACACACATTTGGTAAGCACAGAAAACTTTTGATGCGGAATTTTGCTAAAAGTTTTAATTTGTTTAGAAAATACACGTATTCTCTGTTTTGAACTTTGTACAAGTTTGCAATATGATCAACAGTCAATTTACTGTGGTGAGGTGCTTTCCCGTAAAATAAACTAAAAATTGATACATGGTCTTGCTAGGCAGAAAGTCAAACTGGTGCTATACCTTGCAAAAACAGCACATAGTAATATCTTTAACCATTATTGAAACAAGATGCATAAGAGACAAGAAACATAAAGGTGCTGCATTCATTGACGAGTTGGATTGTGCAAAAGTAACACAGCCAACAACAACATTCTTGTATGTCACCTGTTGAAATTGTTTGAAATATGAATGAGAAATTACGAAATATAACACTGAAATAAAAAAAAGGTGCTGAACAGTGGTACCAAGTGGAGACATGCATAGTGCACAGAAAATAAGGTCAACAGATACATCAAGAATTCATAAATGATGTCTTTACCAGAGAGAATACTTCGTATCAGCTTATGGATGAGGAAAGAACAGAAACGAAATGTTAGTGAAAAATCTATGAGTTTAATGGAAATTGGAGAAAGTTGAGCATCATCTTCACAAACTTTTTATTCCAATGAGTGGTTACGTTGTTACTGTCATGAGAAATCACATGACCACATCCCATGACCAATCACATGACCTGCCTTCATGACCTATCACATGACCATCCGAGGAACAACCACACTCTTGTGTAATTACATGGCCATTTATGACGACTCTGATGACCACCCTCTCAACAGTCACATGACCCGTCACATGACAAATCACATGACCACTCTCATGACCAATCACATGACAATCCTCTTCACCAATCACATCTCTTACCTTTGAGTTTCTCTGCCCATCCTGCTGCCTCCTCCCTGAGTGGTCCGATGAACCTAGACGTCAGCATGTTAGCCAGGAGAGCCTGGGCGTTCTCCAGCTGCTCCAAGAGATGTTCCGAGTTATCCTTCTCAAGGTAGATGGGGCCTCGCTTCTTGTATTCCTCAAAGGACAGAACCTAAGAATTGAAAATATATTTATGCCATAATCAGATTCTTGATCTATTAACAATAACATGTTCAAATTTGGAAAAGTTTGATCTCCAATTGTTTGTGACCATCTGAGCCCAATTTCATGAAGTTGATAAGCAGAAACTTGCTAAGCACATAAAATATCTGCTAAGCAAAAGTGGGTCACCGGCCAAAATATTATGCAATACATGTTGCTTGTGACTGGTTCTCTGCTAATTTTTGCTAAGCGCATAAATTTGCAAGTGTTTTTTGCTTAGCAACTCTTGAAATTCTGGCTCCATCTTTTACCTGTTCTGTCCACTCTTCTTCCGTGATGCGCAGCTTGACTTCAAGTTCTTGCTCCTTGCTGGCACAGCGGCAAATGTCTTCAATCTCTACCTGATGCCTACGAATAATCACAATCAGACCGATTTTTAACAAACGCTGAAAGATTTTAACTGATAATACCTGAAAGATAATACAAGCATTTGCCAAGCTTATCTCGGAGATTGAGGGTATGGACTTACTCGATGAGTCCGATGTCCAAGATGTGAAGAAGCTTGAAGACGTTGGCTTCTAGTTGGAAGGAGCTGCCCGTCACGGACATGACTTGCAGCCAGTGACGATTACGTATCTCCTGTAATCAACAAGATTTGAGTCAGTAACGTGTCAGCAAAGGTCACAAAGGGGCAAGTTGACCACACTCCTTGTTTCTTTTCGCTTTGTTTCTAAACGGTCCAGGATTTCATGGAGATCTTCCACTGCTCTCAACGACAGTACTCCTTTAAAACTGTTCCAATGTTAGGGATGGATCTAAGTTTTGCTCAAAGGGGTGGGGTTAGCTGTAAATGGATTCTGAAGGGGTGCTCCTGCTAGGGGGTCGAGGGGAATAATCTGCCAAGAAATTTTGAAATCAAAGAACTTTCTCCTACATTCTTGGGCATCCTTTAAGAGAATTCATGACATTCATATTGATTTTTTGTTTTGCTGTTTTTGAGTGTGTTTCGTTTTTGGATATTTGGGGCAGGGCCATATTCAGAAAAGTTAGAAATGTATTAAAAGTGCTTTCTCCAGCATTTTGAGGCATCTTCTAAGAGACTTACAGAATATGAAGACTGAATTTCTAAGCCTACTGTGTTAGCACGTACCTTTGAGGCCAGCTTGTGCAGTATCGGGAAGACGTCCAGATAGAACTTGATGGAGCTCTTCATCTCATTGTAGGCATCCCAGTCCTTGAGCTTGTCAGGGAGATTCTGGCATTCCTCCCAGTAATTCTCAACCTACAGTGAAGCAAAAATTAAACTAAGCACTGCAAACACTTTGGATCAACCAAAGAACAATAAAATGCTGACAGAGTTGTCGTAGAGTCCATCATAGTTCTGGTCTGAAGTTAATCACAATTCACTTCACAAGTCCATTCAAAGAAGGAGAACATTATTAAGCAAAGGAATGTTTCTTCATATTTCTTTGAATAGCTTGTGATTCGAGTTGTGATGGACTTGTGAGGACTTGTGATGGACCCAACTACAGCAATGGACATAAAGAAAGAGGAGGGTTTGAGGAGGGTCTGAAATGGGGCATTTGTGGATAAGGCTTCCATTTTTGTCATTGGCGTAATACAGAGAATGGCCGTGGCCGTATACAAAAATGCCAAATTCAGACACAGATCAAATGAGAACATTCTAGCTCTATTTAGAAAATTCCTTTCAGAATTTGGCTTGTTCCAAGCAAAACTACATCATTTTAATGACTGAAGAAAAATATCCATATTGAAAAACCTTGAAAACATAAAGACATGTTAAGTACCTCTCTGTTAGCTTTCTCCAGATCCACGTCCGCCCAGAGCTTGTCCCGAAACTGAGAGTCAAAGGCGATGAACTTCTGGAAGAGGCCGTACAGAAGACCAAGCAGGTCTAGTTCCTGTAAGACAACAAGACAATTCACATCAATGTGACGTTACAGTCTGGATCCAAGTCTTCGGAGTAAATTTATTTAATCCCATCACAAGGCTGCATCTGAATTAACATGGCTATGGCTAGCTGTATCACACATGTCTATGGGAAATGGCTTCAGCCGCTTCCATAGTCATGTGTAATTGCAAGTCGTAGCCAATTAAATCAGACATGGTTATACAATGACTCAATGGCATTTAGGAACACTGCAATGCAATGCAAATGTTCTTATGCAATTGCAATTGAAATAAGATATCCTACTTCTCCGGTCTTGTCCAGTTCCGGGAAAGGCTTGCAGATGATGCCGAATAGTCTGGAGACGGAGTCCAGGGTCCTGCGCTTGGAGTCATACAGCTTGAATATCTCCTGGAACTCGTGGAGTCTGGACACAGCCTCTGCGGGCTGGACGCCGGGCACGGCCGGGCCCTGGGAGTCAAAACTGTTGCGGAATTGAATGACTTCCACGACAAAGAGCTGAAAATAACAAACACAGAGGGATCATTAAAAATATGAATTACAATAAAAATTGCCCAAAGCAGAAATAGAACCTACAATCTTCAAAACAACAAACCGGTGGCCCTACCAACTGAGCTATGCAGTTACGTGTTAGCAGTCTGACAGAGTCCGACTCATGAGTGATGGGTTCAAATCCTGGCGGGAACATGGAGTTTGCGATCTTGGGCAAGACACTTTACTACAACTGCCTCTTTCCACCTAGGAGTATAAACATGAGGAACATGCGAGGGCTGGACACCAAATTGCGCTGATCTAGAGCTGTCGCAAATAAACAGATCTCGTGGCCTGATGAATAGAGGTATTGATAAGAATCAACATCGGTGTAAAGCGCTACATAAGCACTCCATTATTGTTTGTTTTTTTAACCAAAATCAGGTTTTGGTGAACCCTCATAAAGACGACATCCGTACCTTGACTTGTTTATCCAGCTCCTGCTCAAACGCTCCTCTGCGCTCCCGCAGCAGTTTGACCCGGCACTGCTCAGCCAGGTCGATGACCTCTTGCCATTTGTCTCTCAGTTGCTCCACCTCTTCGACCTCCGAGCGAGGAAGTCGAAGTTTGTAACTCCTGAAATACAATATTAATTTCACCTCTTGTTTTAGTACCTGTACAATTAGTACCTTGATTCACAATTTTTTTCTGTCGTCAAAAAAATAATTTCTTCTCATCAACTTGGTATTGTAAAGGAATTGCATTCAACTTTTAACTAGTAATTCTACAGCCATTTCTTGTCTACTGGATTGAAACCACAGATTTTAGTCTTGACCTTTAACCTTTAACCCCTGAATACTGACCTGAGGTCGGCATACATGGTCTCAATGGGCAGGTAGATCTTGTCCACTTTGTTCTCCATGTCACGGACCTCCTCCAGCCAGTTCAAGGTGCCGTTCAGCTGGTCCAGGGTCACCACCTCGGCGGTCAGTCGGGTCCGGACGTTGTTGCGGTACATGACCGCTTGGTCCAGACGCCTCTGTAGTGGGAAGGTGACAATAGTTTAACCCAAGACTTGAAAAACAATGGGAATATGGTAAAATATAAAAATAACATTTGGATATTTGATAGGCAGGAAACCCAATATGGAATCCGTGCACAAGTACATCCTTAAAAGTGAAACATCTACTTTCCCAAATAACAATGTTGTGCTTCTGCAGTGCAGTGTCTTAACGAGCTTCATAATTATTATCTCTGTTCTTCACAAGACTAATTTATGCAGCAGTTTAAGATCAGCAAAAGATATGTTATAAACCCTGCAAGTACCCTTTATACTCCTTGGTAGAGAGGCAATTGTGGTAAAGTATCTCGCCCAAGAACACAATCACCATAATCACTGTCAGGGATCAAACTCTCATACCACTGCCCATGAGCTGGACCCTGATAACATTGGACCATGGCACTTTTTAAAATAAGCATTCCTGTGTTCTTCAGCATGCACTATTCCAGTATTAACTTTTTTGCCTGCCACTTCCCCATTCTGCCCACAGGAGAGCACTCTAACGTACCTTAGCCTCCTCGTGCAGCACCTGGGCGTACTGGGTCTTCCACTGCACGGCAAACCCATACAGAGCATCGGTGATGGGACTAGTCTCCAGACAAACTGATCCGACGGGCAGGATGGACGGCACTGCCTGGATCTTTTCTTCGATGTGAAGGAGCCGCTCGACTTCCTTCTTGATGGCGAAGGTGCCCGGGTCGTTGTCGATGAACTCGTAGTAGGCCGCGTACATGTCGTCCTTCCAGAGGAAGTCGTAGAACTTAAAGTGGAAGAGGTGCTTGTCGATGACGCGCTGGAGATCTGTGGAGGAAAAACATTGACGGTATGGAGATGAGCAAATAATTATCAAATATCAGACAGCAGTATTCATTTTGCTTAGGGGGCAAATGCGACTGAGAAGACAAATATGTGACGTCACAAGTATTTACATTGAAAATATTTCAAGTCAGGAAAATCTTGCTGCAAATTTTTTTTTTCTGACAACAAATTTGCTTCCATTCACATTCACATGTGGTGTGGACCGCCTTATCCCTCCAGCTTTCCCAATTTCCCAAAAATTGTACAATTTTTACCTTCAACGACGCCGTCCAGTTTCCGCATGGTGCTCTCGATGGCCGGTTCCTGGACCACTTCGGTCAGGAAAGGTTCCCCAATGTCTCCTCCAGCCCACCAGCAGATCTTATCGGCGGTGTTCAGGACGACCTCAGCGATGCGGGCCAGGGAGGTCTTGACCGCATCCAGGGTCGGGGAGATGATGATGTTGGGGATGGAGAACTGGACCGCTACTTCAAACCTAAGATGGACGAGGGGTTAAACATTGATGTTTTGGTTTTGGATTTCTGCAACCATTCATATTTGTTTTAAAACAGTTTGCCGTACTAGGATAAAATAAGCTACATTTGTTACTATGAGTAAAACAACACTGACAAGAGATTCTCAAATCATTAGTTATGCAGAATTGAAGTTCTCGTTGGAGTGATGCGACATTCTCTAGCCTAGTTTTCTCAAACTTGTCAAAGCTCTACAAATATTAAGAATGTGAACAGAAAAAAAAATGTTCCATAAAGTAATTTACGTTTCCACTCCTAAAACAAGTGTCATTTTTTTTCCTGAACACTACAGGGTTTTTGGTGTACTTTGATAGTAACTACCTAAAAAACGTATTGTTTACTTCGTCAATATCTGCTTTATATTTGCCAATTCATTTATCAAAATTCAAAACACGAAATGAAATCTACTGATCTGGTATGGGATTGCTTTTACTTTAAGCATAGAGCAAGTTTGACTGACCTGAGGTAAGTTATCTCATGCGTCTTCTCCGACGTCCAGGACATATCAGACAGGAATGACATCGAGGATGTAGCCCTGCTCATCGCCGTGCTGGCCCGGCTGAGTCGGCCCGACATACCGGACATACCCGTGCTTGGCCGGCTATGACTCTTAGCCGGGGTCACTAGGGTGTCTAGCCTGCCGTCTGGGGGTAGTGGGGAGGAGGCCAGCTCGCGACTGATGGCTTCAATGATGCCTTCGCAGCCAGCCGCCTCAGCAAGGGTGATGAGGGTACGACAGATGGAGGACATTACGGCCTGGTAGACTAACTCCGAGTAGTGGTCTGGAAGGGGGAGAAATCAAACAGGATGAAGCTTTATTAAAGGCTTGCAGGATCATTTGCATTTATCCCAAAAGTAACCTTGCAAGTTATTATCAAAAACCCTTCTTGGATTAAATTTCGTACTGGTACTAAACACCATGTTAATTTATTCCATCTGGTTTGCTGTCATTCGAAGAAATCAAGAAATATAGGTTATTCCGCTGAAATGAATTTCTGAATCACTGTTTTGCTCGTAAACCAAAAAAAACCACCTGAAATATCCGTAGAATACTAAAATAGAAGGTAAATTGGATACAAATCCGCATTGAAACTAGATTCCAATAAAAAAAAACCTTCTACGTTTGAAATGAAGTATTGAAATGAAGTTATTGTGGTTTTGGTAACATTATTTGGAAGAACAAACTTACACAATATGTCGCTGATGATTATGTCGTCTCCAGTGTCACCACTGGATGCCTCAGTCCGTGGTGTCAGGTTCATCGCCTGCTTGCCTGAGTGACGTCGCGAGCTAGCGCTGAGGCTCTGCCGGGGGGTGAAGGAGGGGCTACCGGCCCGGCCCAGGAGGATGCCGATCAGGTCGTGGACGGCTTCCTCGATCTGGACAGCCAGGTCGTGGAGCTGGGTGCCACGGTCGCTGACGCTTTCCAGCATGGCTTGGGTGAACTCCGACGGAGGCTGAAAATGACAACAATTAGAATGTGAACCTAGGTCGTGTGGACTGCAAGTAGAGTGCTCTACTAAACTGAGCAAAATTGCAGGCTTGGTGAACTCTGATGGAGGCTTAATGTGAACCTAGGTCCTGTGGACTGCAAGTACAGCAGTCTATGAACTGAGCTACCAAGCGCAAAAATTGTTTGCTTGGGTAAACTCATAAGGAGTACGGAAAAGAAAAGAGAAGTTAGAACCTGAACCCGAGACCTATGGACTGCGAGTCCAGTGTTCTACAGACTGGTCTTGAAATCCCAAATTTCATCAAAAAAGGCCACAAAGGGAAACTAATTATGTTCTCTTTTTAATGTATGAAAAGGTTTTTACAAAGAAATTTACTAGAACCCCAACATAATTCTTTTCTTGATCAACAGCAACTGTCAATAGTTTTTAAGGGTTTTAGTAAATAAAACCACCTGTTTTGAAATTAAGAAGTGCGGTTTGTGTCTTACCCATGACCTGCTGAAGGCAAATTCCGTGTCAAAGAGGAAGAGCTCGCTGATTATCTTGAGCTTGGCATCAATCTTGGTGTCGATAACGTAATTGACGCTGTCCACCTTGTGCTTCAGTTTGGCATTCGCTGCGGGAAAAAAAAGACAACAGAAACACATGTCGATGCCAACATCTACGAGACTTTCAGAAGTTGTTTGGTGAGTGATGTAAAACGGTATCCCTTCCTTGACAAATGTCCAAATTTCTCAAGTTTCAAGCCAGTTTTAATACCATTTTTTTATGTCAGAATTTGAAGCACTCATTGTAAGAATCTTGGATGTTTAAATTGTCAACACAATGTAAAGTTCAATATTAGGTTTTGCCCTTCACCGACGTATAAACACTGTATACTCAGTGTGTTACCTCCTGAGTGAAAGTTGGAAAAAATCACTCGGGTGAGACTCGAACCCACGACCTCCTGCTTTCTAGTGCAAACGTCTTTACCACTCGACCACCGAGCTTACGGGATGGGTTGGCTGGTTCGATGTAAAGTTGTCACACAATGTTCACATGAGAGGTCTGCACCTAATTGGATCGTTCCAGATTTGGCCACAAGTCCCGCCCACCTTTAGTTTGTGTACATAGTCATGATGCTTGAGACTGAGTTTGATTAGGCTACCATTGTCACCTTACCAAAAGCTGCGATCTAATTGGTCAATGCGCAGTTTGATTGACAGGTAGGAGGGGCCCATTGTGCACATGCAGAATAAGTACTGCAGTGCCTTGACATATTTATACTTTTCACAGCAAAGTTGTGCAGACACCCATGCTACAGAGCACAGAACACACTGACTTACCGGTGTGGACTTGGTGCAAGAAAGCATCGATGTTCATGGAGTTCCACGCCAGAGTGGACAGGCCAGGCTGTAAGGTGACCGTCACGTTGTTGATGTGGGGCTTGAACAGACTGCGGACCGGGTCACGGATGGACCCGACGATGTCGTTGAACTCCTTCAGGCAGAGCTCCAGGTGGTTGAAGTAACTCTTGAATCGCTGCTCCTGGAAATTAAAAAATTTCAAATTTTAAAATTGGAAAAAATAATCTCTGACTGCAACTTGAACTTTGGCTGAGTTTACAGATGTTGTCTTACTTAAAACTTTCTGGAGTCCTCATATCAATGTGAATATGAGTGGTAAGGAATGGGGGTATGGATCATGCTTCTAACGTGACCTACCTGTTTCAGAACCATCTGTGCAGAGTCCGGTATGTCGATTCCGAGCCGTTTTAACCAGCGACACTCGTGGATCAACTGTAGAACTCTGCGATGAAATATTTTGAAATATTTCGGTTAATACTGCAGCCTGCCCTAAAAAAAGGTAACATTGACTGAACATTGCTAAATGGTACAGAAATGTTTCAAGCTGACTACCTACCCTTCGTCTGCGTTGACGACCACCTGTCCCGTCTCCGGATGGTTGATCAGCAACGTCGCCCTCAGCCCGGCCTTCGCACTGTCGATGTGGGCCCGCCACTGGGCCAGCCACAGGCTCTCGAACGTGACCACCGCCGTGGCCACACGGTTGTAGAACCGCACTATGCGGGAGAAGTCGCGCAGGTGGGTGACGGCGCGGTTGTCGCGGAAGACCTTCATGGGGTCCTCGATACGCTGGAGGAGCTGGCGGGACCAGGAGATGGCGCCGGCTACCGGGGGAGCATTGCGGATCATCGGTGGATCCTCCTGATGGTAGGGAAAGGTGTGGGGGGAAAAGGTAGGGCATATTAGCCATTAGTGAAAAATATTTTTAAAAACATCCATATTCTGGCTGTTAAAATCTTGGTTGTCATTGATCAACAATCCAAAATCTGACAATCAGGCTAACCTTATATTTCTCGTAGATATTCTTGACTTCTTCCAGATCTGCTTCGTACCAGTTGAAGATGTCCACATATTTCTCAGCAATGGATCGTTTCATTCCCTGACGGTATGCAACAGGGGTGAACCTGGTAACAAAACAAAAATTATCAAAACTGACATGAAGTTTATTTCTGAATGATAAACTAAGAATTTCCTAGTCCAAAGTTGCTTTCCTTCAAAGAGCTTACATAAACCAACTTCAGTTGCTGAATAATCTAGAAAATTGTGTGCTAACCTCGGAGCAGAAGAGTTGTTACCCTTCCATGATTCAGAGACTAAGTACGTAAATGCTTCCACAATAGTGGAAATTTCTATTTTTATGGTTAATTTAACCCTCCCTCTTTGACTGGCAAATTCAACAAAGCAATTCCAGGAGTCAAAATCAATCATTTGACTGTTGTAAAGGTCAAGAGCTCCCTGTTGAGCAGAATTGACTGGCTGTGACTGTTTACTTAACTTGATACATCTAGGCTTCGACTGAAAGAGATTGAAAAGCCAGCTGTGCCTGCCACTTTCCCGCTTTTGTCTGTTGATGGAATTTTCTTAGTCACATTGCTTACAAACACAAAATGTGATCTGACTGTTGGTGACTAGCCTCTGTATAAACACAAGGCAGGTGGACATGATTGAATTTTTGACTGCCTGTTACTGTTTAGACAGAAAGAGGGTTTAACTAACATGAAATTGGAATTTTAAGTTGACTAACCTAGTGATGACATCCAACGCCTCGTGCGTCTTCATCCTACGCATGAACACCGCCTGCAGGTAAGCGCACAGGTACATCTCAATCTGCTGCACGGTGCTCAGGAATTCCTCGTAAGTCTCCCCGAATCGCTCTTTCTCCTTGCCCTCCACATCCAGCATGACGGCCGTGTTGATGTGAGCCGAGAGGAGTTGCTTCATAGTGGTGATGTGGTCCTTGACGATGGAGGAGATGCTAGGGCCTTCATCATCTGCGTCATCCGCGTTGTAGAGCTTTCCTGTAGATAAGTTGGCAAGTAAGAAGAGTTTGTCATTTTGGTTGGTACCCTGCTACCCCCTTTCTGCTGAGCAGACTACACTAGGCAGATTTCTTAGCATAGCAGATTGCTAAGATTGGTACAATTCTGCACTTAGCTGATTTCCATGCTTAGCAGATTTCCATTCACAGAAGATCTCCATGCTCAGCAGATTTCCATGCTAAGCAGATTTCCATGCATAGTAGATTTTCATGCTTAACAGATTTCTATGCTAAGCAGATTTCCATGCTTAGCAGATTTACATGCTGAGCAGATATCTTCGCTAGGTTTCCATGAGTATCAGATTTCCAAGCTTACTGTATTCCTGTGCTTGTTAGATTTCCAAGCTAAGTAAGTTTCTGTGCTGAGCAGATTTCTCAATAAAATTGCCTCCCGATATCCTGTCATGGGAACTTACTGAGCAGTGCAGCATTGTGAGCAGTGATCCCCGTGGTCCCGTGGATCAGATCGTGGACCTCATCAGCATTGGACGGCACCTCGCTCCCTATCTGCTCCTCAGCATTCTCCTCCTTGCCTTTTTCCTTGGCCCCTTCCTCCTCCTCCCCATTGAGGTTCTCTTCCTCCTCGACAATGGGTAGGATCCCCGGGGCGTGGGGGTATGGGGTCTTGGTTGGGCTGACCGGCTTGATAGGTGTTTCCAGGGTTGGGGTACCTACAGATGGTCATGATTTGAATACAAATCAAATTTGTGTTGGGTAGAAGACGACTAAAACAGATGACTGAACCGGCAATCTATATACTTCTGAAATATATACATTTGATCAATTCACAAATGAAAAGATTACTGCTAGAAGCGGGAATCCCTTTTCAAACAGAGTGCTTTGTGGGAATAAATTGCCTGATTAACCCCTGAGCAATCTACGGTTTCATGGGTTCTCTACGGATTAAATACAATATATTCTACTGTAATACAGGAGCTGATGGGTTGATCTCCATTACAGAATGACTTACTACTGTGCTCGGATGTATTAGCACCTCCCCCTCCTAGTGCAGCAATCTCCGCCCCCTCCTCAGTGGCATCATCATCCACTACCAGGTCTTCTTTCCGCGGTCGGGGCAGCCCTTCCGTGCTCAGTCCCAGCTTGCTGTACTGGACCAGGGTGTAGACGGCATCGATGACTTGACGGATGCGGGCGCAGAAGGACTCCAGGTGGCCGAAGATGGACTCCTCGTCGGTGAAGGGCACGCCATGGCCGTGCTCTGAATCACCTGCAGAGGTTTGACGATTTATATCAATCAATTGTTGATACTGTCAAATTTAAAAGTATTAAAACTGACACTGCCTTAATACTTTCATCATCCATTTATACTTTTAACAAGTGGAGAATTTGACTGTGAATTTGATGGAGAATTTGACAGAAAGTTTGACCAAGAATTTGACAGAGTACCTGACAGAGACTTTGACAGAGTATTCGACAGAGAATTTGACAGAGAATTTGACAGAGAATTTGACAGGGAATTTGACAGGGAATTTGACAGAAACATTTACGGAGAAATTGACAGAAGAGAATTTGACAGTGAATTTCACAGAGACTCTGAAAGAGATTTTGACAGAGAATTTGACAGGGTACTTACCAGCAACCGAGGGTGTCTTTGATGCCTTGCCCATCAGTGTCAAGGCCCCTCTGGAGTGGGCTCTCGCCCTGGAGGTAGGGGCTCCCAGGGAACTGATGGAGGGGAACTGCATCAGGGTGTGTGCCCCACCGAGATTATCACGCAGTGTGCGCACTGTGTCACGATACACGTTCTGGAAGGATGACAACAATAAAGAGGAATTCAAGATTTGCTAAGCACAGAAGATATTTGCTTAGCCTATACAGGTTACCAGCCAAAATGTCATCACAAGTATGCTGCTTATGACTGGTTCCCAGCTAAACTTGCTAAGCAATATTTGCTGCTTAACAGCTACATGAAAATGTGCTGATCTTTACTCACGTGGAGCTTGAGGCAGGCCTTGAGCCGGCCCAACAGCGTGTCATTCTCCGGTTCCCCCTTTTGGTCCTTCCCTTTCCGCCGACCGGCCCTGGACCTCCCCTGCTGATCAGTGGAATGGACCCTGCCTTCAATCTCCGTGTAGAACTTGGGCCAGAGCAAGTCCTCCTGGGAGGGGGCGATAGTCTCGGCTGTGATGTACTCCTTGCAGGCGTTGACGAGCTGGTTGGTTATCTGGAGTTCATTAAAAGGAGGGGTGTCATTTACAAACCGTCCTAAAAAATATTAAAAATAATGTGTGGTAGATTTGTCTCTTTGGCCCTCCATACCTTAGTGAACAGCAGCCCCAGATATCCTGTCCGTGCATAGAATCTTGATATAGAGTCCATCTGCTTGACGCTATTGGCTAGTCCAGGCAGTGCCGTGTTGATGATGTCGGCCGGCGAGGCGCTGTGGTAGAGATGCTCAAAGTGACGACGGAGAGCCTCCAAGTACTTGACTTTGTCCTTGGTTTCGTTAGCTGCATCTGTGATACTGTAAAAATAAACATAGCAAGTATTATTTCTAGCTGTGAACTTATATCCTGACTTGTGGTGACTTATGATTTAGTCAACTTGTGATGGACTTGTAATTGACCCTTGATCGATTTGTGACTGACCCATTATTGGCTCGCTTGTGAACCGACATGTTATTGGCTTGTTATTGGCTTGTGATTGATTTGTGTTTGATGATTGGCTTGTGAAAGACATGAGATTGACTTTTGTTTGACTTAATATTGGCTTGTGATTGGCTTGTGATTGGCTTGTGATTGACATGTTATTGGCTTGTGATTGGCTTATGAATGACTTGTGATCGAGTTGTGACTGACTTATGTTTTAATTGTGATGACTTGTGTTTACTTGTGATGACTTCTGACTGACTTGTTATTGACTTGTGACTGATTTCTGATTGACTTGCGATTGACTTAAGACAGACTTGATTAAAACTCTGCAATACCTAGAGTCGATGGCCTTCCATTTCTTGAGGACTTTGGATTTGGATGTGATGAGCACCCCGATGACTGTCTTACACTCCTTGCCTTTCAGCTGCTCCATGATGTTGGACAGCATCCGCTGACGTCTTCGCCATCGCTCTAGCTCACTCATGGGACCTGAGGTAGGGTCCATGAATCTGCAACGAACAGTAGGATTTCATTAAAATATTCATTTAAAACAAAATACAAAGAAACATGCAAACAAGCAATACTGAATTGTAAACAACATCAATAATTGAGCTTGATCTCCAGCTAATCACACCTTGAACTACTCAGAAAACTTCCAACTTCTACTTGAACTGAGATTATCACTGTAAAATACCTTGCTCAAGGACACAAGCAATAAGGAACCAATTAAATGAACCCGCTAAGCAAATACTATTGCTAAGCAAAAATAAGCTGAGGACCAATCAAAAATAATATGCATCCCAAGGCATTTTGGCTGGTAACCCATTTTTGCTAAACAAATCTTTTCCGTGCTTAGCAAATAGGTATTCCTAGCAACTGTCATAATGGCCCCTGCTAGGGTATGTGAAGCAGCATATAAAATCTTCCCTCGAAGGAAACTAAAACACACTTCCATTCCAACTGATGAAGACAAACTATTAACAACGGATATTTTTTTTGGACTGACCTTTCGTCCCCGCCATCGGCCAGTGCATTATCGATGGTGGAGATCCATTCCGACACCAAGGCCTCATACTCTGTTATGATGCTGTGGTCGTAAGACGTGGTCCGGTGCTTGCTAAACTCTTGACTCACCATGTTATCTGGACGTCTCAAGACCTGATGAATGAAAAGATATTAGAAGAAATATCAGTTTCCTTGAAATAAATTTATGATTTTGCTATCAAAACATGTAATTTAATTACTTGGGCAAAAATGGTGAGTAATACCTGTAAAATGTACCACAGCTTTCAAAGACAGGATCTCTTGTTTGTCCACAGGTAATATTTTTTACTTTTCCCCCTCCTTTTTCTTTTTTTGCCCTTTTTTAGGCATAGTTTATAAGTAGCCTTCAGGACCCTTGTAACATTTGAAAATCTTGCCTCTTTAGTGTCAACATAACTCCACACATAAGACTTCAATTACATATTTATTAATTTTACCTTGTTTTGATACAACAGACGTGTATTCTTATGTAACTTTACAAGAGCTCACATCATACATTTTGCACCACAGCATTTTTACAACTTGCATGTAAATGTAGGCTTATCTCCTGAACTTTTTTTTAATTCAAATCCAAATGAAATGAAGTAAAAACCCATCACAAGAGTACCATAGGTGTAATCATTGAACCAAATTTGTAAGGCAAAATTGTGGTGTATTTTTGTGTTGGTCTCCTCCATAGTCTCCTGGATTATTCTACTGCAAGAAAACAATTTCCAGGGAAAGAACTGACATCAAACATGCCACAAGCATTGCACACATGCACAGTCACATTACAACATGCATCACACACAGCATGTTTTGGACGTAATCTCGCATGGAAAGGGGAAGTGAGGCAAAACTATATTATGATTTTTGAGGGAAGAGGAAGGTTGATGGCAGGGCTGGGTGGTAATGTTCAGACATTCCAAGGTTGACTATTAGCATGTGGGAACCAAAGCTAACGTTCTGGTACTTTCAAGAAAATATATGAATAGTATATTAATCGGGACCCTATAGTCCTACTTTCCTGAAACTTGGCACATCGAGGGATACAGCTGGAGAAAAGGGCATTGAACAGAAAAGATAAAAAAATATGAGATACAGAGACACGAACAAGAAGAATGGAAAGAATGTTGCAACCTGATGCTGCTTTTTTCTTCATTGCAAAAATAATGACAAGACATGAATCTTGGACTGAGAAACAATTTCAATTTTGTTAAGTAATACTTAGAAACTTGTCTTGACTCTCCATAGACTTTGTACACAACCTCTGCAGTAGTATCATGTTGCAAAAATCATTCCAGAAGAATTTATAAGCAAATTACAGTGATGTCTGGCACAAAATTCAATGAAGTCCCCAATCCTATAAAATTCCATGAAAAGTTTGAGGAATGGCAGACTACAAAAATAAAAAGTACAAGAAAGAAACAAGCATGCAACTTGGCAAGGCAACTAGGCCTACTGAACATCATACAATCACAGTCACAGGAAATTCAGGATTTTACAATGCATTCTGCTGGCAAGACTAGAGATATGACTAGGCATGCATGGATCAGTAAATGTTTATTTGGCCTCACCAAATCAACTGCAACTTGTCGCCTTCGACTCTGTGATAATTGAAGGGGTTAGTGAAAACATAAGCAACATTTTTGCTTTAATTTAAAAATTATAATTTGTTAGTGGTGAAATTGTTTGGCAATGTGAGTAATTAAACAGTCTTAGTTTAATTTTAATCAATGTCATTAATTTTCATGAATGAAAAATTCACGGAGAAAAGTAAACCTCCCTTCAAAAACACTTTTAAAATGTTACAATTATGCAGACTGATGGATTTAAAGTGAATGATTTATGCATTTAATATCAGTTAGCCCAATAAAATAATCATAAATATACGCAAAATATCACCAGTTAATGAAATAATACCTGCTGTCTCCCTGATGCAGGTACATTCACTGTTTCAGAGAGAGCCGCAGCATATTTCTCCAAACTATTCAAACACTGCGACACATTCTCCTCGCTACACTCGCCCCAGTCTTTCTGCGCTCGCAGCAGCGGCAGGTAGATATCGGACAGCAAGGTGTTGAGGTTGTCCAACACACTATGCCGCAGCTCCCCGCAGAAGATGTCCTTCTCCATATGCACGGGGTCCACGTCGTGGTTGACATGATGGCGGAGAAAATACAGGCACGTCGTGTCCTCGATGTTCACCTCTTTCAGAGTCGCCAGGGAGCTCACGACGTGGAGCTGCCTCGTGCTCTGCAGGCCGCTCGGGAAGAGGGTGCTCGTCTGCGGCCTGTCCGAGTAGAAGAAGAGCTTGTTGGGGCCTCCCGTGCCCAGGAACTGGTTGATGAGTTCGAGGGTTTTGGGCTCGCAGAGGAAATCCTCCAGCAGTGTCGGGTTGTCGTGAAACCCGCCGATGTGGAACGACTCCTGGATCTTCGTGGCTATCCACCAGTGTCTCTCATCCATTTTGGCTCAATTTTTGTCAGTGCAGCATAATTTAGGAATCACAAATATTCGTTCTCTCAAATCCTACCGATAAATTGATAAAATATACTTAATTTTAAGCAAATTTTACTTCATTAACATACAGTCAAGTTTCGCGGAGCCGCAAGATTTGTTGACAGCGGGCCGCCATTTTGGAAGTGGTCGTTAGGAACTACAAAGTTCCCGGATGCAATTAATTAAAGAAAATTATTGTGCAGCGCCTCCACGCGGCCGCCGCGCCGCTGTAATTTCGGCACAAAATTTTTGGCACTCGTAAAATTCGGCTAAATGTTCAAAAACAAAATAAAGTGCCATTACTGAAAAAAGCGGGCAAATTATATGAATATTTGGGAAGAAACCAACCACAGGTATATGAAATAATGGAGGCTTGAAGATTTAAATCAATTAAATGTACTCTTTAGTCTTTATTATTGGATCGATCCATAAATCAACAAAAAAATGAAAATTTAGAAAAATAATCTATTTTTTTTGTATTTACAAATCACTTAACACGATTAAACACAATGTTTTTTTTCTGGTCTAAACATCAAGTAAATGATGGAATTATAATCTGAGATTTTTGTTTAGAATAACTTGAAAAAAGCAATTAAGTTATGAAAATATAATGAAAATATTTCAAACTGTAACAGATGCATGAAGGTAATTTGTTTTGATCTCAGCCTTGGAGTAGTTTTTTAAATTTTCAGCATACAGTTTATCATTTAATGACAAAAACTTCTGTGCATAGCTGAATACTCTAGTAATTAATATTTCAAACTAATTTAATTTCAAGATTTCAGTTGCAAAAAAAAGGAGTTAAAATCACTTAATTACAATAATAAATTTAATTTCAAGATTTCAGTTGCAAAAGGGTCAGCTAAAATATGACAGCAAAGTTTTCCTCTACAATTCCTTGGTATGAGAAATTTGTATGAGATATTTGATTATTACTTAACTTTGGATTCAATGGCAACTATAGGCTACTATGAAATAGACACTTTATGATCATGCAGACAATAATCTGAATAAACAATTTGACACAATTTTTGTATATGATACATTTTGTAAAACGTTTAGTTGTCTCAAAATAAACTGAATCAGAAGCGTCTATATTGTAAGATATTTTGAAATCTAGTTTGTCTTTTGATTGTTTTATTAAAATTTTTTTAAGTAACTGAGCTGGAACTCCTTCAAGTTGATCAGGCTTATGTGCTCCGACCAAAAACTGACCCAGGACTCTTTTTTTTTTAACCCTTTTGCCAACTACAGGGTGTCTCCCAAAAAAAATGTAGCAGTCAAACAACTTTTTTTCTGAGGAAACTAAAGTGTTTTTTTTTTGTAAAACACATTACGATGAGATGATAAAGTGTTTCTTTACCCTTGACAGGATTTTTGTTCTGTGTGATTTGGACCTTTTGTTTAAAAGTTAAGTCAACGCTTGTAAAGACTGTCCAAATCTGTTTGGGCCACTTTCTTTACCTTCTTGCTATGTGAATGCCTGTCATTAGATACCAAGCGGCCCAACTTGGAATTCAAGTCCTTTCATTTAATTAGCTGCATCTCTAGACTGGAGTGTCCAAATGAGATGGGATAAAGACCATTGTGTAGAGTAATTTACTACACCTTCAGACTCTATAGATAAGTTTTACAAAAGGAGAGTGCTAGTATTTTTAATATTTATGTATTGACCACCTGATTTTGTGGATACACTCTGTAGAGTGTGATAGTTAATGCCATAATAAGCAAAAGCTTGCTCTAATATACATGTATAATACACAAGCTAAAGTATATTAATTTTTGAATACAAGAGCCTCATTTGAATAAAACAGGTGGGCCAAAAAGAAAACAAATCTAATTTTGAATTTCAGAAAGTAATTTTAGGGCCCTGCAATTTCTTTCATCTTAGAACTATCTGAAGCGCATATGATGCCATGGCTGTCTGGTTCATTTAAGCTCAAACTACGTTTTATATAAAAGTTTACTAAGTACTGTTATAACTGAGGACTATACAAATATAATTTGACACCTGTCAAAAAAAACATGGAATATATTCACTATTTCGTGTTGCTGCTACTTGAGCTGGTGTGCTGGATAGGCCAATATGATATGTCACACATATATTGACTGGCTATGAGGGCAATAGTGCACTACTATATGCCCAAGGCTCTGTATGAATAACAACGGTGCTATGATTTTAATACCAATTCAGCACTTTGCGGACTGTGGTAACGTAGATCTCGTCAGGTTGGGGCTGACGCTGAGGCCCATACAGGAAGGCACTCACATTGGGCAGGGACGAAATCTTGTTTGTGAAGGCCTGGGGGAAAGACAATTAAAACAAAGTAATTTCAATGCTGTTGCGCATGACACACAGGTGGCGCCGTTTAGCCTTGCAATTAGAGTGAGCGAAGGGCCGTGTCCGAATTACTTAGCTACGGCTAGACATGAAACACAGGGTGTTGAGTGAACTTCGTATATGGAAATCTTTCCCAATTTGCCACAAAGGTTTCATTTCATCAAATATGCTTATATCACAATTCACAAAGAACTTATATTATCCAGAACGTACAGCCACGCCGGGAAAACTGATGGCAAACTGGGGTTCGATCTCATGCAGCCAGAGGAGGACCTCGAGCCACGCGATGTCGGCGAGGGTAAGGGAGTCGCCAACCAGGAAACCGGACGTGCTCTTCTTGTAAACCTGAACCCACAAAGGAAATGAAGATGTCAAGAATTGCTAGAATTGTTTATTTGTTGTTATTGTAAGTTTGTTTTGCGTGTTTATTTTTTCTTCTAAAGAACATTTCTGAGGAGCTCCAAGGATATACAAGTGCAATTTTAGAGGATGGAGGAAGACTGAGAAGAGGAGGTGACTGAGAAGGCCTTACTTAAAGATAGAGAGAGAATAGGTGCGTAACACAACGATAAAGCTACCTTTTCAAAGATGGGAAGATAGCGACCCTTGGCCTTGCTCTTGATGAGGTCCAGCGTCTGCTGCTTCTCTTCCTCGGTGGCCTTGAAGACAACCGATCCAAACCCAAGATTGATGAAATCCCTGGATCCTTCGAACAGCATATCGACCCTAAAATGAAATCAGGGCAAACGTGCAACAATACATCAAACATTTTGTACAGTTTTCCTGTGGATACAAACTGACCTGAAATTATTGAAATATTTGAATTTGCCGTTTCGTCTTCGCATAACTCCAAGATTTTCATAAGGAGCATTTAAGTCAATGAGCACATGGCCCCTTCAACAACGAAAATGACAAAGAACACCACGTTGCCATTGTGCAGGCACTTGTTGCTTTGTGGCTATTTCGTTGTCCCTACAAGGAGTAAAATGGGCACCTGTAACAGTTCAGATGGTGGCTGCTATTGAACAGTTTCCACAAAATGACAGCATCGAGCGGGGTGGGGGGGGGTGGGGAGGGGGGTGTATACTCCCCAAGGAGCTCAGATGGCCTTGACCACGACCATGAGTGGCTATGTACAGTATTCTCAGGTCAAAGGTCAAGTTCTTGAGGGTCAAGGGTCACAAGGACTGACTTGACCACATCCATGTATTTACATTGCCTGTTCTTCAGGAGTTTTGCCCATCATGTTGTGCTTGTGTGCCAAATAACGGATGATGGCGCCTGACTGGACAAGTTTCAATCCGTCGATCTCTAACAGGGGAACTTGCATGAAGAGAAGATCTCCGTCTGAAAGAAGGAAAAGGAAATTTAAGCATAATAGTATGTGGTATGGATACAACGCTTAAGGCAAAGTAAAAAATAAAATAGTCTCGCTTCCCGGCTTTTTGAAAAAAGGATGGAGGCGGAGCCTATAAACTAGCTTATTTTTTACTTGGCCTAAAACTTAAAGAGCAGTTGTTTTCGACATTTCTTTTCCTACTCAGGATCATAAAATAATCTCTTCACTGGTTCTCTCCAAATGCATTAACATACCTTCTCGAAGCTTTTCAAGCTGTTCTGGTTCTGTAAGAAAGACATCATCAAACTGTAAAAGAAGGGGGAAAAATGTAGCTTTGAACATAGATGACAGAATGTGTACGTGTCACTGCACTTAACAGTGGGTGAAGGATTATTATCAACAATTTCAAGTTGAACAAGATGATGAAAATGTTTCCAAACTGTCAATTCTTCGATACATACCTCGACTCCGGCAGCGGCTAGAGTTAGCCTGATAAGTTCACCTTTACCGCGACCTTTAAAATAGACGAGTTTCGTCTTGGATGCCATAGTATTTTGGAGCAAATCTACAAGAAAATTGACTTCAGACACCATACATGCCATAGGGACCACTTGCCGCGCACGCCGGCCGGCAGGGGGCGTGCACCCAATTTTATGGGACCGCATAATGGTCCATTTCAGTAGAGGGGAGTTCGAAAATTAAATATATTTTCAGTATAATTATAAATTTTATTTTTTGATTGTTCCACTCAAATATCAATTGATTAACAGGTGTTAACAAAGAACGTATGTAATCAATATTATGATGATATATTTATTGTAAGATGTATATAAACAATTGTTTCTAGATTTTATAAACAGTGATAACCCCCATTATTGATAATGTAATCGCCGAGTAGTCAGTAAACAAACTTAAGCAAAGCCACGTGGGCAGCTAGATGCGCATTTGCGTCACTTTCATTTTGTGAAAACGATCTACATGTATCTAAAAAAAAATCACATAATTTTTCAATTCAGTATTTACTGAAATCCGAACAAAATTTCTTTCTGGCATAAATATTTGAAAGTCTCAATAATATTGGGAAATTCTTTTGTTTGTATGTATCGGTATGTAAGTTTACCATTAGTGCATATGAAAAGTTAATTAGTAAAAGTTGGTACTTTGATCCGGTCTTAACTTTTTCTTTGAAATGGGGCTTGCGGTGGCTGCCAAAGTTAATTGAACGTGATGAGGAGTAATAAATAACCGTCTGATATTTTCTACACAAACCCCCGGTGTAGGAGAGCTTTACATAGACATTATCAGATACATGTACCAACTTTTACGGTCTCTACCTTCACAGGTACCCATTTATACTCCTGGGTGGAGAGAGGCAATTGTACTTTGTAGTAAAGTTGTTGCGATCATATTTTTTTTTTTTATTGTTCGACGGTTTTTCATGATATTAAATGCCCTAATATTACAAATCGTGGAAAATCATTGCAAGAAATTTCAATTTAATACATTTTGTATTTCTTGAGTTGTAGTCCAAAAACGAGTTTGAACTTTTAGTGTAGCTAGCAGCCGGTTGACGCTGGACACCACTATTTATGTGGCGCGCCCTCTATTGAATGAAATTTTACCACGTGCGCAGCGTTTCGCAATACCGTCTTGTCCCCAGTCTGCTTTCTTGTAAATTCTGCAAAAAAGTAAGCAGGAACTCAGACTATTTAAAAATGGCCGAATTTCAGGAAACGAGCGTCGATCGCAACGGAAAGACACGGAAAAAGATGAAAAAGAAGGCCAATAAGTCCCTAAAAAGTACCTCCCAATCAACAACTTCTGATACTGGTAAGTAAGAACCGCAAAGTATTTTGCAACCTGACGCTACTATTTGTTAGGAAATACCTAAAACTTTTCTGGACTCTCCATAGACTTTGTACACAATCGCTTTGCCTTTGGCGTCAGGCTTCAACATTCTTTCCCTTAAGTTGCTTAACACAATACTCAATAGTACTTTGAAAATGTTCTTGACTCTTTAAGACTTTGTGCACAATCGCGGAAGTGGCGTCAGGTTTAAAACATCTTTGGAAAGAATGTTGTACAGTGAATAGGCCTATTGTATTGTAACTAGTGTAACAATCGGCATTCCAAATAAATTCGACTAGCTTTAGAATTAGAGAGAATCAGTTATGGAGGTGGGTCAGAACATTTGGTACCCAGATTAGTTATACGCGCAACGATAGGAGCCCGGCCGCTGAGTACCTGTTAACTCTACATGCGCACGTACGATTAGACGGTTCTTGTTTTGCCCAAGCAGTTGACAGCGGTCATTTAATTTCTCATGAGTATTTAATTTATTACATATACATTACTAGTCTTACTCCAACATGTCCAATGGATACGTTAAATACAGCAAACAGACCTGCAACGCCAACAAACGCTTGTGTGGTGGCTGGTGCATTAACAAGATTCTCCCCTCTTAGGTTTGATTCACCGTGAAGTAAGTTTAAAGAGGAATCGAGGAGAGGGAGATGGTGGGAGTTGAGGAGGGAAAGTGGAGGAAATAACCAAATAGAAAGTAACTTTTTGGCGCTTGAAAATTTATTGAAAATGACCTCTGTCCCAGTTTAGTGAACTCACTTTCTAGGCCTATACCCCATATTGACATTGATGTCATAAACATGAAGAAAGATGGTCATTTGTTGTGATTTATATGTTTATTCGGAAAGAACGTTGCATCCTGATACCGGTCAGTCATTGCAAAAATGTTAAAAGACATGAATCTGGCATGTCTGGGACTGAGAAACATTTCCAATTTTGTTAGGAACCACTTCGAAAGTGTACTCGACACTCCATACACTTTGTACACAACCAAAGAAGTGGCGTCTGCTACTACATTCTTTCCTTTTATTCTCCAGAAAATTCTTTTATAAACTTAATTTTTCTTTTCCCACAGCTAAGCCTACACCAAGTGCTAGCAACAAAGAAGGTGACAATTCTTTAAATCAAAAGAAGAACAAGATGAAGAGGAAATCAGTCGCAGAATATTCCACACCAGGTAAATTTAGTTGTTAACATTATTTGTACTTATTTATCAAACTACTTTTATTATGCCAATTAATTACATCATAAACAAACCGGCTGTAATTTGTATCAAAGTGAATGGAATTCAATTGATCTAAAATGTTAAGCAATGGAACTCTTTTTTTAATTACTCTATTGTTTTATTGCAGGAGCCAAACTTCCGAAGATATCTGGAGACGGTGAAAACTCTCTGGAGAAGGACACACCTCTTGGCACACAAGAGCAGACAAGAAAAGGAACTAAGCGAGAAACTAAACAACAGAAGAAATCCAGAACGGAGATGGAAAATGTGCAACACCGATCCGGAGACGAAGATGATGATGAACTGTATGATGAGGAAGATGATGATGAACTGTACGATGAAGAAGACGTTGATGAAGATGATTTAGAGTGGGAGTCAGACGAGGACTCCATGGAGGATGGTGAGGAAAAGACGGAGACCAAGGAGGAGACAAGAAAAGCAGATGAAGATGAAGACGAAGAAAACAACAAAGATGAAGATGAAGACATCGCAGGTTCCACAGAACAGACAGAAGCACAAGCGTCATGTGAGTTTTAATTAACTCTCAAAACAAGTGCAATGTAAAAACAAACTTGCGAGAGGATAACATGTAAATTGAGATTGTGGAAGCTTTCCAAGTTTAAAGCCATTTTGATTGACCTTTAACCCTAACCCTGCTGAATCCAACAGGATCCAACTATATCATATCCCCGTTGGAGTCTGTTGGATTGAGCAGTAAACCCCTTGTACAAATGTACATATTCTGAGTCGGATTCTGTTGGGTACTGATAAATAACGCTAAATCGGACTCTGTTGGATCCAGCAGACAACTGAAAATCAGGCACAGTTGGATTCTGTTGGATTGAGCAGAAAGTAAACGTTGGACCTTGTTGGATTTAATAATGAAGATTGTTTTGGTTGACATTCCATGTAGTGCCAGGCACAAGCACCATCCTGACGGACACCAGTTTCAAGTGTTTGGAGGGTAAAGTGTCGGACCTGACGCTGCAGGGCATTCAGGACATGGGCTTCACCCACATGACCGAGATCCAGCACAGGGCCATTCCATACCTCTTGGACGGCAGGTAAGTCTACTGGAACTGCTGAGCAGAAAAAAGTATTGGTTTGCCAAAAAAATTGCTTAGCAAATATACTTGGTAAGCAACAGTTTTGGCAAGAATCAACGATGTAATCAGGTACCCAATTAATTGAAGATAGTCTACTTTAGTAGCTTATCAAAAACAAAAAAAATAGCTAAAAAAAATTTGGTAAGCAGAAAACAAATTTGCTTAGCGAACGTACCTGTTCAGCAAAATCGGCTAAGAATCAGTCACAATCAACGTGTCATTTTTTGGGCTCGTTTTCAACAATTGCTTGACAAATCTTTAACATTGATCAGCAAGTTCGGGTGCTTTTCTGTTTTGTACAATGTCACCTGATACTTTTCAACCAATAAGATCACTCCCTGTTTTTGGTTTCCACCAATCAGGGACCTGCTTGCGGCAGCCAAGACCGGCAGCGGTAAGACGCTTGCTTTCCTCATCCCAGCCATCGAGCTCATCTACAAACTCAAATTCATGCCCAGGAATGGTAAGGCACTCCTTTTTATTTGGTGGAGATTTCAGTGTTTTTTTTCTACTTCTGGTATTATTTTGAATATTGTCGTTTAAATTAGATGAATGATTTAGTTGTACCCACTTTGTCTTCTATTTGGGGCTGTTTTCAGAATTCTAGCATATTGTGTTAAAACAGCAGTTACGGTATGAAAATCTAAATTACTTTGGGGCAGTACAAAAAGAAAAGTCAATCACAAGTCCTCACAAGTCAATCACAAGTCCTCACAAGTCAATCACAAGTCCTCACAAGTCATTCATAAGTCAATCACAAGTAAATTCTCACAAGTCAATCACAAGTCCTCACAAGTCATAGTAAGTCAGTCACATGTCCTCACAAGTCCTCACAGGTCAATTACAGGTCCCCACCAGGCACTAGTCAATCCAAAGTCCTGAAAACGTACAACAATAACAAGTCCTCACAAGTCCTTAGAAGTCAATAACCTTGTCAAAAGTCCATCACAACTCCTCTCAGCTCAAGTCCTCACAAGTCAGTCACAAGTCCTCACAAGTCTTCACAAGTCCTCACAGGTCAATTACAAGTCCCCACAAGGCACTAGTCAATCCTAAGACCTAAAACGTAAAAAATAAGTCCTCACAAGTCTCTAACAAGTCCTTAACAAGTCTTTCACAAGTCCTCACAAGTCTTCACAAGTCCTCACAGGTCAATTACAAGTCCCCTCAAGGCACTAGTCAATCCTAAATCCTGAAACCTAAAAAAAATAAGTCCTCAAAGTCGGTCACAAGTCCTCACAAGTCTTTCACAAGTCCCTCAAAAGTCCTCACAAGTCAAAACTGAAGTCCTCACAAGGGTTAATTTTTCGATTGATTAGGTACGGGAGTCATCATACTGTCCCCAACTAGAGAGTTAGCCATGCAGACCTACAGTGTTCTCAAGGAGGTCCTCAAACATCACTACCACACCTTCGGCCTGGTGATGGGCGGCACCTGCCGGACGGCCGAGGCCAAGAAACTGGCTAAAGGAGTCAACGTGGTGGTGGCTACCCCTGGGAGGTTACTGGATCACTTACAGGTGAAGAAGATTATTTCAATCTTTCTTTGTTTTAGTTCTTTATCTTCAACAAGTTTCGTTTCCATACAGTTTTCTTCTCGCGTAGTTAAGCTGCAATTTTAGGCCATATGTTGCCCTCCATGTAACCTGGGCCCAATTTCACGGCGCTGCTAAGCACACGATTTTATGCTAACAGAGCCTCCGTCTATTTCATGGAGACCGTAAGCATAAGCACAGCAAAAGGCACGCTTACTTTAGAGGAAAAATTTGCTTAACGTAGTGACGTAACAATAGAAATCTCCATGCGCACGCGCGCGACCGTTAGCACGTCCACGCCGTGAAATAGTGCTTAAGGTTAGCAAATTTTTCTGCTATGCAAAACACAACTTTTCTGCTAACTGTTAAGCAGCGCCGTGAATTGGTCCCAGGTAAGGAGGTCATTTGGGAAACTTAAAGACAATTTACGACAGATTTTTCAAACTTTCTTAGGCCCGAAAATTGGGAACAGGAAATACCTATAACTCCATCAGATTTTGTCAGATTCCCATATTCTATACATCATTGGAAAGCTTATTCAGTGTCCTTTCCAATGAGCCTAAAATCCAAGTTTTCAAAAATTTGGTCCAAGTGACTGGTTTTGTGTTGGAGGGTCACATATGTGCATCTGATTTCAAACGATTCGAGAGATCACGGTTGAAATTGTAACGACGATCTTCATTGAAAATGGCTACTCCTCTTTGTATTTGTTTCAGAACACGGAGTCGTTCATGTACAAGAACCTCCAGTGTCTGATCATCGATGAGGCGGATCGTATCTTGGAGGTAGGCTTTGAGCCGGAGATGAAGCAGATCGTGCGTCTCCTCCCAAGTAAGTCTATCCCTTTGTCTTGCTGCCTGTTGTTGCAGAAAAATTCCTTATTCAGTCAACTGTCTTTGATTAACTCTAACTTCCTAGATATTTTTGCTAGGATGCATCCTCAATCCTGCAAAATCCTCCAACTGCCTCCATGTGAAAATTGCATACAGCCTCAATCCTCCAAAACCATCCATTATTTCTCGAATGTGTATTTTTTGAATGCAAAATCCTCCAGCAATCACTGTCAATATGTTGAGGCAGAGCCAGTGACATCCTGGAGCAGTGTGGAGGATTTCAAATATAATCTAGGCCTAACTTTATGCACGGCTGAGCATAAACAACACAAGGTCTGGCCCAAGACCTTGACACAGTGCATCCTCCAAAATCAGCCACACATTTTTGCCATATAGCCTTAATCCTGCAAAATCCTCCATTTTGCAAAGAGGATTTTGGAGGATTTGGGTAAAAAAAAACACAGTTAAAGTGACTTGTGATTTCTTAATTTATTATTTATTCAGAGAGACGACAGACCATGCTGTTCTCTGCAACCCAGACGAGGAAAACCGAAGATCTAGCAAGATTATCTATGAAGAAAGAACCAATCTATGTCGGTGTTGATGATGACAAATTAGCTGCGACTGTGGAAGGCTTAGAACAGGTCAGTTCAATTCATTTTTTTTTCTTTTCAACAATCGGTCACCCAGTATCCAAGACTCTTAAAACAATCCCATTTTATCATGTTATCAGTCATGATGTTTATATTTCTTCAGCATTTACTTTTGCAAGTAATGAAAAAAGGTAAAAACAGAAAAAAAGTGATAAAGCAATCAAAAATGTAAAATTTTGAACAAGGAAAAAAAAGTGCGCAGACTTTGAAATGATTTAAAGACAGTTGCCATTTTATCCTGTAAAAAAAATTGACCATTATCCCTGACCCTCCCAAATCCTTCAAAATCTGACAGGCTTTAAAAAAAAAAAGGATTTTGTAGGATTGAGGAAGGTAGAGCCCAACAACTTTTGATGGACAATAGTCTTGATGCCCCCTTTTGAAAGATATCATTCAAAGACTTTGTCATTGGGTTCATGCATAGTCATGGATTTTGGAGGAATCAGGCGAGTTTCAAAAAATACTTTGAAAAGTTATTTATTTTTGTGGAAATGCACTTCCATCCTGAAGGGTTACGTGGTGTGTCCGTCGGAGAAGCGTTTCCTCCTCCTCTTCACCTTCTTGAAGAAGAATCGGAACAAGAAGCTCATGGTCTTCTTCTCGTCTTGTATGTCGGTCAAGTATCACAGCGAGTTGCTCAACTACATCGACCTGCCGGTCATGGCTATTCATGTAAGTTTTCCTCAAAGTACGAAATTATAATTATCGTTAATATTTGCTTATTGTTGAATTTTTCCTATCAAGTGACTCATTTCCAAAATTTCACAATTTTTGTATGCGAGTTTGAACAAAGAAATTGATTGGAGCGGGGTTCGAACTTGCGACTTCTGGATTGTCGTTCCGGTGCTCTACCAACTGAGCTATCCAGCCCTATGTTGGCGATTCCCGTTTTGTCAATGTCTTTGTTCAAGGGCGTTAGACAGAAGCCATAAACCTGTATATGCCATGTAGCCAGGGATCACCCCCAAAATCATGATGCTAGTAACATTAGCAGTTCAGCTAACCTGGGAAAAAGCAAACAACATTTTGTCAGACTTGGTGAGATACACTTACTCCAAGCTAACCCAGGCAAACTCGGTGGTTGAGTAGTAGGACGTCTGCGCTAGTAAGCGGGAGGTCATGGGTTCGAGTCTCACCCGGGTAAGCTGGTGATTTTTGTTCTGCAAGAAATGGGATTCTTTTTAAGAAACGTTCTCGTCTCTTACAGGGAAAGCAGAAGCAGACCAAGAGAACACAGACCTTCTTCAAGTTTTGCAACGCGGATAAAGGCATCTTGCTTTGCACGGATGTGGCCGCTAGGGGACTGGACATACCAGAGGTCGATTGGATCGTGCAGTTTGACCCGCCGGATGACCCCAAGGTTAGTAACTAGTTAGTTAAATGAACTGGGCAAGTTAAAGCTGGTGCATTAACCGGACATATGATGGGAAGTGGATTGGATCATACAGTTTGACCTGCTGGATGACCCCAAGATTAGTAACTGGTTAGTTTAACTGGGGTTGATACATTAACTGGACATAGTAGGAGGTGGATTTGATCATGCAGTTTGACCTGCCGGATGACCCAAAATTAGTCACTAGTTAGTTAAATCAGGTTTGTTAAAACGAAACCAATACCTAGTTAGTTAAACATGGTAAGTTAAAACTGAACCATTAACCCTTACCCTGACAGGGTTTTCAACAAATTTGCAATGACTGACCATCACCAAGATTGTATATGGTGAAGAAAAGTGGTGTCAGAATATTGCATTTTAACAAAACCCAATTCTGTGATTTTAACAAAGCACTACCGTGCCTTTCCCATATCACGACCCTTTATTCTCTCTTGCGTGCACAACACTCTTATTTGCTTTGCATGTCATTAAAAGTTGCAAATTCAGACAGTGTGAAACTTAAATCGGGTATGTTCTATGTACTTCTCGGCTGAAATTTTAGAAATGATCAACTTTTATTTGACTTTAATCTACCCACAAGTGATGGCCGTTGAACGGTATCCATGGTAACCGTGAATCATTGGACGACCTATATTGGTAGATGGTCTTTAAACCTGATTGGTGAACATTGCAGGCGGTGGCCTAATCAAACGTCTCTTCATACGCAGGCTTAGGAGCAGAGACAAGATAACTTGGCAACCAAGAATTGTCACCCACATTCTCAGAGATTTATGTGAGGTGCATGTCAATTCCGAAGAGGTCTGACAGAATCAGTAAATATTTTGGCTTTAAAGTGATAACTGAGATTGATGTGTTCAAAGAGCGAGGGAGGATAAAGTCTGTCAGCAAATATTAATTGGAAATGCAAAACGAAAGTCAAGCAACAATTAAGGAGGGAGTCGAGTGAGTTTAGCGTTCACTCAAATCTTTCACGGTTGCACATCTGTTGTTCCACAAACACATGACTGGCTTTATTTGAAGTGTTCTGTAGGTCCTGAGACTCCATTTTGAGTTATAGCTTCTATGTACGAGGTGATGAGCATTGATAAGGCCTTAAAAAGCAACAATAACGCTTGCTACACTTATTTTGCCAACCATCATAGACTCGGCTATTAAGAGCAATGGCGTGGACTGTAACGCAAGGAACAAACAACTTAACCACCGGAAAGGCAGATGATAGTGAGAGTTCACAAACAGCATTAGCGGTTGTCGTGTGCACCTTCGCCACGCTAGGACTTGCTTTGAACTTTCTACTGAATCCACTCATGCTGTTGGTCTTGCATCGCGTCACCAGCATTCAGCCCACGACCAAAATCTTCATGGTGTCCCTGACCGCGTCTGACCTAGGCTCGGGGTTGGTCTGGCTTCTCGAATTACCGGAGCTGTTCCTGGGAGCCTGGCCGTTGGGAGGGTTTCTCTGCGCCGCGACCGGCGTGATGATGTTCACGACCCGCGCGATGGGCGTGTTTTCACTTCTCTTGCTAACCGTGAACCGCTACATCGCGGTTTCCCGTCCACTCCGGTACCCCACCCTGATGACTGTGTTTAGGTCAAAGGTCATCGTCTGCTCCACCTGGGCCGCCGTAACTGCGATCTGCATTACTGTCTACGGGATCTACCACCCGAAGTACATCCTCGAGAGTGGCCCCCTCAAGTTATGCATTTGGGAAAGTGACTGGAGGCAGTATGTATCCATCGTTACTATGCTGTCTGTTTTATTGGTCGTGTCGTTCCTATATGTGCATATTTTAATGATAGCACGTCGGCACGCCCGGCGCATTGCCACCGACAACCAAGTCGGTAATGGGCAGGCGATGGGGCAAATCCCACAAAACGTCAGCACACGGTCAACCACGACTGTCGTCATCATCACTGGTACACTGATGGTATCCTGGTTACCCACAGTCATCATCTTGTCGACACTGATCCCCGAAACAGATTTTGCGGGTTACCGGATTTTCCTATTGGTAAACCTGACGGACGATTTTCTCCTAGCCAACACGTGGCTAAACGTTATCATCTACTACCTGCGCAACCGCGATTTACGCCAGACAATTCATCTCATATTGTCTGCCTGGCTAAGCCATTTGTGCCGGGGACCACGGCCGTAGAAATAGGCTTGGAGAACAATATTTTAGTTTATTTTTCAGTCAATGAAGAAATGTAATATCAGCATTTAGATATAATATTCATACAAATAAATGTGTTGTCCATAATTGAAATTATGTGGACATGGACAGCTCCAATTTCAAAGAAGATGTTAGTCATTTTAGATTACAGTTCAAGTTAATAAGAAACTGAAGTTCCTGTGAATTCGGGCGATTCGCAATGCAGTGTGCTACCAAGAATTTTCCATGGAGAGTCCATTTTTCAAGTTTACGGTCGACAAAACATGGCCCATTTGAATGAGTGTCAGTAGACAACTTCAGCTAGATTGGGGCGTAGCGTTCTGTCGCCTTACACAAATCACCATATTGATAAAGAGAAAAGAAAAGGGCGAACAGATACTCTAATCATACGCTTACGAAAGTACTGACCAGAAAAACTAACAATTTAAATGTCACCACACTGCGAATTTGTCGACCATCTCCCACAATGCACTGGGAAAAATGAACGCTCTGTGGCAAACTCTTGGTGGTGCACTGCATTGTGAAACGCCCAAATTGTGAAGTCACAGAAACAAGTTTTATTACGCATAACTGTTCTTGTTTTTTTATAACCTGAGAGAAGCCATTTTTGCAGACATTTTAAGTATCGAGTTTTTGCATAGTGCAAAAAGAAGATTTAACTTGCAAGACCAAATCTAAACAAGAGAAACAATAAGAAAAACAATTTTAAAAAAATATGCAATGAAAATTACCTGCGATTGAAGCTGATCCTTTTCATGTATCAGTTCATAAATTTGCTGCATGTAAGCCCTAGTTTTTGCTTAGTCTTGTAGTTCCCTAAAATTGGGTAAATTGTGATTTTTTGTTTTTGTCATCTTCAGTTTCTTATTAAGTACATATTTTAACCTTGTTAATTAAACATGATGTCGAAAACTTGCTGTTTCCTAAACTAGTTAAAATATCACTGTTGCGCTGTGTTACTTGCACTGTTTACGTTTTAATGAAACTGTTAAGATTTGTAATAAATGTTTAGATTTTGAAGTTTTCTGCCCTAGCCTGGTTCACGTCCATCTTAATTAAGGTCTGCAACAGGTCAGCAGACATCATGGGCGTCACAAGCAAAAACAAAAAAAACAAAAGAAAGAAAGAAAAAGAGGCGCAATACCACATTGTTTTTAATTTAATGGGTGGGGGCGGCAAATGTCCCTGCCCTCCCTTCAAAAAATTAACAATCAGGAAAATGCTGGAAATTATAGGGATTGTGGGGGGAAATGTGCTTTGCCCCCCTCTGGAAGAAATCCTGGTGACGCCAATGGCAGACGTCCTTTTTATCTTAAGTGATATCCGTTTTAATGATTCCAATCGTGGCTGTCATTTTTCAAGTGACAGATGACGCTTTTAACAACTCAACGGGACGTGGCATAAAATACTGAGTGTACATTCAAGTCACTTGCTGAAATTCAGTCAACCGTCGGTTCAGTTTTTTGTGTTACTTTGGTTCGCGTTCTAATTTTGCTTTTCCTATTAAACCAAGCTGATATTTAACAGGTTTAACTTATCAGGGAAATTTGCAGGTTTATGTCAACCCAGGGAAATTTGCAGGTTTATGTCAACCTTTCGCAGATTTCCTTCCATCTAATAAAGCAGTCTGGCAGGAAATGCACAGATCCATTAAAAGGCAGACGGCACCGTTTGACAGAAGAGTGATCAGTGAAACTGAACATCAATCAAACTACCTAATGTGCTTCAGAGATAATGGTGTTGACGGATTTTGCCATCCCTCTATTGGCATTCAGGAACCCACCGATCGGGAACCCACCGTGTTCTTTTGTGAGGTACCAGCTCACACTGTTTTGCTGTTGGATGAAAAAGGAGTCTTGTTTGCTGGAATTCACCATCACCAACATTTAGACTGCTGTGAACGACAGCCTTCAAAAGTTCAGGTTTTTTTTCTGGATTTCCTGTGCCTATCGTCATCAGTGACCTCTCTTGACAGGCGATTTGAGCCTTTTTGTCATGCGACATTTACCACTGCCTCTATGAATGGCTCCGACCGAAAGAACGTTTACTTTGCTATGCCAGTGGAATAGAAAATAATGATGTTTTTAAACGGGATTTAAAGCAGACATAAAACAGTCCAAAGTTTCAGGATTTTTTGGGCAAGCAAACACTCCGATCAAGAAATTCTTGCAGATTTTTCAAACTATGGCGACCACAGGAAGTTACACAACCAATTCTACAGATGCAGATGTTGGGGAGGGCTCCCCGGAGGGGACAGACTCCCTTGGGGCCTTGGCTGTTTTCGTCAGTGTCCTGGCCACACTTGGGGTTATCTTAAATCTGATATTGAACCCGCTGATGCTTCTTGTGTTGCATCGCGTCAACAGCATCCAGCAGACAACTACGATCTTCATGGCGTCTCTGACCGTCTGCGATTTCGCGCACGGCCTAGCCTGGGCCTTCCATTTACCGGAACAGTTCATCCGAGCGTGGCCGCTGGGCACTTTTCTCTGTGCCGCGTCAGGCCCCGTTCAGTTCACTTTGCGAGCAATGGGCATCTATTCTTTGTTTCTTCTGACGGTCGATCGCTACATCGCCGTGTCCCACCCGCTGAGATACCCGGCATTGTTAACCGCGTTCCGAGCGAAGCTAACAGTGTGCGTAACTTGGGCTGTTATGATCACGTTTTGTACTGGCCTGTACGGGATTTACAGTCCGAAATTCGTGAGGCCAGTTGCGCCTCACCTGTGCGTTTGGAACTACGACTGGAGACCGTACGTGTCAATAATCAGTGTTCTGTTAATACTGGTGTCAATTTTTGTCCTGTACGCGCTCATGACGGCGATAGCTGTTCAGCACACCCGGCGTATTGCCCAGGAAAATCTGGAGAGTGCAAGCGAGGATGGACACAGAAGATCGCACCGCATGAACAAGAGACTTGGAACGACCGTCATTATCATAACGGGGACGTTAATCGTAACGTGGATTCCATGCGTGATCATGTCGGCTTTTATTGTACAGCCCGATCGCCTAGTCACTGCGGATAGCTTTGTCTTCATCCATTTGGCCGACGTCATGTTGTTGACAAACAGTTGGCTAAACATAGTCATTTATTACATACGGAATAAGGAATTGCGCCTGGCACTGCATAGTATACTTGCGGGATGGTGCCATCGTCTATGTAGTTGTCATGGCAACTCTACGTAAAACATCAGTGAATGGGAAAAAACAAATAAATGATGAAGAAATGCTGATAAAATAATTAACCTTAACTGTTCCAGGCTCTCCAAACTTAACCAGGAGGTTGTAAGAATTAGAAAAAGTGAGTCCACTAATGGTCTATAGTTTGGTAGTAATTAATGCGACCAGCATTGCTGACAGGAAATATTGAGCCAGATGGTCCATATCCGATGAGAAAGCAATTAGTGGATGGAAAGTTAACAGAAAAAGCATTGGTAATGGGTTCCGCCTTCTCCTCAATCATGCAGGATCATTCCTGACAAGTTCAAACTTCAATCAATTCATTCGTCAATCACTGAATCGTCATGAAAGCCCCATATAATCTTCGCAAAAAGCTGTCTCGTACTTTTATGTAATTTGTAAATCATTCATGATCATTCTGATCTTTTCGGAACACCGGAACAGTCGACAAAGCAGCAAGATTTCAGCTTAAAAAGTCTGTGCAGACTGCGTCTGCCCAAATGTGGCTAAAATGTGGAATGAGAACATCGTAACCTCATACATGTACAAGCTGTGCCCGGCTGGACCCAGTTTGTAGTCTACTGTTCCCGTGCTGTTGTCATGCTGTTGCCATGGAAACCTACAAACTTCAGAATTAGACAAAAACGTTGGACAGCCACCTAAAACTACCTCCTGAGCTTACAAATTAAAGACGACATTTTTAGGATCTGATGGAATGTACATGTATGCGCACACACCTTGTAAGAAATTGTGGAGAAACTAACTCCTACCGTGCGGCAACATGCATGTCTGCTGAGCTTAATGGTGATGTAACTTAAGCTTTTTAAAGTCACTTTGCTTCAATACACAGTGAATCTGCTGATTTTTCCAGTGTATTTTTTTTTCTATGGTAAGTTTACAGTGTCATACGTCAGTAATTTTGCTCAGTCAGAGCAGGTTACCAGATAAAATATGTGCTTCATAATGCACGGGACTGGTTCTCAGTAAATTTCCATCTCTGTAAACCAGTTTGCCCAGTGATATTGTCTGTTTAACATCGCCAAGAACTTGAAGCCTTGTATTTTGCAAAGTATTTTCAAAGTTACCCTGGTTGTCTGTTTCCCAGAAATTTCTACTATTTTTTTGCACATATCCCAGGTTGCAAGAATAATTTGTTAGAATGAGATCATAAGTTCAAGTATCTTTTCCTGTCCAGGAATACATCCACCGAGTGGGCCGGACAGCCAGGGGGTTAGAGGGCAGAGGTCACGCCCTCCTCATCCTAAGACCCCAGGAGCTGGGCTTCCTGAGGTATCTCAAGCAAGCCAGGGTGCCCCTCAACGAGTTTGAGTTCTCCTGGACCAAGATTGCCGACATACAGTCTCAGGTATGCATCCATACTATTCCCGATCCCACCAGATCTTTCAAAATCCTACAGAATGTTTCCATCGCACAGGATGTTTTGGAGGATTTTGTAGGATTGAGGACGGCAGAGTCAAGGAACTTTTACCTGAGGTTTCTTCACAGTGATGCATTGTTGAGGATTTAGTAACATTTTTAGGGGTAAAAATAATATCTAGCGAATGTAATCCCACCGCTGCCACCGTTTTTCAAGATAGGTTATTTGACAAAGAGTTATTATCGGGAGGTCAATCACAAGCCTTCATGAAGACTATTCATTGTCATTTCATAGAACTATAGAACACACATAATGTATTCAAGATCAAATGTCATCAACTTATAATGTTTGCATATTGATATTGATACAAGTTAACATTGGAACATCATCCAAAGTTATAAATATGAACAATGAAACCTGTAAAAAACATCAGAGATTTTTAGCAAAGTAAACATTCTTCTTGAATAGGAAATGGTAGTTTTTGGTGATTTCCGACGACTTGATGCTAGCAAGATTGAGAAATCCTGCCATATTGATTGGTTTTTCAGTCCCTGCCTGATTCCGTGGGTTTGCTCTAGAATATCATTCTGGGGTTTTCCTCCCACCACTAAAACTGTAATTTCCTTGCACATCTTCTACCAAGGGAACCCCCCCCCCCCCCCCCCAGAAATAAGTCGAAAGACTTTTGTGGGCTATCCCGGCCAATCGCTGAATAATCATAAATAAATTTTAAAAAAAACCTTCCAAATTCAACGGAATTCAGCAGTAAACCACGAAGCCTAGTGAAATATGAATCACATCAACTACATTTAAGTTGCGGCCAAAAGTAACAAAAATCACTTGTTTGCTTTCTTCCAGCTTGAGAAGTTGATCGAGAAGAATTACTACCTGCACCGGTCGGGCCAGGAGGCGTACAAGGGTTACGTCAGGTCCTACGACTCGCACAGCCTCAAGCAGATCTACGACATCAACACCCTGGACCTGAAGCAGGTCGCCAAGTCCTTCGGCTTCAAAGTTCCTCCGGGCGTCGACCTCAGTATCCTTTTTATCAGATCTTCGGCTGTGGCTATGGCTCTGCAAGTACACATGTGACTATGGAAGCGGCTGAAGCCACATACCATAGACCAAGTGTGTGGCTGCTAGCCGTAGTCAAGTATGGACTTTCATTGGACATTTTGTTATAAAGTCAAATTGGAGGTTTTGTTATACAGTCACAGCTGTGATTGGTCAAAACATCATGGGGCGGGGCCTAACGAATCGGTGTACGAACTACGTGCACGAACAGCAGATAACGCTTTTATTACTCCAGTGGAAAGGACACACTGCGTGCACGCATTTTTTTACGTGCATTTGGCACAAAGTGCGCACACTTTTTATTCTGAGTGTCTTGCATCTTGGCATGAGCGTCGCGCATCGTTAGCAATGCATTTGAATGTCCCTCCAAGTGGTCTCGCTCAACTCTCCCTTTGTTACCGTTGAAGGGTACTTGTGCTCTGAGTCCCTTATGAAGATGAGCGGAAATATCCAAGAAGCAAGATTTTGTTTTTCCTTAATTCTTGCTCCTCAAGGCGTCCACGCCAGCAAGAGAATGCAGAAGAAGAGAACGGGGTTCACCCCTGCTCAACTGAGCCAGAAGATGGCACAGAAGACCAAGATCTACAAGCACATCGGCGGTAGCAAAGACAAACGCCAGTTTGCTAGATAGAGGGGCGGGGTTAGAGAAATAGAGGGGGTTGATGGCCGGAATGTGGATGGCGCTGTTCGCCAATCCATTCACACAAACTATGCTTCAGATGCTCCAGTTTTCTGAGATCCAGATTGTACACAACAGTTTTTTAGATATGAGGGATCTGAAAGAAAACTTTTTCATATTTGGTTCTGTAAGTTTTAAAGTGAAGTTAAAAATGCGCGCTATAAATCGTGTTATTATTATTATTATTATTATGATACGGGCCCATCAAAGTTGGCCAGAGTACCAGACCATTAAAGGAGTACATACTGACAGAATATGTATGATACTCTTCAAAGAAGTCTGAATACCAGACCAATATGGTGTCCCATTGTCACATTATTTCTGTGTATTCAAATGGAGGCATGTAACAGTATGTGCATTTAATGACTTTTTGGAAATCAATTTGGTGACTTTTATCTGACCTCACACTTATGATATTGTCAAAGAATTAATGAAATGATTCATTAATTATAGCCAAATTAGGTTAAGCGATAATTGTCCCTTTTTGACATTTTTAAAAGTATTTTTGTTGCATTCTCCTAAATATTTATTCTGTTTTTCCTCCTTTTCTGAATATGACTTCTTATTTTGGCCAATAAATTGTACGATAGTGAACGATACACTGTATACTATATGTCGTTTCGTTTATTTTTATCTTTTTTTGTTCGTGTTTTGCCTATAACTTTATTTGTAATTACTCTAAAGTTAGAATATCGGCCAATTGATGATCAAATTTTTCCCTGTCAGGATGGAAATTGAATGCTGTCTTGAAAGAAAAATAAACACTGCATTTTTGTTGGATATAACACAACACTCGGCCCATTTCGTTTGGACCGAAAAGTAAAACAGTAAAGGTGGAGTGTCATAGGTGATAGAGAGCGCACTTTCTATCCTGCAATGGGTTCCCAAATTGAGAGAGTTCTTGTCATTTGGACTAGAGGATAGTTTAGTTTGTTTTAGGCCTGATTGTCAGATTACTTTCATATCCACTGCATAGAAATCAAAGTTGAGAAATAATCATTGAAGGAATTATTTGATACCCTATTAAATTGTGAAACTTGTTCAAGGAGGAAAGGCTTAATTTTGGCGTCGGAAGTTGGGTATAATTTAAGGGAACAGCGACACCAATATAGTTTTGCAAGATCGCCTGGGATTTTCAGGAACGGGGATTCTGCGCATAATTGAATTCCATCAAATTCCAACAGAAAAATGGCAGATTTGGAAATAATTTGTGGGATTTTTATGACCACGTGGTTCGTGGTGAAAAAGGTGATAGCGCGCCGTACGTCCGTGGAGAAGATCCAACGAGTGAGGGCGGTAGATACAATCACCGTGCGGTCTATTTTTGTCAACTTACGCATGCTCATTTGCGATCGGCCCGTTTTGTTAAGAGAAAAATAAAAACAACATTCGTTCGTGAATACGTGTGCGACGATTTGCCCGTGGAATTCTTTGTTCGGGGATGGAAAATGGGGTCGTAAACGACGAGATCCTCCGTGGAAAATAAAGACGTAAGCATTGGTTATCTTTAGAGTGAAATTTGACATGTTTTACTTGATGTTTTCGTCTTCTAATTTCTATTCTTGACATTGCTGTTTCATGTTTACTTTGTCAGATGAATTCCTTTGAGATTAAGGCTCGACCATTCACACGATTCAGCGAACATGATGAACATGATTGATAACTAGCGTAATAAGGTTCAGCAAGTGTGCAGAAACGGCGTATTACTTTCAAGTTTCAGTCATGTTGTCTATTTTCTATTCCTAATTATTAATTTAACATCTTTTTTGTTTGTTAATTTTTAGTTTTATTAAACATGATTAGGCTACCTCTTTTTATTGGAGCACAAATTTGCACATTCAGTGATTCACATTGCCTGTGTAGTTATTAGCTAAGTGTTTAATTCTCCAAAATTAAAATGACATGTATCATGTAAGATTCGACTCCAAGAATTAGCATATTATTTGTGGTACACTTTCGACACAAAAATGTTCGACATGTCTTTCTATTTAGGCCTTCTAATTTAATGAATAAATTGGGGAAAGAATATAGTAATACTTCTACTAGTACACACCACTTCTTTGGTTGTGTACAAAGTCTATGGACATGATGGAGAGTCGAGTGCATTTTCAAAGTATTTTTCAGTCCCAAATTCATGTCTTTTCAACATTTTTACAATGACTGACCTTCATCGAGATAAAATGTGACAAAAAAGTGGCAACAGGATTCAAAGTCCTTCCATAAATAGTACTCTATGCATGTCCATCGCTAAGCTCAACAAGATGCTAGCCCCATAATGTGGCTCAAATACTGGACTTCCTCCAACCACACAGCGGTCAGACAGTGTTTACATTGTAATCAGATGCATGAAATTTGCACCAAGATTTAAGATAGGATTTAGAAACATTTGTTAAAAATGTGCTTGTTCATTTTTTTTTAAAAACCTTAAATAGCTTTTTACTTACAAACCTTCAAATTACATTGAACATGATGCATTCTATAAAAAAAATCTGGAAAAAATGTTGCAACCTGAGGCCACTACAGCGGTTGTGTACAAAGTCAATGGAGAGTCAAGAAAATTAAGTATTTCTTAACAAATTCGGAATGTTTCTCAGTCCCAGATTCATGTCTTACATGTATCATCATTTTTGCAATGACTGACCTTCATTGAGGTGATATGAAGAAAACAGTGGCGTCAGGTTGCAACATTTTTTCCAAAATCTTTTTTAAATATTCAAGCAGTACCATTATTTTCTATGAAATGGTTTTGTACACACTGGTCTCGTAATATTTATTACAATTTTATTAATTGTTATCACATGTTTAATATGTTTGTATGGCTGTAATTTATAAGCTGAAATATGGAAACAGTTTCATAACTCAAAGAATTTCTTTGTTCATAAATAGTTTCTTTCGTACGTACCACTACACATGTACACGCCATACGTGTATGAATGGGCTACTTTCACACATGATACGCTTGCTGAGTTCATTGTTGGTCAGTGCATAAGGTCATCATCACTGGTCCAACAAATTAGCCAAACATGACGTAAGCAGCACTATGCAAGGCCAAACTATTCATGGAGAATGACTGAGTCAAGCGAACAATGCTATTTATTAGTATAATTTGGCCATACACTGTGCACAACGGGAGGACTATCAACAACAAAGAACAGAGGGAGTGAGTCATCTCTGAGGGATGGCCTAGATGCGTGTTGTTGGATTTTGAGAAAGTTCATGCACAACGCAAAAGTATGTACAGTATAGTGCATGTTTATACACAATGTATATGTATAGATAACTTTTTAGTTAGAAGACATGTGAGGTGGGATTTCTGTTCAAAGTACAGAAAATTAAAGTTATATGCACAACTGAGATTTTTCCTTGAAAATGGGTCAAAAAACAGAAAAATGTTCGTGCAAAATTGTACATGCACAGAGCCGAAGTTACATGCATCTGTGCATGTAAAACCCCTCTAAATCGACCACTGGTTCAAAGCCTTCAGAAAAGTATTTAAAAAAAAATTCAAATTTTCATCAAGTAGTTGATGTTTGCTAAAACTTCCTAAACTACTGTACATGTACATTGTACATATGTATTACCGTCAGGTGTTTTTCCCCCATAGAAAGTTTTCAAAAAAAATATCAAATTTTCATCAAGTAGTTGATGTTTGCTAAAAATTCCTAAACTACATGTACATTGTATGTACCTTACCGACCGTCAGGTGTTTTTCCCCAATAAAAAGTTTTCACAAAACCATAATTTTCACAAGGTTTAAAGTCGGTTAGAAATAGACAAACCATATTTAGAGGGGGGGGGGAAGTAAAGATCTGATTTTTTTTTTCAAATTGCCAATAATTTGATTCATTTTATGGAAAAAAAAAATGAAAATCATTAGCTCAAAACTAGTCCAAACTGTGAGGTTTAAATCTTGGACCATAGGTCGGGCCTGGATAATACATTATAGCCGTTTCACACTTGAACGTTAATCTTGACGTAGTTTCAGGTTTCAGGTTTTATTTCCATACTATAAATAAGGCCAAAAAAAAAAGAGTTCTGCTTCCGATTACATGGCATTCGAAAATAGGGTAGGTAGGTAGGGAAATTATTTTTTTTTGCCAATTTTTTGTGTGTACAATCACATGGAGGCGTCTGCGTGTAGTCAAGGTCAAAAGGTAGAAATTGATGGTTTTGGGTAATTTTCCTCATTTTTCCAATAAAAAAATTAGGGTAGGGGCTGTCAGAATAGGGTAGGTAGGGAAACCGGAAGCAGAACTATTATTTTTTTGGCCTAATGTAAGTTGAGTACAGTACAATAGGTAAACATTTTAACGGAACTTGAAATAATAGTATGGGGAGGCCAGACAAGAAGCCGAAGCTTGTACTAGGTCTGCCCCCTTCACAAGGAATACATGTACAGTAGTTCTAGTTATACAATTCATGATTAACCAAATGAGATAATAATAATAAATAATATATGTTATTAGATTAAATTCATGACCTAATAAAGTTACCAAAAAATCATAAGTTACATGAAGTAAATTTACCATCCTTGACTTTCAATATGTTTTTAATAATTTTATTCGGCAATTCAAATAATAACTTTGCTCTTTAATCACCATTGACATTAACCATTCAGAGAGCAATACATTCAGAGAACTCAGTACTTGAAAACCTGGGCTTCAAACAACCAGTACCTACACAGTGATGTACAGTTTGCAAATGAGTATCCTCTTATTTAGAAACCATTACAATTTCGTCTCTCATGAAGGGAACTGCAAGGGGCATGAAATGTCCATTGGGTGGCTGTCGGAACATTTTCCCTGAAGAATATTCCCCCGAGTCCGAAATTGAAAAAAAAAAAAAAATGGGGGGAAAATTTATTAACCCCTTACCCACATCCCCCCCCCCCCTCTCATAGGTCTCGCTTCTGGTTTCTATTCCTCTGCAGGCATAGCACCAGGATGTGACTCACGGCAAGGCAAGAGTTACTCCCCCAAAGTAGACGCGGTCGAGACACCCCCCTTCCCCCCTCCACCTTGACCGTGCCAGGGGTTGTAGAGGAGGCAAGCGGCTTCCTGCAATCGCCCCCTCCTCGCTTCGCACCCTGTCACGTCATCCAGAAGTCTGACATCACTTCTGCGGTAACCGAGTCAGGTATTAACGCACGGATTACTCTGATGACCACAACATTCGGCAGCCATTACTGGCGTGCGACATGCTTGCATTCATGGAGCCTGCTAAGCAGAAAAAATATTGCTTAGCACATTTATAAATCAGTTGAGAACCAGTCACAAGCAATATTAATTGCATGGGATTTTAGCTGGTAACCCGTTTTTGCTAAGCAATTTTTTTCCGTGCTTAGCAATTTTTTTTGTAAATGAAGTTTGCCTCACACAGTATGTGCGCAAATAATGCTCCTACACAACCAATAGGGCATTTATAACTTCGCAAAATGCATACACTGCACTGCTAATGAAATTTCGCAAATGTACAATTCGATGGTAAACGAATAACGAACATGGTGCCACCCCAGGATCAAGAATGGTTTTTATTAGTAGTTGTGGTCATCAAATAATTCTGTGATGTACATGCTGAGTAGTTACGTGATTTATAAATTGTCCAGTTATATTTGTTTCAAAAATGTAACCATTTTCCCCCTCGAAAGTATACATTGCATTTCAACATACATAAATATTGTACAGAGACAGTGTACAATGTAGTGGAAGCAAAAGAGCCCGACATTGTACAATTTGAGCCATGGCCTATCGGTACTTGTCCGTGCTAATTCTATTCCAATTCTAATTCTAAGGACATGACCTTTTGTGAATGGCCCCGTTCGTGGCCTTGAACGAACCGACTGCTTTCTTGAGATGTTCCAGTGTTTAGTTCTTATCATTGTCTTCACAACTTTGGTACCACTCAAGCCAGCCTTGGCCTTTTAAAGGATAGAATTTGATGGCTTCATGATTTGAACAATGCAAGGGCATGTGATGGCCTTGCACCTCCAAGATTGAAACGGGAGAAAGTCCTTCTTATTTCATGATAACATCATTCCATGTTGACACAATCTCTCTCATGTTGCAAAGTAGTGTACTGCTGGACTGAAGTTTGACATTTAAATGTACATTGAAAAGTACATATCCAGTCTACTTAAATTCTGCAAGTGATGAAAATCTGAAGAAAAAAGCTCTTTACAACATCCAAGTGTGTAAGTTTACATGTAAATTTACTCAATGCAAGAAACATGGAACTTGTCTTATAGTAACAAAGAATCTGGAGGCTTGAAAAACTGCCAGTATAAGATAAGTGGTTGTGTCTTGTACAGTGTACATAATGACATCATTCTGTGTGTAAATAAGGAAATTCTTTGGCCGCATTGTGCTCAGAATATTGTCGCACTGAAATTTAGGAGTTGTATTTTGGCACAAAAGTGCATTAGTCTCTCATGTTATTCAACTGATGTGCATTTGTATGGGAACCATGTTTAAACTGTGAGGCTTTTACATGTAAGTTACTTACATCATTTTTATGACTGGTATAAAATTGTCTCAAGAATAAATGTTAGGGATTTTCAGATGATTTTTGTGGTGATAATATTTTAGAAATTAAAAAGCCCAAAAAAAAATCCTTATTTTGCAGCCCATACCACATAATTATGTATCTGATGCTGTGTTAGCTTTCTGTTGAAGAAAATAGCAAAAGGTCCATTCTTTTGTTTGTTTTCCAATATTTCTTTTCACTGTTAAATTTCATGTGGGTCACTAGCCATAAATTTGGGGTCCACTTTGTTTTTCCTGCCCCTGTTTAATTTTACAATTCCGATGTACTCCTTAATGCAGTCGTCCTTCAAGAGTGATTATGAATAGCAAACTACCTACCCAACAAATAAAAAAAAATATTTAAAGTCATTCTTAGTGATATACTTGAATTGCAAAGTACCAAGGTAACAGGGACAGGAAAAATGTCACACCTCGGTCCCTCAATTTATAGAGAGACCCATGTACACTACCGGACTACCAGTTCATATCTGTTCCATTCACCTTGTTTTTTGGTATTTTTAGGCACACACTTCTTTATGATATTAAATGCAGATCATGCAAGTACTTAAAGAAATGAATGTTCTGAAAATGGAGTGCCTCTTTATGAGCATAAACTCGCGCATAATCACCCAGGAAAAGTGAGTCAAGCGTTGTCAGATTTTGTGCAGTGGGCCAAGCGTTAATCCATGCCATTTGTAAAAAAAAAAAAAAACCTGCATGTGTGTTAGTTCTCAGCATGCGTATGTAGTTTTTGCGGCACCAATGGTGACGCTAGAATTAGTCATACGCTGATGGGCCGATGGCATACGCTATCTGATTTCTGTCATGTCGTGTGTTTTAACCCCTCCGATAGAGCCTTGGGAGTTTTCCGGGGATAGTTAATGTCTTCTTATGATGTGTGTAGAATTCGGAAGTGGAATTATATTTTCAAAAGTGTTATTTTATATGTAAGTTGGATGTGGTGGTAATCTGCTTGTGATATTGTCACCGAATTGTTCAAAATATGAGGAAGAATTCAGGTAGGATACATGTGAAGAAAAGTACTTTAATTTAATTTTTTTTTTATTGTCAATGTTATCACCCTAGTACAGTTTTGTTTTTGACAGCATCCATACTTGGTCACATCATGGAGCTATAAAAACATCCTTTTTATAGCTCCATGGTTACATGTTGATGTACATGTACATGTACATGTACATGTATGTATGCATGTATTTGACAATACAAATGCGTATACGTACATGTAGCTACATGTACATGTGTGTATACATGTTTGTATACATGTATACTGTACACATAATGTACATGTTTATGTAATTAAAGTGGATTCCCATAAACTGAAAAAAATGTTCCCTTTTTTCCGCACAAATTGCCAGGAACCAATTCCAGTTTCATCAGAAAAAAATTGCTGAGCAAAAACATGTTACCGCCCAAAATGCCATGCTGAGTATATTGCCGGTAACTGGAAGTGGAACTTGGCAGATTTTCGCTTAGCATAATATTTCCGGAGAAACATTGTCTGCTTTGAAATTTGTCCCTTGCCAGTTGCGTAAGTGGAGAATGTAAGTGCTGGGCTGCGTTCCACTAAACACGACCAGCGTAAACATTGTCCACAATTTATCATTGGTCATGCACAAAAAGGTCTCCAAGTTTGACAAAACATTTGCAGTTTTCACATAAAGCCCGGTTCATCCTTTACGCAAATATAAATGCAAAGTGAATGTGATGTCACGAAACATTTGCTGTGCGAAAACTTGCCTTGACGCCACAAATTTGTATTCACGTTCACTTTTGCACTGGGTATTAGGCAGCCTTATGAACGCACTCCTGTTTCTTAACTTCAATTCCTTTACGTTTTTTCATCCCACATGCAGCTGGAACCATGTACGCCGTGCTGGAGAACAACCCGGCCGCCCGCAGCGACTGCACCATTCTGTCACTCTCGTGGAAGGGCACGGTTCCTGAGAGCGAGAAGGACAAGAGCTACACACGCAAACGCTGCTACACGGAAGGATGGCTGGCCACGGGAAACGTCAAGGGGATCGTAGGGGCCACCTACACGTCCAGCCATGCGCGCAAGAGCACATCGTCGCCATCTAGGACCAACTTCAACCTGCGAGGCCACAACAGTGAGGTAATATCTTTTTTTTTACAACCTAAACTCATTATTGAGAAATTTTACAGAAATGTGCTGAGCACGGAAAATATTTGCTTAGCAAAAATGGGTTACAAGCCAAGATAAGTACAGTTTATATAGCCGGTGACTGGTTCTTGTCAGATTTGCGCTTAGTACATAAATCTGCTTAGCAAGTTTTGCTGCTTAGAAGCTCCGTGAATTGGTCCCTGGCTCAGTTTCATGGACATTCGTAGCGTAAAAAATATTTGCTCAGCAGATTTTCTTGCCAAGCAAAAATCTGCAGGGAACCAGTCAAGAACAATGAACAAGTGGTATTTTGGCTGGTAACCTATTGCTGCTTAGCAAAACTGTTCTGTGCTAGGCAGATATGAGTTTGTAGCAGCACCTTGAAATTAAGGTGTTAAACAGGAAGCATAGTAAGAATTTATAGGCAGAAGTGACTCTAAATAACTAGAAATTTGTTTATTTCATTTGACAAAAAGATGATTTTTAACCAACAAACCAAACCAAACCATACATGTACCGGTACGTCTTCATTTGCACAAAATCATAAGCGTGAAATACACCTGGTTCGCACATTTTTTGGCTTTTTCAGCTAAATATTTCTGCAAACCATCCAACAGAAATGACCCACACTGTATCACCTCGAACATCTCTACTGTTTATGTAAAACTTGTGTTAAAAAAAACACTTTGACACTTGATCGCGACACCAATACTCCCGCTGGGAAATCGCCTCATGCAGATAGTTACGGTATAACCTTACCCTAAAAGATTTGTTTAGTTATTGAATATTTTTTTTATATGGGACCGATGACATTCAAAATACTCCACGGGTCAGGCTATAATAGCTTACTATGTCCCAGGGCACTAGACAGCATGGTCTCACCCGAGCATAGATTCCAACGCAGGCATGCATGCTAATAGTACAACATTACATCCCGTGCTCATCCAACGAAGCATTCAGTGTGTTGTCTCTTAATCATTCCGGGCACTGCACAGCATATATTTAGACTGACTGAAACGTCTACAGTCAATTTATCGCAAAGTGGTCTGGATGCCTTTTAGATACCCTGTTTGGAATAATTGTATGTATAATTGATTTTTGTGGTCGTGTGAAATAATCAAGCTCATAAAATCTGGAGTGCAATCTGCACACCATGCCCGTACTGTTTTTCAATTTTTAATTTGTCTGCACTGTTCCGGTACATGTATAAATAAACATGCAGTTGTCAGCCTGCATGTACTATATTTGTATTTTAAAAATACACACATTTAGAATTTTGAATTGTCATTTTCCTCAGATTAATTTATTACTTACAAGTGAAATTACTTTGACTAGCAAGAAAATTTCCAAACCATAGAATCGTACTATACATTAGCCCTAACCTTCGCAAATCCTATAAAATCCTCTTTGCAAAATGGAGGATTTTGCAGGATTGAGGCTACATGGCAAAAATGCGTGGCTGATTTTGTTGGATGCACTGTGTCAAGGTCTTGGCTTATTTTGGAGGATGCACTGTGTCAAGGTCTTCGGCCAGACCTTGTGTTGTTTATGCTCAGCCATGCATAAATGTAGGCCTAAATTATACATGTACTTGAAATCCTCCGCACTGCTCCAGGATGTCACTGGCTCTGCCTCAACATGTATGTACATGTATTGATAGTGATTGCTGGAGGATTTGCAGGATTGAGGCAGTTACCCCTCCAAGGACCAGTGAAGAAATAAGAGGATTTTGCAGGATTGAGGCTGTGTATGCAATTTTTAAATGGAGGCAGTTGAAGGATTTTGCAGGATTGAGGCTGCATCCAAGCAAAAATGCCTAGGGAGTCTGGGTTAGTCCAATTTAGCAATGTATACGAACACCCTAAATTCTCCATACCAAAGTAAATGCATACAAAATTAAGACGTAGTACACGTCTTAATGCAGCAAACATTTCATGTCTTACAGGCTGCAGACAGATTTTTGTCATGTCAAGTGACTTGACAGTTAGGGGGCGGAGAAATCAAATAGTGGGGGCGGGACAGCTATCATGGTCTTCGATGTACATAAGATGACACCTTCTAATTGATGAGTTCATTTAAGAAAATAACGCACACAGCGGGGCAACGCGTCGACGGTGAAAACCCTGCTCACACATCGGAGATCTCCTTTGCATTATACAGTGTACGTGTTCGTACGTACACTCGCGTCAGTCGTGCAGTACAATGAGAAGACGTCGAGCATGAAGGATATGAAACATGCGTAAAATTACCGCAATCATAAAAATCAAGGACCTCGTCCATCTAATTTTTTAGTCAGCTTGGTTGTGGATTGAGGAGAAAGTTGAGTATTGAGTGGTATTTGAAATGAAATTAATTGTGGAAATATGATATCGGCAATATGCATTTCATTTCCCGTTCTAGTTTACATACACGTACATGTTCACAAAGGTGGAGAAGTATATTAAGCATGTCTTTCAAGTTAAAATTGGGGCTGACGACTTTCCCCATTTACAATAAATACAGGAATTTTTTTACATTTATATGTCACATACAAAAATTGACGCTGACATTTTTTTTTTCAACAATAAGGAAGACAGTTTTTCAGAGGATATTTTGACGGTAAATTGTATTTCAGAAAAACATAATTAAAGAACCGAATTGCCAGATTTTATTCCTTAAAAACTTTACAATTAAAGAAAAACATGTTACATATCTGGATTTCACTTACATGTCAATTGATGAATGCATCTCTCTATTTTGCAAAAATATTTGGAATCAGTTCAACAACTCCTTTATGGTTGTACACACACATACATTAGGGGTGTGCATCATAACTGGTCACCCAAGCACCCAACCGCTGATGTAAGGAACCGGTTCCCGATTGTGGGATCGGGTACCCATAACCAACTTTACAAATTACATAGTTACTTTTTAGACATTGAAAAAGAAAGGTTTTGAATGCCATTTGTGGGAATTTAAAAAAGAAAAGAAAACGAGGCTACATGTACGTTGAAAATCAAAACAGATTTCACATTTAAGTGCATATTAACGTACAACAGGTAAAGCTTGCGAAAGTTGCAGTGTACACCGTAAAGCTATAAAGCCCTTCAGACAACTTCCGGGATTTGAATTCGGGGTTGGGTTTCTTTTACGGGTACCCGGGTACCAGTGTTTTACTTCAAGAGGGTACCAGGTTTCCGTACTAATGTACATGTTTTACTATAGTTGAACTATAAAAGTTTGTATAAATTTGCAATCCCAAAATAAATACATTCCTGTAGGCATCCTTAAGTACAGTGAACGATACATTGTAAACGTACTTAAAATGATTGCACATTGTTCACGGACTGGCCACACTGTGGAGACGCCAAGGAAAATCTTGAGGGCATTTTAAGGCAAACAGTGATTTCCTTCAGGAAAAACAGCTTTTCATCTTTGCATGCGGTAACAAAATAGCCACAATGAAGGAGGAGTCAATTGCAATCCAATTTCACGGTTTTTCTTTTGAGACGTCAGTAGTGATCCATTGTCGTGGGGACAAATAAAAAATCCTTGTTTTGTTAAAGAGAACAACTTCTGCAAAAACACAACTTCTCGCTCGTACAAGACAGGAGAAAAGGACAGTTTCAGTAAGCGCTATTTGAAAAGAATGAATCCTGAAATGAAGGTGTTTTTTTTTTACATTAATATGAATGCATTTAAAAATGTACTCAAGGAATCATCACATGCTTTCTCAAAAATCCCCCCCCCCCCCCACAAAAAAACAAAATTACAAAGCACTTTTGGTTTTTAATTTCATCATTTCCAAAACTAATTTCCATTTTTTATGTCCCATTTAAGAAATCGGTCAATATATTTATGGCTGGTGATTCCAGGCCAAGCACTTATGATAATTTCATCATAATTATCCCCCGTTTTCTCAACCTTGAAGCAAATCATCTAATGCATGTGGTCTCCCCGCCTTAATGAGTCTGTCTCCGTAATGCACAGAGAAAGAGATTGTTGTCGTTATTTTTCCTGAAAGCATTTTTTTTTGGCACTACCAGCCTAAACGCACCTGCAGTATTTGTAACATGTGAATATATGGTTGAGATATAATCTCTTTTTTTTGTAAGTCTGTGCTCACGAATCGATAAACAGGTGGCGAAATTTCTCTTTTGTGTTTGGCCCATGGAAACCTGTGGGCGGTTAAACATGAGAGTATAAACAGTGAATATGGGAGAAACTATTGGCTACAATAAGCATAAAGAGTTACTGTAACAGTCTGACAGTGTGCTGGCGTATGTTTATGTTGTAAATCGAGGACACACACGTGCAACATCATCGATGAATCGAGGACAGAAACCGAATCGAGGACTACTCGGTTGGAAAACGTGTACAAAACCAATGAGAGCTGTTGCGAAAAAGTTGCGAAAGAAGAAGTTGCGAAAAGAGTACAAACAAAGGAAAAGGGAAGAGGAACAAAAGGAAATCCTCGATTTACACCATAAACAAACGTGCTAGTACATGTGTGTGTGGATATTTTTTAAGAAGGAATTGACAAAAATCGTTCATATTGTGAACATGTTTTATGCAAAGTGGGGATGTAAAATTTAGTTGTGGAAAAACAAGCTGAAAATGTATTTGCCATGAATCATGTAAATACATACGCGTGTAAGTGTAAACAAATTTTGATGTACATGTATGTATGTTTTGCCAAAAAAAGGAAATGATTTTTAAGTGACCAAGGAAACATTTTCAAGAATTTGTTTTGTTATTTTGGGTAGACTGTTTGGAAAATCTGCTTTGTATCAACGGGCAGACCTGTACCGTACCGATGCATGTAAAAATGGTGCACATACATGACCATGTACCTTGATGGATGCATTTACACATTGGACTTGGGAGAAGTTTGTTTTAAAGATTTTATTTTAAAAAAAATTGCATATTTGATTTAAAAAAGTATATTTACAATTTACCCTTTCAGGAAGTTTCTTTTACATTTAGGTTCTACTTGTAAAAAGCCAGACTCT